TGGGGGCATGTTGGTGCATAGCGCCTGAATACTATTGAGTAGCAACTACGCGGCAGATGTCTTATCTGCTACAAACGGAACAAGGCGTGTTTTAGTTTTTAATATTGCTTGTTCATTCTGATTACAACTCTGATCAAGAAAACATCTTGTTTAATTTATAACCCTTTTTTCCAAGAAAATAAATTAGTTTTAACTTTCATATTATCCTGCATTAACATTGGTCCTTCGAGCACGGATAATAATTGAAATAAGGATTTGTACAGCAGTGTGTCGTGAGTCGGTATAGTTTTTTCTTATGTTATTTAAATGATTTAATAACCTGATTTAATTATTGTTATGTATAAAAGTGATTTGTGTTTATTATTATAGTTGTATATTATTATTTTTAATAAAATTGTAGGTGTCACGTACTATTTTACATACCACGTTTTGAATACTGCTACCTACTACTTTTGTTCAAAAAATTTGAATTCTTCTGTAACCCTAATCTTACAAGAAATTGACGCAGGTAACCATGAAACCGTGCCATCAACACTTTCAGCCATTGCATCATTCCCAGCTAATCCAGTAACACCAGTAATTCCAATTACATCAGATATTGTCTCACGGAAAAAGATTACACATAAATCTCGAAAAGCGACATCTAAAAAGACAAATTTACCACCTGCTAAAAGAGCGAAGAAAACGATAACTTACAAATGGTAAAGAGCATCATTCCGTCACAGAATAGAAATAGAAGAAAATCTGACAGACCAAGAAAAATAACAAAAACAAACTCGGCCGGAATAGAAAAAACCTGTCCACCAGTTGTAGCGATCGTGTCTATGCAAATATTAATCAATAAAAAATGAATTTTTTATTTCTCAATCTTTCCATATTTCGTAAAATATGTGCAGAAAATGTTGTTTTATAATGGTATCGATCGCTTATACGAGTACTGGGGATAAATAAGGCGCAACTGCGTTTCTCTCTCGATAAATAATTTAGTGACTGATAGTGAAGATTTAAATGACATTGAAAATAGGGAGCCACTCCCCTCCGCAAACATTCGTAGAGTGACATACACTGTAAGCACTCCTATGCAGCTGATAATTTAGTCACTGATAGTGAAGATTTAAATGACATTGAAAATAGGGAGCCACTCCCCTCCGCAAACATTCGTAGAGTGACATACACTGTAAGCACTCCTATGCAGCTGATAATTTAGTGACTGATAGTGAAGATTTAAATGACATTGAAAATAGGGAGCCACTCCCCTCTGCAAACATTCGTAGAGTGACATACACTGTAAGCACTCCTATGCAGCTGATAATTTAGTGACTGATAGTGAAGATTTAAATGACATTGAAAATAGGGAGCCACTCCCCTCCGCTAACATTCGTAGAGTGACATACACTGTAAGCACTCCTATGCAGCTGATAATTGAGTGACTGATAGTGAAGATTTAAATGACATTGAAAATTTGGAGCCACTCCCCTCCGCAAACATTCGTAGAGTGACATACACTGTAAGCACTCCTATGCAGCTGATAATTTAGTGACTGATAGTGAAGATTTAAATGACATTGAAAATAGGGAGCCACTCCCCTCCGCAAGCATTCGTAGAGTGACATACACTGTAAGCATTCCTATGCAGCTGATAATTTAGTGACTGATAGTGAAGATTTTGTTAAAATATGTTTTTACAATATCAAAATAGTCTACTTCATACTAATCTGTGTACTACATCTTGTCTGTGTACTATACTAATAAAGTGTCTATTCTCAACCTTGAACCTGCAAGTCATTCGTGTTTTATTAGGTTATGGGCCCAGTGAAAAACTAATTAAATAATCTTACAGTAAATTCATATCGTGTGTCAGAAAATAAGTTATAATGTCGTCGTCAGACAGTTATTTCATAAATGTGCCGAAGTTGAAGGGACGCGAGAACTTTGATGACTGGGCGTTCGCGGCAAGAAATTTTCTCATCTTGGAAGGTATAGACATCGACGCCATTCTTGAGGATTTAAGTGATGCAGAAGACAGAAAAGCGAAAGCAAAACTTATCATGACGATTGATCCCAAGTTGTATGTTCATATAAAAAATGAAACTAAAGTCAAGGATTTGTGGCAGAAACTACGGATATTATTTGATGACAGCGGATTCACCAGAAGAATCAGTCTACTAAGAACATTAATATCCATTCGACTTGATAATTATTGTGAGTCCATGACAAGTTGTGAGTCAAATTGTGGAAACTGCACATGGACTGAAAGGCACAGGATTCGAGATTAATGAGGAATGGATCGGATCATTATTGTTGGCGGGGCTACCAGAAATGTTTGCCCCGATGATCATGGCAATAGAACATTCCAGCATAGCCATAAACTCTGACGTCATCAAAACGAAATTGCTTGATATGAGTTCTGAGGTCGGTGACCATGACTCGGAAGTTGCATTATTGTCGCTGCATAAAAGTAACTTTGGTCAAAATTTGAATAGAAAAGGCGCGAAACAAACATCTAATCATACGTCAAATGTCAAGAAGGTTATAAAATGCTATAAGTGCAAGAACTTTAAAATTTGTAAATAACTAAATAACACTATTCTAACCTCAAAACTTTAACCATGAATATCTCCATAACCATGGGGTTCCGCATGTTGGGGATGGTACAGGGGGGTGGGTACCAGTAGACCCCCCTCTTCCCCCACCCCTAAAACCCCATAAATCCTGCGGCTGGCTTATAATTATTTCCCCACACTTTAAAGAATGTACATTTGATTTTTTATTATTCTTTTCCTTGACACTAACAGGTGGTACATGTTATACCGACTCGACAGACAAACATTTTTAGTTCATTGTAATAAAAACGAAAATCACCTGACACAGGCACCTATTACTACCTACCTATGCTTATTATTTAATTAATTACATACAAATTACCTACATAATATTAAGTTACTATCTTTAGAAGGATTATTGTTTCTACAGGCTCAGTTGATGTTGTATCGAGTATACATTTTAAAAGTTATTCTCTGTATAGTATAAGATCCCGCTATACAACGACCTTCACCGAGATGCTTATTTAATGAAACGTATTTTATATTTAATTTAATATGTCAATAAATATAATCCATATGGGTTGTCTAGCAAATTTCAGTCCAGAGTATGTTTAATTAATAATTAAAAAAAAAATATTTTTTGAAACATTTCACCGGTATGATTATTAGATAAATTCTATACCAAATTCTATACAATTTTACGGTGACATATATATACTTTAGTGTCACAAAAAATATACACATAAATATTAATTTATTAAAAAAAAATTAAATAACTATTTCTCTATTTCAATAATAAACTACTCCAAAATGATGCATAGTATCCTTTTCTTTTCCAAGCCCAAATAGCATGCGCACTCTCTTTCTTTAAGTGGGCGGACTTTAAACAGCTGCTATGCTGTGTCCTCTTCTATCGCATGGGATGGTCGGTTGGGACCTCTCAGTCGCACACATTCACTTGGAGCAATATTTTACTTTTTAAAATTCGACAACCGCAATTCTGGACTGATTTTTCGCAGCCAACCCTATACCACCGTGTTCAGAATAAAATAATCTTTAATTTCATTTAAATTTCATTCAATAAACAGACCGTTGCAAATGCTAGTACAGATCTACCTGTTTATACCTGGCAACCCGATAGTTGTGACCGGAAAAGAATGGGCAGCATAAAGTTTGCATATTCTATGGGCTTCATACTTTCGATTGGTATAGAATTTATCTAATAATCATACCGGTGAAATGTTTCAAAAAATATTTTTTTTTAATTATTAATTAAACATACTCTGGACTGAAATTTGCTAGACAACCCATATGGATTATATTTATTGACATATTAAATTAAATATAAAATACGTTTCATTAAATAAGCATCTCGGTGAAGGTCGTTGTATAGCGGGATCTTAGACCAGTAACATTATGATAAAATGGGGTCGTAGGTAACATGTGACACAATTTTTTTTACAGACAATATTAATGAAGATTACAGTAGTATTGTATGTGAAGAACAAAATGGAATTGAAATTGAAAAGCAGGCGGATTCTTCTTCATCAGTTAAGAATTAAATATTTTGACAGTATTTTTTTAAAGATAAATAATTGCCCATAGTACCTATTTTAAGGTTAATAACCAGCATCGATTTTTTTTAAATAATTACCTTGGTATTATTTATTTGCAATTTAGATAAAATTAGGAGAAGAGGCTTTTAAAAATGAATTATTTTTTAAAAAGGTGTTGTGTTAATTCTTACTCTTTGTAGATGTAAGTGAATAGTTATTGAAATCGTAGTATTGTAGTCATTTTAATAATTAATAATTTGTTTCAGAAACTTTCACATATCTTTCGCGAAGTTCTTTCCCAATTGATGGCATATCAGACCTTATTGAAGTCAACTCAGAATCTGATGATTTTATTTCGCCGGCTCCATTGATAGCAGCAATTGTATTGCCACGCGATAATAATCCATCACCACCAAATGGATCAACAAGTGATATTTTAGATATTTCTCACATTATGAGATGTTATTGAACCATTACTACCTGAGATGGAATGCTCTGCGCAATTGCAAACTACGAATGATAATGATGATTTACAGACTACTGATAGTTTGATGATAATGACTCCATCAATCCTACAAAAAATAGATTTTATAGCCAAGCCGACTTTTTTATACATTAATAAGGATTACGATCTAAGAAGTATTTCCGATTTAGATGGTGTTTTACATAGTATTGAAACACAAAATATATCACAGGATGTTGTAACTACAGAATCGGAGGAAAGACCCGATACTCCCATTGAACAGCTTACGAAAAAGAGAAAAATAGATCCTAAATTTTATAGTTAAAAAGCACTACCTATAAAGTACATTCAAGTACATCAAGTTTTTACTGACACTCTCGGTGAACTTCAGTACAGAGACCTCAGTTGTTTCTGTTTTTGCATGAATCCTCTTTTGCAAATGGAGGCTTTACCAGCATTAGTGGATAGCGTGAGGGCGATACAGACAAAGCTGGTGGAATTGAGAACTATTAGAGAGGAATTTTCGGACATGAAAGCGTGAGTTTCGGACGTGATGACCCAGACAAGCAAAAACAGGATGCGTATATTTTAAAACATTGCACACCTTGCAAGGTACCTATCGCGTCGCCATCCTAATACATCAAAATATGCAAATAAAATTTTCAAACAAAATTTTACATTTTTACAATGCTAAAAAATATCGTTGACACACAACGATAATTTTTAACAGTATTACAAATCACAAAGTATGAATTTTATCAACATACCTTTTAGAGGAAACACTAGAAGGTTGTATTTGCCGTCAGAATTATCAATAATCAGAATTATAATTTGAAAGTTGATGATGACCTGAAAGTGAAGAAGTCTTATTTCAGGCATGTATTCAACGCAAAATATAACCTTTCATTTGGAACTCCGCCAACGCCAACTCTACCGACGTTTGTGCAACTTGTATAAAATTCAACGAACAAATGAAAATTGAGCAAGACACTAGTAAAAAAAGATTTAATGGTAGCCCAAAGGCTACACAAATTAAGAGCGAAAGCTTTTTTAACGAAAAAGTTAAAGAAGAAAAAGAAACGCTAAAAACCTTCTCGTATGACTGTCAAAAAAATCTTGACCTGCTAAAAGTGCCCGATCAGGTGGCATATTACTTAAGAAATGTGTATTTATACAATTTTACGATAGTAGAGGGATCTTCGAAAAGCAAATTGCTTCCTGAACATGTGTTCGCTTACTGTAAGGCCGAAAATTTGTACCCCAAAGCTGCAAATAAAATTGCATCAGCCCTTTATCACAGGCTTAAAAATTCAGACCTGTCATCTATAGAAACAGTAAGACTTGTCGCAGATGGGTGCGCAGGTCAAAATAAAAATACTATCATGTTGGGAATGTTGTCAAAATGGCTGACTGAAGCTCCGCAAAACGTCAAGAAAGTTGAGCTTGTTTTTCCAGTTGTCGGACATTCATATATACCACCTGACAGGGTCTTTGCCCAAATAGAAAAACAAGTGAGAAAACAGGAAGTGATTAGGGGTCCTGAAAAATATATCGAAATAATTTCGAAATTTAGTACCGTTACCGCCTTAGGAACTGACTTTGAAGTATTCGATTGGAAGACAGCTTCACAGAAAGTCTTCAAGCCTGTCGGTAGCTGGCATTTTCGATTCAAGCTCTGCAAACGTTACGTTTTAAAACGTTCTAAAAGGCCTGGAAACGTTATGATTTAAGGTCATCTATACTACAAAACAGATGATGGAGTTTTGAAAAACGTTTGTCTAAGGAATAAAACTACATCCGAGATAAATCCAAGAGATTAATGCTTCCAATAAAATAACGGATAGTAAGAAAAAAGATTTATTAACATTGCTTAGGGCCAGTTTTTTGATCCGTAGTTAAAAATGGTATAACCAATTGTTAAATTAACTATAGTTAAATGACTAACCAGTAGTTAAGTGGTAAATGCGTTTTTCAATATCTATTTTAACTATAGTCAAACTTAACAATTGGTTAATTTGTTGCCAGTGCAATGAACAATGACATTCCAAAAAATGTAGTTTTGTTTTTTTAACTAAAATAATAATTCGATGAAGAAGATGACATTTCTTTATCTTTGTGGTCACGAAACCTTAATTCAGATTCTTAACAGCACCGGAAATGTGGGAAGATTATGTTGACATCGATAGCGCTCTCCTCACATTCGAAGAACCCACCGATAAAAATATCGTACAGAACATTAGTGCTAAGGAACAACTCGAAAGTGATGGGGAAGAGGAAGTCGAGGAAGCACCATTACCTACCGCAGAAGAGGCGTTAAAAGCTGCAGAATTATTATCACGGTTTGTTCACAGCAATATTGAAAATGATAATTTGACCATTGCATAGCTATGTCTTCTATACACAATAGTATTAGAGACTGTTTTTACAATAAAATGAACAAACAAAAGCAGACAAAAATTACAGATTATTTACAGTTAAAAAATACACTTGTATGTGTAATAATGTGCTGATTACGTGCAATTTTGATTTTGATTTAATATGTATGTATACATATGTACATAATTACTATGTTTCTGTATTAAAATACTATTATATGTACATATTTACGTTTTTCATTTCACAAAACGCTTTGTATGACGTCCGCTTGTTATGACGTGTTTGTCAATTCCTTTCGATGTCATCATAAACTGACTCTACGTTTGGGAAGTGCCGCCGTCATATCGCGTGAAACAGAAGAATGTCTAGTAAAAAATTTGCAGGTGATGGAGAAGCATGGTTTCGGCCTGACCAGAAAAGAATTATTAGAGACCGCTACGTTTCGGCTAACGTCATAAAAAATCCGTTTAAAAATGGCGTGCCTAAAGATTGGTTTCTTGCATTCAAAAAGAGGTATAATTTATCATTTAAAAAGCCACAACCTGTCGAGAATGCTCGCAAACAAAGAATGCAGTCTACAATTTATATACCCGTACTTTGATTTACTGGAAAAAAAAAGTGAACGAATTGGAATTAAGCAACAAACCATCGCATATATGGAACGTCGATAAAACTAGCTTTTCCAAAGACTCCTCGAAGTCCAAGGTAGTTGGGTGAAAAGGATATACTTCCACTCGAACTATTGCCTCCCCTGGAAAACACAACACCACCGTCTTGTTGGGGTGTAATGCCGTAGGAGAGAAAACTCCAGCCATGATTGTCTACAAGGGCAAATATGTTTGGGATGAGTGGACTACAGACAAAGACTATCCCGGAATACACGGAAGCATACACTGCAACAAGTAATGGCTAGATGGAAACTGCGGTTTTTGAGTCCTTTTTGAAAAGGTCTTTTTTAAAAACTCTGGGAGAAAAGCGCCCGATCCTTTTGCATGACAGTCATGCAATGCATGTAGGCATAAATCTTGTCAATAAGGCCAGAAAAGCAAACGTCACCATTTTAAAAATACCAGCGCACACCAGCCATCTCTTACAACCACTAGATTTGGCTGTTAATAATTCAGTTTACTAATTCTGTAGTTTTACGGAACTGACGTCAAAGCCAGCCCGGAGGGGGATCTTGTCGAAGTAGGGAAAAGGGTATAAAACAAGCTGCACATGCGCACGAGTGATGACCTGATCTTTTTCGCTCAGTCGGGTCCGCGACGAGTGTCGCTTCCCAGCGCGCACCCCTGCTACGCCTGTGCGCCGGCCTTTTTAGCTGTGAACCCCGTCTCGGAGGACGAGTCCGCGGCCAAGCGCTTATGTGCTCCGTCGTCTACACCAGGCTTTCCTGGCAACCACCGGCTGGCGCCAGGTCGCCGCCCGCTGCCCTTCACCAAGCCAACACCGACTCGCGCTCCAAGAACTCAAAAAGTATAAGGAGCCCTGTGAACTATTTATTGTTAAAAGGAATGACGACGAAATCGAGACTTTGAAGGATAGTAATACTTTCCTAAAAACTGAGATGACACACTTCACACTCTTTGCTTAAAAGAGACAGTTATTGTTTTGCTTTTGCTACTGTTTATAAATACATGTTGATCTTTTTTCTCATTATTATTTTGTGATTGTTTACTTATTTGGTTGGAGGTTAGAATACTTAGAAGAAAAAAAAAGGGTCCGTGTACTTATGTACGCGCGTAAGAAGTTATACTTCTTTGGCAATGTTAAAAATAGTTTGGCTTTGTTCCACCTCCAGTTTTTGATGTTTCACAGCGATAAGATGAAAACTCTTTTTTTGTATTCAATATAGTGCAGTTACACTGATTCATCAATTGTTTTTTGTCTCTTTTCCTTATATTTACTAGATAAAATTAGAAAAATTACATGCTTTGATTAAACAATGTGGTTAATTTTTTAATCAAAAAATTACTCGATAATAATAATAATACATACGGATAGTTAACCTCAATTGTATTGAAGCACTTAGTAAGGTTGATGAGAACAGTTTTTTCACAAATATTAATTAGTATTGGTTTAAATATTCAATTTAAATCACTTCTGATTATAATTCAAAAAGCATCGCTAAATTTCTTTGAAAAAATAATTAAAACTCCTTTATTTGTTTAAAAGGTAAATGACAAATGTCATTATGGTCATTCAAAATTGTTGGCATACGAACTTCACGCATATTCTATTTCTTTTTACTTGTAGATTGTCTTATTCCTATCTCGCTCGCGCACGCTATAATCACACTCCTAATTTTGTGTCACGGGTGCGCGCGCATTGTAAAATTACACTCTCATAAATTTTTCATAACGCGCCTAAAGAAGTATAACTTCAAAAATGTCTTATGAAATAATTGGTTGGGCAGAACATTAACAGGACAATCTCGTGAAATAGTGTACAATGTTTTTAATTATTTTAAGCAACTTAATAAAAAAAGTTTAATGAAAGAATTGTACGATAAAACAAACAGTAAAAAAACATACTGTATAGTGAAATTGCATTAGTGTGAGTACTGTGAACGCGCCAGATATCGATAACCGACCTATACCTGCATGAATTAAAAACGTCAAAACTATTATAATGTATTGTATTGTATAAGACCTTCTGTCGATCCGAAGTGGTGGAGGCCTGATGACCTGTAACACAGGTACTCTTACCTTTAGCAGGCATCAGTCTCACACAAACTAGCTTTTTCCCTAAACAGAAGTAAGACAATTATTTATTTATAATAGTATATAACTGTCACTTGCATAGTCTTAAGTTTTTGTGAGAAATACATAAATAAAGATTAAAGATAGTAAGAAACAATGGAACAGCTCAAAATATGTATTAAAAAAATAGTCTTCTCGTACACAAAGTCTGTAAGACTGCCACGATTGACTTGATGACGTGTGTCGCATACACCAACTCAATTCAATTTTAACAGCAAGAAGAAGAAATACATTAAATTGCAAAAATTAATTTAAAAACTAAAAGATTAATAAAAAGAGATAATATTTACATAAATCACATACATTTATCAAAAAATATATAGAAAAGTAGTAAATTAATGAAAAATATGTTCAAGTGAGGTTGATTCTGTAAAGAAAAAATATGAAACCGACATTCTTTCATTGAATTCCAGGATTACAAGTCTTTATTATTTTCTTAAAGAGATGACAGACAAATACACAAATAGGGGAGCACATATTAGATGAGGTTCTACTGCTGTCTTAATACAATGAACAACGCTTCTAGTCGTTTACCAACAACTGTCAATGTAAATTAATGAGACAAATACAGAACCTCCATTGTTATCATGTGAGTATAGTACGCAGAGTGACAGTTTCATAAAAAAAGGCAGCTGTATAAATAAAAGTGAAATTTTGTTGTTTAGTGACAGTATAGGGGAAAATATTGGCACAAAATTATACTAGTCCTCCGGCAAAATTGTTACTAACCATTGTATGCCCGGAGCCACCCATGTAAACCTTTTAAACAAAGTTTTGCGTGGAAATTACACAAAAAACACAACAACAATCTTGCTTTTTGGGAGAAGGGGAAATGTATGACAAAATGAACTGTTGTCGTTTATTGATAAATTAAAATCACTTGATGTAAAGAATATTATCTTGTTTACATTTCCTAACATCAAAGGTGCACCAAGGGAAAATAAAATTAGATATAAGTCGAATATGCTGTTGCATTATAATTCAACATGCAATTGAATTGTAACTTGGTACACTAACTAATTTAATTGACATAAATTGTATATTTAAATATAACTATGTATTGACAAATGATAGGTTCCGTCTATAGCCAAGTGCTAGTCACCTTCTGAATATGAGCGGCAGGACGGGGGAAATAGGCGTCAATCTTATGCCAGCGCTAGACTGGAATGCTACTGGAATAATGTGAACCTGTACTGGAATGTACCATTCCAGTGATCAATCCATTCCAGTTGACTGGAATGACGGTCTATTTTTCATTCCAGCTAAACCAATCCAGCGCCACTGGAATAGTGTGAACAGCCAATCCAGTGCTTGAATACACGTTTAACAGTGAACACACATTGTTGTTATTTTATGGAATTTTATAGGGTGTATTTCGAACAATGAAGTTAACTGAAAACCAAACTCTTCAATTTGTCTCTTTGTACAGAGAACATTTGTGTTTGTGGGATATCACTTCGGAATTTTATAAACACAAAGGCATGCGCCAACTCAAGGCATACTCAGTCTGCCGTCGACCGCCATGACGGTTTTACACTTCAGTTGTTCGCGCCAGTTTGTGCCTAACACAAACGTGATAAATATCCTAAGAGGGGACCGCCAATACCACGACAAGTAAAAAATGCTATTTACAATGTACACAGTTTTTTTTCACAGACGAAAGGGCATCAAGGAAATTATGGAACATATATAAGATATGAACATTAATAAATTAGTATCAGAGGCAACAGGAGAGTCAGCCCGCACGGTAATGCGAATTGTTACTGAAGGAAATACGAGTTTGCAAACATCGGCAATTCCAAAATTTTCATCTCCACGGAAACCTAAGAAATAAAAAAGAGAATCCATTGATGATTTTGACATGGGAGTAATACGAAGAAAAATTCATCAGATATAAACTGTTGATGAAAAAATCCCAAGTGTTCGAAGATAGCATCGTGAAATGCGGTTATACCTATTTAAGACAACTTTTACACAAGATGGGAAATATATTTAAAAAATGTGAATCTAAGAGACACATTTTAATTGAGAGAAATGAAAACGGAAACATATATTTTCTGGATGAAACCAAGGTTGACAGAGTAGTCACACCTCCAACGTGTTGGCAATCCGAATGTGAGTCTGGTAAAGGGCGTCGATTAGAGATTGTTCATGGTGGTAACCGAGACGGATTAGTTGACGGTGCCAGATTCGAAATGCGGAGATTACCATGGCGATATGAATGCCACAAATTTTCATAGCTGGTTTTTTCACAAATCGAAAAATAAACTAGCTCCTAATTCAGTGGTCGTAATTGACAATGCTTCATACCATTGTGTACAGGTTAGGAAAAAACCAACTATGTCAAGTTTTAAAAGGGATATGCAAGACTGGTAACGCGAACGTAATGTTGGATTTACAGCATACAATACTAAAGCCGAACTCTTTCATCCAATAAATAGAACTGACGTAACAACTATATGAGCAGTTTATTTGTCAGTAGGGTTATTTCGTGTGCACGGATTAAATCACAGTATTACTGTTTTTGCAGGATTCGACGGAGGGTTATAATTCACAAGATTTACCCGAGATGCCGACAGAAAATATAACTTCAAAACCAAATAAACGTCCTAGAAACAATCAAAAAGGTGAGATAGTGCCAGAAGCACTGACTATTATGTGAAATATCTCCGGACGACAAAATGCCTCTAAAGAAAAAGATGAGGATGGCGTGAAAGGTTCTACATCAAAATAACTTCGGATTGTGTTTATACACTCTATTAATATAGTTTGTCATATTATCTAGTTTTATTTAGTCTCCAGTCGCAATTAAACATACTTTGTATATCTTTATATGCAAAATTGTACCCCGACTTACGCTAATTCGACTTACGCGGATAGCGCTTAGTCCCACTTATCGCGTAAGCCCGGGGTATTACTGTATAAATAATACCCCGATATTTGTGAATTTTCTTAAAAAATGCGAAGAAACTTTTCCCCCTACCTATTATTTCCAAACATAATATAGAAAATTGGCCGCAAATAACTGATTGGAGTGCAAAGGAATGTGCTAAAAAGACTTCTGAGATGACTGGCGTGGGTCTGTCAAGTGTCTTGTCGCAAGCGTGCGCATGCGCACCCTTACCCCGCTGGCATATCTTTGTACGTGAGTTGCTATGTTTCGTTTCAGAGTACATATATAAATTCAAAATGCCTCGAAATTATCTGAGGAAAGCTTCGGATAGATGCGTCGTAACAGATGAACAGCTGGAAGCCGCCAAATTATTAAAGGGTGCCAGTAAAAGAAAAGCTGCATTTCAAGTCGGACTTAAGGAAAGTACGCTGCGAAAACGTTTAAAAACTGGGAAGACAGCAAACAGCTTGGTAAGATTTTCTTTGACATTCACCAAGGACCAAGAGACTGATATATACAAATATATTAAACAAAGTGATGATCTTTATTATGGTCTCACAATGCAGAAACTCCAGAAGTTGATTTATGAGTATGCTGAAGTAAACAAAATTAGCTGGCCGAGACTGGGTAAATGGATTCCTTAGATTTCCTGAATTGAAATTGCGACAGCCAATCCCAACTAGTATTGCCAGAGCCATGGGATTCAATAAAACTCAAGTACAAAGATTATATGATAACTTGCAGAGCCTCTACAAAAAACACAAATTTGTACCCAGCCAAATACATAATATGAAAGTGGAGTGAATACAGTGCTACTAAGGAATTTGAAGTGATATTTTACAGTGATAATTATTATACTGTAAAAACAATAGGCAGATTAGAGGTAAAGGCTTTAAATGATGGGGACTTATTTTTGGACTTCAAGAACTGGTGGCCAAGATATTATACTAAAACAGCAATATCAGAGGAAACCAAAGGCAGAGGTGTCATCAGATCACTATCTGAAAATAAAATCTATTTCCAACCCACTGTCTTCAAAGAATTTAGACATTTAATTAAAAGGGCTGGTATTATCCAGGCACTTATTGCCCAAAGAGTGCGGTTGCCATGTGAAAAAGCATATGAAACTGTGAACCCCATAAACGCAAAGAAAATTCAAGATATTAAAAAGCTTATTAGCTACATTCGTGACACTCATCAAGATTTTTATAAAAAAATATTGACATGGCCCACAACACAAGCAAGAATATAACTCGAGCTTTAAAATCGTCGCTGATCAATAAATTACCCTAATTAACACTGCAAAAATAAAAGGCTCGCCTTACATAGTTAAAGTACTTGCCCATGATAGTTTTGTTGATTTAAAATCTTTGGCTTGCAGTAACTTTACCATTAATGAAGACAAAGAGAAGGTTAAATGGTCTGATATAAAAGTACTAAAAATAGATAAATACCAGAAAAACAAGTTTCAATATAAGACCTCATATCAAGAGAATGAATTAAAATCAGTGTCCACACTTTGTAGGGGCAGGCAGCAGAAAACAAATCAATCTGAAAATACTACACCAAAGAAACTTTATGACCAAAAACTAAATGTAACGCAAGCAAAAAAACAGGGAATTCTGAATCTTATTAATAAAAATATTATGAATCATTTTTTGGAAATCTGTGAGACTGAAAATTTGTAATGAGTAACACAGCAACCACTGAGTACCTAACCGATATGTTTTAAGAAAGTTTACACTAACAAAATATGGTTGTGATTTTATGATCTCATAAGTGTTCCTAATGGCATTTAAGATACTGTTATCATTATAACATTTTAATAGGTAGTTATGTTTGATTCTAACAAAAGAGTTGTTATAGATTATTTGCCAAAAGTTTTGTGTTTAGTTTATAAAGTTTTTATTTAATAATTAGTTTTGACAACTTAGGTTTGTTTTGCTAATTAAATTGAAAAATTGTATTATCTTTGTATTGTCAATTTTATTACTAGTATAATATATTTTGATTAAAAGTTAAAACAATTTACATATTGGCTAAAAAATTAAATAACTCCCCATTTATTTTTTTTGGAAAATCATATTTTCTCAAATTTCCAAATGTTTACTTTGGCATACGGTGGGTTTTAGAAATCATGCATTCATATATGGTCAGGAGTTTCAAATCAAATGCTTTAACGAAACATATACCAGGTGGATAACCTTGGCAGGTGATCTAGGTCATGATAGGGCATGTAGCGGAAGAAGCTTCAACAAGTGGGGCAAATACAGAAACGTTGTTCATGGTGAATTAACGTTGATGCTATCAACTGGGACAGCAGTACAATTATCAAAAAGTGAGGTAAGCGATAACAATTACACTGAATTGTATGTGCTTTTGATTCAAAAAAAATTCTCCATCCAACTTTTGGATACACCTATTGAAATAACGCAGCCATATATCCCTGCTCAGATAATGCTTATCATGTGGTGTATCAAGGTCTTGCAACCAAAGTATTAACTGCTATGGGAAAGGAAATGTATAACATTGTTAAACATAAAATAATGTCCACCGTCAAAGAGCCAAATCAAATACTATTAACGCTATCCACATTAGGAGAAAAACAGATATGTCGCTATACTATGTATCAAACTGAACATCCTCAATATTTAACTGTTGAGGTTAAAAAAGGAATTCAGAAAACCATTCCAACCACTGATCTTGACATCTTCTTGTATGTAACAAGAGGAATTGAATATAGCTTAAAAAGCATATATAAGACCTTAAGCATAAACGAAAAAACGAAAACTTGAAAACGTTGACGACTTTAGCCTTTATATCTCCAGTATCATTCGCCTATCAATATATGAATTCTCCAGGATACACTGCCACACAGAACTGAGACCACTATTAATTCTAGCACTGCCATATCAACCGGAGAGGTAATTCCTGTAATTCTCAGTCAATAATATATAGTATATACAGAGAATGGGTTATGGCCTCAACCGCCTGAAGTCTGAATGCTTTATGCTCATATAACATATTATACGTATATTCACAGGCCACAGCGTATGCTTATATAGTACTAGGAATGAATGCATAAAATGCACAGACTACTTATCTCAGTATAGACTATAGATTATACTACTAACGAGTAAACTTAATAATTAATGTTTGGTTGACCGTTGTAGTCGTTTATTTTATGTAAAAGAGCTTATGAATGTTTCTTAATTTTTTTGTAACGATCTGTATAGGATTAACACCATCCAATTACTCAAGACACCTTATCACAATTTATACAAAACTATAAAAATTATTAATGAATTGTTTTTAAGATTCAGGCAAAATTAATGAAGGTTTTTAAATGGTATCTCGTCCTTTAAATGTGACCAATTAACGTTTTCAGTTTATATTAAAGCAAAGTCAAAGTCAAATCGTTTATTTCAATTAGACCATCTAAAATGGCACTTTTGAACGAAAAAAACATAAACATAAGCAAAAACATAAACAGGAACGTCACGAAGATGTGCAGCGTTTTTGTCGAAAAAAAAAGTCAGAGAGCGATTGAGAAAGAGTGCGAAGGGTGAATTAACTTATAGAAATTCTATTTTTAAAATGAAAATTTCGTAAAGAGAATTTATGAAATATTAGTATTTTGTATTTTATGCAAAATAATTTATTGAAATCACAAATGACGAATTGAAAATTAAAATGCCACGTGTTTTTATTATCGAAGAAATGAATTAAAAAAATTCAAATAAAATATTTGTAATATTTTTGACAAAAATTAATGTTTTAATGACAATTAAATTTATTAAATTCATCGTTCAACTTTTTTTTTCCCTCCCTCTAACGCCTTTAGTACACCTACGCGTTCGTTTGCGGCTGCGAGTCTTTGCGAAATAATTGCGGTAGCGAAATATCTGCGGAACGTTAGTACACTGCAGTTTTTTCGCAAGGAAATGTCATTGTAGCTTTATTTCTTACCATCTATCCCCGTCTTTTCTTGAATTTTCCTCCATGCCACCTCTTTTTTGTATGCATTTTTGTAATTAACATGCCCAACTAAATATAATTCGGGATAATTTCGAATCAAATTTAATAATAATTCAATATTTTCGGCTTCCATTGTGCGAAATTCTGTCCTCACTGACAGAACGCGTGGTGACGCATTGCGATGCGAAACTCCGCTAGCGAAACGGCTGCGTCTGTGTAACAGCCATTTCGCAGTTACTTGCGAAACAATACCGACAAGGACGCAACTATTTCATCTAGCTATATAATAGAGCGAGACAAAACACATGCGAAACGTTGCCTTGAGAATATACCCTTTGTTGCATATATTACACTTATACTGAGCTTCTGTATTATGTACCTTCACCAAATGCTGGTTCCGTTGATAGTAACTTCTGAATGATTCATCACAATATGGACAATTACTAATATTTCTACAGCCTAAGTGAGATGTTCTTTCATGGTAGGATTTCTTAGCACGATTTGAAAATATTTTTTCACATAGATCGCATTTAAAACTACCCTCAATGTGGGTAGTTTTGTGTGCATTCAGAGATCTCTTTGTTATGAATGTGGATCCACAATGGCATACATAGTTATTGTAGTGTACATTCATATGTTGTTTGAGCATTTTGAATGTTTCATAAGTTGAAGCACACATTATGCAGTTAAAAATATCGCCTTTTGTCAATTTAAAGGGAGTTAAGTGGTCCTTAATGTCATTATGAATGGATTTATTGTGGCTATTCACTAAATGCTCTTTGAGTTTTTGTAAATTTTCTACATGTTCTTCGCATATTGTGCATTTTAGGTTAGATACCTCTAGTTTTATTTGATAGTCATTTAAGTCCGATGGTGTGTATAGTTCTAGCCTCTGACTCTTGTGGTCAAATTCCGTATGGCTCCTAAGATCTAATGGATCTTCATAGGTCTTATCGCAATATCCACAGATGAAGCCAACCAAAGATTTGTCCTTAAAAGGCAATACATTTGAGTATTTTAAAAGTATTGCCAGATTTTCCGTGTCTTTCTCGTGTGGAGGTTTTGTAATTAATTTTAGCTCATTTACTGTACTAAGTATATTTTTCATTTTCTTGTCATCTGAAATATTAAACTTATTAGCGTTACCTCAATCATTATGACAATATATAAATTATTGTTGAAAAATAGTAATAAGTGTCGCCACTGTTGATATTTAAGATAAATTTAATGATAACTACTATTATGTTCAAATTGTCAGTAACTCTTAGTAACTCGTTTTAAGCACTGTCAACTTAATAGGAATTGGTTTTATGGCCTCTAAACTAAACTAGATTTAAGTTTCATTGATGTTATAGAATACAGATCAGAAACAGTCATCAGAACCTTTAAGCAAGTTCACCTTAAATCATTTTAAAAGCTACTAAAAATCACTTCTGCACTGTTTGTTAGGTATATATTTGAATGTACTACATCATTCAAATAATTTAACAGACTACTCACTTGAAATTCTTTTTATAAGAGCTAAATTTCTCTTTGATCCTCTTGGTTTTTTTATTTTAACTTTTTCTTTTGTTTTCTTTTTTAATTCTTCTTTAACTAAAACAAAAAAAATATAACTCTTTTGCTCCATATAAAAAAATTGGTCATGTTATACTGGGACATGGGGACAGACAGGGGAATATTGTGTCTGTTTCATTGATTTATAATCAGTTTGATGATTATTCAGTACCAACACGAAACAATTATTGTTTACGCCGGGAATCGAATCAGACGCCATGCGTAGCAATTCCAATTTCATGTTCCAAAAAACACCTTAAGTGTGGATCTCCACTTGAGCACTGTCAAATATGTCAAATTTCAAACAATAGTATTGTTTGACATATCTTCCAATTAGATCTAAGTTTAAATGGTGGAAGGGCCCTAATCATTTCCTAACAAAGTTTGCTGACACAGCTGTTTGGTAATCACTTGGTTCACAGAATTGGTACTCTTTTAACTAAAGTCTATATAATTCTAATCTCGCAATCTCTTTTTATAACAGCGGAATCACACTTTGATAGAAAGAGATAATGAGAATCATTAAAATAGTGCAATAATACTGACAGTTTTAATGCATTAGATAGAAATTACTTGACTTTGCTTAGTTTCCCTTGTCCATAATGTAATGTTTCTTTCCATATACCAACTATATATAATGCCTGAAAATAGCATGTATAACTATATAAACATTTAGTTTACACAATTACTACAAATATAAATATATTAATTGATACTACCCAAATCTTTGTCTATGCACAAAACTTTATGTAAAGCATTCAAAACTTTGCATAAATAATATAAATTAATTTTGATATCATTTGTTTTTATTTAAAATATGTAAATGTTTTTGGTGTTTAGCTTATGAAAACTTATTTAGGGAGCGTTCAAGTATTACATAAGGAATTTTGAGGGGGGGGTCATTTTATAAAATGTTACGATGCGGGGCGGGGATTGAATAACGCGTTATTAAATAAATAAAAATAAAAATGTCTTTATTCATTTTAAGTATGAATTAATTGTTAACATTATTTTCGACTTTCCAATAATTTACAACTTTTAGGTATAAAAAGTCACTAGGTGGTCACGAAACGTTTTACTTTACTTAAAAATTGCGTGACGTAATACTTGAACGCTCCCTTATCTGCTAGTGACAAAACCAGCTAACTTACCAACATTTAAGAATAGGCCGTCTTCTGCATCATTACAATTCTCATCTTCAGACTTCATTTCACACTTGATAGGTACTGCCTCAACTAAAATCAAAACTGGCTTATATTCCATTCACAGTGCATGGGAACAAGTACTAGCTTCTTTCTATGTTTAACCCTCTCAAAAGCATAGCAAATATAGTGAAAACACCTGCTTATCATCAACTACATGTGTGACTTACTAATAAAAGAAAATGATCAAAGAAAAACATGTCTGAGGCCTAGATCCACTTTAAGTTGTTCTTAGCTAGCATGTAATTGGTGCATTCCTAGTCCAGAAGACCCATAAATTCAAACCCTGAGATTATATAAGGCAAAACTAAACTATGTTAGGCGTGAGCATATGCTGGGCAAAGTCTACACTTAAGACATTTTAGACACAATTGAAATCACAGCGGGCAATTATGTCTATAGGACTAATAGGTTATAACAAACCTGTCAAGAGATAGACACATTCAATTAACTAATAAAGTATAGTAAATATATTACCAATTCTCTCCTGCAATACTCTAGTAATCATCTTTTCGGAATAGGCAACTTGCTGCTTAAAAGCATCTCTTAATCGTGTAATACATTTAAGGCATATTGACTTTGATTTCTCCTGTGTAGATAGCTGTATATTAGTTTCTAAGATGAAGAAGTAGGAACAAAGTTTAAAAAAGCATTCCTTGGGCAGCGGTTAAGCCTACCATTTTTCTATATAACTAGTTTGGTTATTTGTATAATCTCAATTTTAACTATAAAAGGTTAATTTTAACTGAAAGTAGTAAACTTTAATTACAGAGATATATCTAGGTTAATTTTATAATATGTTGAACTGTGTTTTGTAAGTTAATATTTTTTCTACTGATATGAACTTAGGTTTTATTTAATCTAACCTAATTAGCCTTCTAATACTAGAACCTAATTGCACAAAGATTGTCTTTGCTCTACAATACATATACGTATATGCTTATTTTCCAGTATTGCTATTGTTTTAACAGAATTGTATTACTTTTATATAGCTGGAGTCCAGACAAGTAGCTCTTTTATTTAATTACTTTTTATACTACGACATGCGGACTGTAAATTTATAAAAGGAAATACATATTTATCCAATACTCACATCAATATTAAAACATCCTGAAGCATGTTGGAATAAATTTCTTTACTTTCATCATTAATGTTTGGGATATCAATGTCTCTGTGCATTCCTTCAGCTAAACAACAACGGCAGACACTTGGTAATCCCATTTTAATCATTTATTGTCACATAACTCGTAGGTAAAAATATAAAAAATATGTTATTTCAAAATTTAAAATATTAAAATGTATCAAATTTAATTCGAATTTATGGAAGCGTCAAGCGATATATTAAGAGATAGAAAATAATAACAGATAATAGTTGATACAACAGATTAAAACGATACATTTCTCAAACGTCAAAAGCAATATAAGAAAACTATAGGTGGCAGATGCCAATACTTATCTAGATGTAGACATGATAAATATGAAATGGCTTAAGAACATCACTTAAACCTAACAATAATTGTATAAATATCTTTAATAACATTTAAATTAAAAAATTTATAAGTTTGTTATCTACTTTGAGCAATATTGACCCAGTACCTTGAGCGCGCAACTCCTCTAATCCTCCAGATGGTCGATTGGTCCGTGGTCGTAGTTTGGAGCTCCGGCTGTGTACCAATAGGCTTTAGTCCTACTATGTGCGCAGAGTTAAATGCTTGTTTATCAAGAAAATCATCGTGAGGACGTCACCATGATTTTAACCCAAAAAGGTCGCCGACGTCAGTCACAGAAATGTGATCACCCGTTGGCCTAGAGATAATGACTTTGATGAATGAATAATAGGAACTTGGTTTCATTCTAAAGCAATACAGAACTAAATGATGACTTTCGTTCAAAACACTATACTATAGTAATATCACGAATGCTGTGAAACGAACGACTGCTAGATCTTGTAAAAATATGAGCAGCGCAAAACCAAGGATTTTCTAAATATTTATAAAAAAATAATAAGGTTAATATTCCGTATCACGGCACCAGTGATTTTGAGGTTAATTTTTTTTATGACTTCGTCACGAGTTCTCAACACCATAACCAGTGTTGTTATGATGGCGCATGACCTTTTTTGCCAAAAAAAAATAAAAAAGTACCCAAAACCGAATCAGAGCACCCTACTATCCACGTGGTCTTGTCCGCCATACCCCTAGAGTGTATTTAAAAAATCGGAGGCGCAAAGGGAGAGCAGTCCCCACCCGCTGTAACAAAGCACAGGCATTATGCAAGAATAAAATACCTGCGCTTTGGTACGCAAGGGCGGAGCATTTCCCGCAGCGCCGGAGCTATCCAAAAAACCTATTATTAATATTGTTCGGTTAGGTTAGTATATTAATATTTTTTTAAATAAACTGATTTGATTTTTCATGCACACATGTCAACAAAATAGAGCTTTATGTAATTGTAAGTAACAAATTTATTTGGGAATTCAAGTAATGAACAAAATTATACAGCCTGAACTTCGTCGTCATATTTCTGCCACCTATGAGTTTTTTCATCGCTGTCGGCATTTTATAATCAAAAGCGCTAAAGAAATTAAAACAAGATATGACTTATATGACCCCATCCTATCAAAACTGGACTGTATAGAACCTACCAATGCTGTTTCCAGTAATTACAAAAAATAGTACCGACGTTACAGTCACTTATGATACTAGTACTACTACAAAGAATAATAAAACCCGTCGATATTCAAATGATGAAGAAATTAAGAAATAGTTTATCAAATGAAACACTAAACGGAACATTATTAGCCAAGCAATTAATACGAAAAAACTAAAATTGAAACAAGTTCAAGCCTACAAAAGAAATACGACCGCGGAAAATTGGTTCGTCTAATAAATAAATAAATTTTTTTCTAAATTAAAACGAATTTTAGTCATTTTAAATAAAAACTTTCCATTTTCTTTTTAAAAATTTCCTTGGAATATGATCTTTGTGTACAAGTAGCGGCACGAAACTCTAGCGCTGACCGTTATTGCGCAGAAGTAAAAAATAAGGTACCTGAGGGGGGTTAGCGGGCGCGCGTAGCGTCGATTGGCTCTCCAGTCGCATTCCGTCCCCCGCGCGACAGTACACATGCGCAGCAATCCGCTTACGTGCCGCTGCCTATAGTTAGGGTACGATCATGCTTTTTTTTCATCTGGCAACCCTGCAGTGTCAAGTGTTATAAATACAAGTGTACAATACAAGTTAGTAGTTATCACAGAACACTATTACTTCTAGCGAAGAAGAACAACTTCATATTGCTTACACAAACAGACGCTCCAGGTAATGCCATATGGAGCGAGAATTTATGCAAGTACAGAATTTTAAGGAATAATTATTTCATGTAGTTAAATAATACGAGGAGTGTACATGGTTAACAATTTTATTAAAAATCCTTTTTAGATATTATGCCGCATTTTGAGCATTTTACACTTCAAGTTCATTTCATGAAATAGGAAACTACAACACAAAAGCGTCAATTCTGCACTGGAGTCTCTTCGTAATTGATGATTATACAGCAAATTAGATTTTGAGATTTTCACTTCACAACTTATTTTGTACACAGTGTTACTATTAAAAAATATCTGAAAGCCTTTGAAAAAAGTATTTTTTTACATTAGTTAGGTACCCAGTGTAGCTTTATATTCTAATAAATTTAATAGATTTATTATAATATAATAGCCCTTATTATAATAAAATAATCTGACTTTAGATACTGATGTTATCAACATTAATAACAAGAAAAAATTGCAAAGCGTTGAATAATTTTACCTAACAATATGGTAGATATTTATATTTTATTTATTTATTGCGGAGATAGACAAAAGAGTATACCTAGTCTGTCTACGGGATATTGCTTCTTTTGCGCTATTTCAGGTTCGCAGATAATGCAACTATTGGCATTGGCTGATACGAAAGCTGACAGACTGTGGTTAGTGCCGTAAGTGGTAGTTATACAATAAAAAAGCAAGCGGACTTCTAATTAGTTCTAAATATACAGGAAAGTTTCAATAAATTATAAAACAAAAGATAGAACAAAATGGTTGACGTTTGTTATAAAATGAAAAATATTTATAAAAAGATAATCTGTGAAAATGTCTCAAGAATCACTTATCTGATGGAAAATAATTAGCAAGATTAATATAGAAAATGGTTTAGCATAGCAAAGGAAAATTAAAAAATATACATCTGAAATAACTCTTTTGAACGTCAAACATGGCTGACGCACGAACCGTGCAGGCCAAGAAATGGGGAAAGAAAGGATATAGATACAATTGATACTAAAAATGTTCGTTACATTTGAGGTATTATATCGTACTTGATGTGTATTACTGTGTAATTGAATTGTGTTGATTGATGTGCCAACAATTTCTTCTTTCGGCCTCAGCCCTCTCATGGCAGCTATTTTGTCTTTGTACCAGGCTATGTTGCAAAATAAAGGATGTAACATCCAATATCCATTCATCAAATTTATGCTAAATTGAGATTGTCTGCTCTGAAAGTCTAGCTTTGTCTTCTAAAATTCAACAGTAGCTGTTTGATATTGTTTTTCTTAAATCATAGGTAAAATTTACCTATATTGATACTCTCATAGCATCTTGAGATAAAAGGCCAACTCTTGTCCCATAACTTCTGGCATTTTTTACTGAAGGCCATGAAAGAAGAGAAACTGAAACTGTTTTGTTTCTTATAAATAATCAAGTATTTATTTTACCTCTCTTCGCATCATTGATTTTTCCTTTTTTGTTTTTAAATACAACAGGGTGATGTAATTAATGCTCTAGAAAGGGATAGTATAAATGAAAATAAGAATTATGTAAAAAAACAATATGATGGAAATTTACATCATCAATTATTGTCAGATATTTAGTAGCTCAGTACTTCTTTATAAATATTCTTTATTCTTTATGATAATTAAAAAACAATTATTATTCTTATTCAAGCACAAGTTAACTCCACATTTAGTACATGAAATTGTGGAATAGCCTTTACATTTGGGAAATTTGCTCCGGAGTGGCCTACTAACTTGACCTACATTTGGCCAATGTTCAGAACCAGGTGGAGCTCGAGAACCTTTTCATTTTTGATTGTATTTTTTCTTCTAGTTTACTGGTACTTGGATGCACTCTTTTTGTAAGCAGACTCTTTTTTAGGTTCACCCCTTTGAGCATTTTTTTTATAAACAATCCAAGAGTTTATTATAGCAAGATCAAAAAGATGGAAAATAATACCACTTTTTAGAGCAAATTTTTATGATTTCTGCCTAAATAGCTATCCATAAGATCTCCTTTGATGTGTTTATTGTTTTCTTGGTCAAGTAATATCAATTTTTCCTTTTTTTACCTTGTCAAATCTATTGACTTTAGTTATAGGCAATGCTCCAGCATAATAATATAACAGGGTAACTATCTTATTATCTTTCCAAGCTACGCAGCTCAAATCTACACCATCATGCATAGAATCTCTTTCCTCAAAACTACATCTGGGTACAGATTTTTTTCATGAAATCTTTCCTTTCTGGTAGTTTATTATTTGGTATCCTGTTTTGTTGCACAGTTCCTACTGACTGAATTCCTTTAGCTAAAATAATTACTATAGGCGAAGAGGTATAACATTTTTCAAAGTATATGATATGGTTTTGCCTTCTTGGCACTCCGCGAAGCAAACATACTACAACATTTCCCGTTGTACCAAGATCTGGTTCATCTGGAAGTTTTTTGAATTCTCTTGTCCAGAATATACCTCTAACTTGTGTGCATATTCCATCACATCACAAAGAACGTAATTTGAAGCCCCATTTATGGGGGTTCTTGGGCAGATACTGTTTTAAAAAGTGCACTATTTTTGTAGAACACATTATTTTGTTCATCCGCAGAAAGTCTGATTCATTGGCACTGTGGCAAACCTCTCATTGAGATGCTTGATAACAGGGCGGATTTTATAAAGCCTGTCATGTTCTGGATCACCTATAGGTTTGGGAAGTTCATTGTTATGAATATGTAATGAAAGCTTTATTTTCTCAAACTTGTTCAGTGGCATCGTTGAAGAAATGGGCACATAACCAAACTTTGGTGACCAGTATGATCTTGTGCTAGGAAACTTGATTACTGACATGTGTAACAATATAACAAATAACTTATACAAATCATATTCTGTAAATGTTATAGATGATCTGGGATTACTTTATATATAAATTTGTCTTCTCTAGGAGAGCGGGGAGCTAGTTGTAACAATTTGTCGCTTCTTGGCTATGAAAGCTTACTTGTTTTGTATTTATGAAACTAGCAGTACTATTCCAATTAACAACTATTCAACTATCGATCCCAAATAAACTTTTGATCAAACCTATAACGATTGTTGGTAGAAACGGCTTTGAAAAAACTGACGGTAAGAATCACAATTGAGACAAACAAATGAGATCTTATTCCTTTTTTTTCAATTTTCCATTCTTTTGCCAAATGAATAACGAGATGAAGACCGCAAATCGAATGAAAATGATGTGTGAGGGGTAAAAGTTTTTTCTGAACAACCTGCAGTTGAGGAACCATTACAAGCTGTTGAACCATGTCCTTGATGTCTAACAAAAACTCTTCTACTTATAGATGAGTGGCTCCTGCTTTCCCGCGTGTTGTGCCCCCTTTCAGCAGCTATCACGTTACGTTCAGCGTCAGGTTCAGACTCACATTCGCTGGTGTCATCGTGTTCCTCAATTTATTCGTTGAAATTCCGGGTCTATATGTCGTTATCCTCGTTCCCTACATCTCCCTTTCCAAAATCATCTAAATCTGAGTCGTTCAGAAACTCGTCTATTTCTACGTCATTCAAATCGGAAAAAATAATCATACCTTTTATTTAACCCTTTCAGACCGGAATTATTTTTTTTCATCCGATGGATTTAGTAAATTCCATGTGTCTAAAGTATAATAAGTTAATTTTAATAAAATTGAAAAAAAAAAAATTTAAGCCTAATAATTGAAGACATGAGTGGATGAAGGTGCTATGATACAAAAACATAATTTTGAGTAAATTGCAGTTAAAGGTTTTCGAGATGTAGAAATTGTAATTCAAAATATATTTTTCTAAAACTTTTCTTAACCCTTTACTGCATGATTTTTTGTTTTGGACCCAAAAAAATATATGTTACGTAAAAAAATAAATAAAAAGACACGTATATTAACAAATTTCAATTTATCAAAAAATACGTAAGAAAATCAGGTTTTTCCACTTTAGTTTAAATGTGGCACAATGAGCAGAAATTGCAAAAAAAAGGATTAGATAGTATGAAACAGCAGGAAACAATTCCTCTTCTCATTCAAGCATAAGTTGACTTGACATTTCCTGCATAGCACGTGGGATCTACCATTGCACTCAGGCACTTTGTAACGCTGCCTGGATGACCAGACAGGCAAGTGATCCAGCTGGTCAAGACGAACATCCTGAGATGGCATTATTGCAATAGCTCCTCTGGACTTCTTCTCTTGGATTGCATTTTCGATAATATTAGAGGATGGCCGTCCGCGTTTGGCGACTGTGCTGGGCTTATTGGTCATAGTGAGGGCTTCCGCCACAGCTACTTTGAAATCGCTAAGGGGCAACCATGCATCAGCGTCAGCATTTCTGCGTCTATATAACAGCCAAGCATTGACTGTCGTCATATCTAAAAGATGAAAGAATATGCGGTGATAACATTTTTGTGATCTGATCTGGATCCTGTAATAACCAAGAAGTGCATCTAACAGATCCACACCTCCCATATGACTGTTGTATGTCGTGACAGCCTTTGGACAGGGAACAGTTTGGTACACTTTTTCTTTTTTATTATAACGTCTCACTTCTGTCAGGTTTGCTACCAACGTATGTCGATGCCAAGTTTACAACTCTGTTGTCATACCATGTTGTCACAGATATGTCAACATTGTCCACGGTTGAAATTTTTTCAACTGTAGCACCCCGTCCTTTCTTTTTCAACTCCTTTTCGACTGGAACTTTATGTCCTGGAACGCGGTTGGCTTTGATTGTGCCCAGGGGCAAAATACCCTGTTTTGTTAAGTAAACTAAAAGTGGCAGTGATGTATACCAATTGTCAAAGAAAAGTCGGTAGTCCATGTTATGTGCAATGGTTCTTGCAAGCCGGACGACAACATTGCTTGAAGTGCTGATGTTCGGCAAATTGCCATCTACTGTTTCAGAAACATGAGCACCTGTGTATAGCTCAAAGTCGTAGCTGAAACCAGAACTGCCGCTCAAGACAAAGTTCTTGTATCCCCACTTATGTGGCTTTTTTGGGTTGTACTGCTTCATTGTAGACCTGCTTTTAGTTGGTATTATCTGTCCGTCGACGGCCATATATTCCTCTCTCGGAACAGTCAGTAGTCGTTCTCTAACTTGGACAAGAAATGGCCTGAGTTTATGGAGAGGATCATAGCCAACCTGACCTTTGGGAATTTGGGTTGAGTTATCATTGAAATGTAAGAAACGTTTAATTTCTTCAAAACGATTACAGGACATAAACGAATTCACTTTAGGGTGTCCTAATACCGAACTCCAGTAGTCTCTGGTCGAAGGCAGCTGAATAACTGACATCATCAGGCATATACCAACAAACTGTTCTATATCTGCACTGGTAACTATCATTAGCTTTTCGGGGCGTTTTTCCACTGCATATTTGAGTGTTTCTTGAGTAATGTAGAGAAATATATCATCGGTGAACAAATATTTGAAAAAATGAATAGGTGTCTCTAATTCCATTATATCAGCAGGCAAGCTGGTATTGCCTAAGAACTGAATTTCTGTTTCCGTTTAAGCCCCGTATTCATGGTAAACATTTGTTTAGCAACAGTTGCTAAACATTGTTGGTGAGCGGCGAGAATGTTGCTAGCAACTATGTTTAAATCAATACAGGTTGTCCACACGCCAGTCTGCGTTAAAATGTTGCCCGAGGAGGTAGTGTTGTTGTGTTCTCTGTATCAGATGTATAGAATCTCTAATAAAAAAAAGAGAAAAAGATGGTGGATTCGAAATTATCTTTTGCAAAGAGAAAATTTGATGAGTGACCTCAGAATGACAGATGGATCATTTTGTAACTTTACGAGAATGTCGAAAAGTGATTTCGAACATCTTCTAGAAATGATTGGTCCATCAATAGCCAAAAGGGAAACAAATATTCGTCAGCCAGTTTCACCTCAAACGAGGCTGGCTATTACATTACGGTATCTTGCAACTGGAGATTCATACAGTTCTCTTTCATACACATTCAAAGTATCAAAACAATTGATTAGCAAAATTATACCAGATGTATGTCAAGAACTAATTAACTCACTAGCAGGATATGTCAAGGTACAAGAACACTATTTGTGTAATCAAGTATTTTATTAATTAAAAACACAAAAAAAAAAACAGTGTATGCTATTGCGTTGATTCATCACTGAGATAGTTAACTAAGTTTAGTATAGCCGAATCTTCTGTTTCGTCTCGTAATGCATCTAGTCTATTTGTTTCGTGTCTCTCAATTTCCCTTATTTCAGTTTCCTGAACATTATTTGGTGTTGATGATGGATGAGAAGATGCCGTTTGATATCCATATGTATTATATCGTCCCATTTTTAATTCATACAGTATATTATTAATATGGTACTTTGCCTGTGTCACGGCTTGGTCATCTTTAACACTTCTTAATTCAGCAGCAATATATTCACCATATATATCAAATGGATCCTTCTTCTCCCTTTCATCCATCTTTTTCTAGCACTTTTCAAAACCTCTAATATTTCATTTGATTCATCTGTCTTATTTCTTTTCCTCGAAGATGTAGATGTTGTAGCATTCGGCCTTGGTGATTGAGATGGCTCTGACTCCATACCACTTTCAAGTGCATTGTTTTCATCTACCTGTAAATTATTATCTTATTATATATTTATTTATTTTTTAGGTTCCAAGTTCGGAACAAGAATGGAAACAAATAAGTCGTGAATTCGAAATACGATGGAATTTTCCACATTGCATTGGGGCCATTGATGGGAAACACGTTATGATTGTGGCGCCAAATAATTCTGGAAGTGAATACTACAATTATAAAAATCAGTTCAGCATGGTACTTATGGCAATTGCAGATGGCAATTACAACTTTATTTACGCAAATTATGGAGCTAAGGGTCGGTCGTCCGACAGTGGAATATTTCAAGAAACACCGTTTTATAATGCATTGTTAGAAAACTCACTTAAACTGCCACGGCCTGAACCAATAACACAAGGCGGAACAGAAATGCCGTATGTAATTGTAGGTGACAGTGCTTTCGCGCTAACGGAGAACATCATGAAACCATATCCTGGCATTCATGAACGTGGGAACAAAAAGCGTATATTCAATTACAGACTATCAAGAGCTAGGAGGATTATAGAAAATGTTTTTGGCATTTTATGTGTGGTGTTCCGTGTATTCACTAAACCTATTCCGTTAAAACCAGCCAATTGTGAACTCGTGGTAATTGCTTGTGTATATTTACATAACTTCTTAAGACGTAACTCAGTTTCCAGATCCATATATACACCTCCACAAACTTTTGATTTTGAAGACTCTGAAGGTAACCTATTAGAAGGTTCTTGGCGAAGGGAACTAAGTTCGTTTCCTATGATTGATTTGCAAAGACGGGGCAGGCCTGCATCACAATCAGCTCTTTGTATTAGAGAACAGTTTGCCGATTACTTTATAACTCCAGAGGGAAGAGTTCCATGGCAAAATAATGTAGCGTAATTGTAATAATTTTACAGACAATAGTATAAAACAATTATATACAAAAACAACTTACTGTTTTATTCATAGTATCCGTTTCACCAGAAGTAGTTGCACCACATAACAAAAATTCCAATGGCTCGTAATAAATCCATTTACATTTTTCTATTGCGCCGCTGCCTGTAGTTTTTTTTGCCGACATCTTTTTTTTCTCTCTAGTAAATTGAGTACGCAGTACATGTATTTTAGTTTCTACGTCTTTTTTGGGTATATTTAGGACTTGAGAAATTTCTTCGAATGCATCGTTCTTTTTGTTTCTATCTTTGTATTGTTTTATAGAACAATCCCATAATAATGGTTTTGATTGAAATAATTCTATTAATTGCATTATTTTATCATTGCTCCACACTACTGCCATGTTTATAAACTGTTGCAAACTCGTCCACACACGTCAACAATTGTCGCTAAACTGATGTTTACGCTTGTCGGGCGAGAGCTTGTCAACATGATGCTGTCAACTCTGCAACACGCAGTGTTGCCAGCAACATGTTGACAGCAACTCCGCAACACGTTGATTCAACTTTGTTGCTCAACAAATGTTTCCCATGAATACGGGGCTTTACTCTAAAAAACCGTCCCTCCATCTAGGTTTTGCGTTTCTGTTAGCACGTGAACTGGTACTGGGAAGTTCTGATAATGGAATGTCGTCATCCGTGTTAGAATCCGATTCAGGTATTATTATGGGTGGCCGATTCGTAGGCCGTTTTCTGTAGGTATCATCATCAGAAAGCTCTTCATCAGTGCTGCCGTTAGGAAATTTTTGAATGATGGTATGTACGCCTCCATAAAATTTTCTTGGGTCCATTACTACAACAAACAAAAGGATCATATTTGTACCAAAATGAAGTAAGGGGTTAACTTATAGCTATTAAGTAGTTACTAAAATATAATACTTAAGTGTATTTTATTTTATTTTATTTAAAGTATTTATTATTTGTAGTATTAAAAGCACAATATATTGTATTAAGGTGTTTATTGTGACAAAATATCTTTGAAAAAGTACCTAAACTCTGGTTTCACAAATTTTTGTTGGTCCCTAATATTATCTCGCTTCTCTACAGATATTGTGCCATATTTATTGGCTATGCGTTCCAAAATAAAATCATCAGGTGTGCAATTTTTTAAAAGGTGTCATTAAATCATAGTTTTCTTTAACCCTTTCAGAACTGATTTTTTTTTCGGGTGCCATGTGTGCAAGTTTTTTCTATGCTTCATTACTTTATTAGGTAAGAGGAACATTAAACAATATGTACTAAAAATCATTAGTTCAAGAGAAAATTGCAATTTTCTTTATGTGACCAATTGAGGACACCCGAACCATATAATCAAGATTTTTGATGTAGGGGCCCTACATTCAGAAAATGAATAACAATTATAGATTTTGTTACTATTATTTATTAGGAAATAATAAAATATATTAATTTTCTTTATAACAATTATGAAATTGCATTTTACCTACTCTTATGGAATATAAAATGACATATCTTACTGTGCTAAGAGGAACTTTTGATTGAACTTCAAATTTTAGGTAAATACTTATTTTGTACGTTCAATTATGAAAAGCTAAAAACAATTTTTATCTTTGGTTAGGCATAAGTGAATTTTACATTTTATGCACTTGATTCGAGACTTTCCCTTACAACCAGGTAGCTTACAACGTGTGCCAGGGCCATCACCATCACGGGCTATTTCAAGGTCAGGTCTCGTTTCTCCTGGTCTCCTTGGAATGACTTGGTGGTTGGGACTTGGACTGTTGCTGGCTGGGCGTCCTCTTGATTCCTCCAGACAACTCATAAGCTGGTCTAATAAATCGACCCCTCCCATCCCGTGATTATACTTTTTTACTATTTCGGGTCTTTCGACTTGAACAAAACGTTTGACTTTTTTTGACCATCTCTCAACAGTGTCCTTTTCACCGATGCCAACAAAATTTGAGGCTAAGTTAGTTGGCTTATTGTCCAGCCACTTCACCAAGGTAACATCTTCTTCCATATTCTTCACATATCTCTTGACAGAATCCTCTTGGTTTTTTATTGAAGTCCTTATCATTTGTCAATTGAGGTGTCTTACCGAATCGATTTATACGAGCGGTGCACGCAGCCATAATACCCTTTTAGTAAAAAATAGCTGTTATGTTTACGTGAGTGCATTTTACATATTTATAATCAATGACCGAATAATATTAATGATAATAACAATGAGATGAAACGATTCTTATTTTTTCTTTCTTCGAATTCAGTTTTTCTTAACGTTTCTTCGCAGACAATTTATTGGCCGCTCAACCTCAATATATCGCTTCTTTTTTACACCATCTCTTTACTTAAGTCCTTTTCACCTTTACCAACAAAATTGGAAGCCAGATGGGTAATTTTATTGTCCAACCACTTTACAACAGTTACATCTCCGTCTCAGCTACATACTTCTTGAGAAAAACCCCTACGCTTGTTATATTTTCTTGTCACTTAAAAACGGTGGTTTACAAATCTTGTAACACGAGCCGTGCATGCGGCCATAATACCCTTTTGTTTTCTATCTAATCTTTTTATATTATCAAGTTCTGGAGAAGAGTTTTGGTAAAAAATAAAATCATAGGCTTTGGCCATGTTGGCCAATTAAGAAATACATTTTAAACCCCATGGACAAGATTTTCCTTTTATATATTGTTTGGCTACATGTTTTCCGGTGAAAGGAACCATCTGTTCATTAACTCAAAGTTGTTGTTCAAGTGGTAACTCTAAGTATCGATCCCTGACATAAATGGGTGTCACTATGTGAAATACAGCTTTGCAATCAGCCGGAATTGTAAACCGTGTTGTCAACAAGATGTAAATTATTCAGTAATTCAAAAAAACGGTCTCTTGTCCATATTACCTGTGAAGCAATGCTAATGTCTGTCTCCCAGTACATTTTTAAACATGGGTAACTAAATGTATAGCTGTGGCTAAATGTAATCCAAATAAAACCTTAAATTCTCCTGTACTAGTAACTTTCATGACACTAAATAATTGTTTTGGGACATATCTATAAAAATAATCTATTGGGCTTTAACTATCGTATCTAGAGATATTGGTGGAAGCCTGATATAGTATTTACCAATTCTCTGTGTCTCCATGCAATGCTCTGTTTTGGTGTGAGGTCCGACATATCACTGAGACTGAATTTTCTGGTTTCTGATCAGGGACGCCGTCATACAATTCGCTAAGTCCTTCAACGTCATCAGATTTAGGTGGAAATAACTCCATTTAGTTTTGGTGAATGACATCTGCGCCAACTCTAGCAACTAAGGGTGGTTCGCCATTTTATTTATTTATAAGTCATCTTACATACATAATATTATAAAACAAACACTTCGACAGTACAGAAAGCCAAAACAGATTACATAGATAAACAATATATACGAAACATAAAACGAATAAGTACATTTTTTTATATATTTATTTACAACGGTATTCCTACAGCTACTTATTAAACAATATTCTAACAATTACACTCTACACGAGACCAAAAACGGAATACACATTTAAACATACACAAAGCACAGTTTCACCTATAAAAATACAAAAAAATATACAAAGAATATAAGTATTTATAATAAATTCACTTGTGTTTTCTGGTTTCCTTAAACTAATATTTTTTTTTTCTCTTACGAAAACCTAGGTCCAATCTAAGCCAGCACTCTTAATTGACATCCCAAGATGGTGGATAGCTGCAATTTAATTTTTTAGCGTATTCAGTAAGCAAGTTACCGCACTTAAGTTAATGTAAGCCCATGCTGCATTTTCCTGAATTTTATTATAATGGGTGTTCCAACTAGAACGCAATTTTTAAATTTTAAATAAAACACAGATATTTAAAAAAAATCGTTAAACTTTATTATATCGTAAAGTAGACAGAATGAGGTTATGTATGGAACAAGATATCGTGCAGATGGACGCCACGGCTTTGCTGGCACACACGCGATCTTTTAATGAAATTTTCAATGACCTTTTTGCATAAATGCTGCGGTATTTCATTAATGCAGCGTCCAATTTCCTCTTTTAAGGCTTGAGTCGTCGTCGGCTTATTCGCGTAAACCATTGACTTCAAAAAACCCCAAAGAAAAAAATCTAAAGGTGTTAAATCGCACGATCTAGGCGGCCAATTCTGGTCTCCAAAACGCGAAATAACACGACCGGGAAATGACTGATGCAGCAATTGAATTGTTTCTCTGGCTGTATGACATTTGGCGCCGTCTTGTTGAAACCACATGCCCTCCACATTCATTTCTTCAATTCTAGGCAAGAAAAAACTGGTTATCATTTCACGATACCGAACACCATTGACTGTCTGCGCTTGACCTGCCTCATTATCATAAAAAAAGGTCCAATGATTCCTCCAGCCCAAAAACCACACCACACAGTGACACGTTGAGGATGCATTTGCTTGTCGTGAATCACTCGAGGATTTTCCTCACCCCAAATGCGACAATTCTGCCTATTGACGAAGCCATCAAGATGGAAATGGGCCTCGTCACTGAAGATGATTTTATCGGCAAAATCAGCATTTTCATGTTGTCTCTCCAATACCCAATTAACGAACTCCCTTCGTTGTCGATGGTCAGCTGGCTTCAGTTCCTGAGTCAATTGAACTTTGTATGTATGAAGATGCAAATCTTTCGTCAAAATTCGCTGCATAGTGGATTTGGAGACACCAATTTGCTGAGCTCGGTGTCGAATTGAGGTGGATGGAGTTTGAGCGACATCATCACGTACAGCTGCGACATTTTCGGTCGATCGACCTGGTCGAAGGCGCGTTGTTGTCTTTACTTCACTAACAGATCCAGTTTCGGCAAATTTATCCATTAATCTCTTTACAGTTGACTCTTTTGGAGCATTATTGTGACCCCAAATTGATCGCAATTTGCGAACTGTAGCCGCAAAACTTTCACCATTTTGGTAAAACAATTTCACAATAAGAAAGCGTTCATTCGTGTATCGCTCCATTTTTACTAACCTCGTACCTTCTACTAGCAAACAATAACAATTGTTGAAATGTCTAACAATGACACTTCGAATGGCGCCAAATTTAAAAATTGCGTTCTAGTTGGGACATCCTTTATTAGCTCCAAATAATAAAATGTTATTAGTATTTTGTTTTTGTTTGTTTCTTAATTTGAGTATCCAGGTCATGTAAAACCTTTGTTTTTTTGTGCGTTTTTTTTGTAGCAATAGACCACAAGCCCATGAACAAAAAATACCTGTGAAATGACCCAACGTGAATTACGCTTAGAAGGCTGTTACTATATCTGAAAATAACTCTGAGCACTATGCCGTCATTTCTGAGCGGTACATGTGAGTACGTGAGTGAATGGAATTTCTGAGGTACAAGCCTGGGGTTACTTGTACTTCGTTTGTGTAATATACCTTTATACTATGATGACCTATTTATTGCAAATAGCTTTATATAAAGGTCACAATATTGCGCTGGGGGTGGTTCTGGGAAATCCTCGGTCTCTACAGAAGGTATTGCAGTTTGATCTTGCAGGAATAATAGAATCACTATCATAAGGGTTAAATAACCCCAACAGCTTTGGTGGATATTAGGCATAAGATCCGCTAAAGAAAGGGATCTTCGCAGTTTCTACATTTGTTAAATATCTTATCTTTCTAACCGCATAAGGTTTGCCTTTGCGGATTTCCTTTGGTTACTCTTCGTCCAAGCTGCTGTTGCTGGGACGTCCCCTGTTGTTCCTTAGCGTTTCGAACTTGCATAAGGTATCAGCGAATTCGGACCTGAAGTCAGCTAAGTTCATTATTTCTTTCCTATGTTTGCCTGTCTTTGATAAAACCTTTTTGTAAAGGATCCAAGCATTTATGATGGTCAAGTCCACAAGATGGTAAAAAATACGCAGGTACCATTTCCTGCTCTTCATTCTGATTCGGAATCTACCTTAATATATATGACCATGAGGTCCACTCCACCCATATGAGCGTTATATTCTTTGACTAACTCGGCACATGCGATCGGAATTCTCCTTTTTTCTTTTTTTATCATCTTTCGATTTCACCGACTGGTTCCGCGCCAACATATGTCGATGCTAAGATTACCTGTTTATTATCCTTCCAGCTCACAGCAGTTATCTCAACGTCGTCTATGCTGGTCAAGTTCTCATGAAATGCACCCCGTGGTACCGAATTCTTCATGACTTGCTTCGTTTGTAACTGACATGGTTTACCGAGCCGGTTCCTTTGTATTGTTAGAGAGAATGGATCCCTTCTTTGGCCAGATAATGCAATAACGGCAGAGATGTGTAGTAGTTTTCTACTAATAGACTATGTGATTTCGATAGCGAGGTACTACTCCTAGCTTTATGACTGTTTGTCCTGTCACAACGATATCTGGTTCGTTGGGCAGGCGGTCATCTCGTTCTTTTCCAGCGTAAATTATAAATTGTATGTATCGGGGTGGTGTTGATATATATTTTAAAGAATTTTCGGTGTTATTTTAAGAAGAAGAGGTTTAACGTCTATTATAACCGGACGGATTTTAATGGTTTACTCCATGTTACCATTTTCAAATGGCAAACACTGATGCGTTGAGTTCACTAAAGCTGCTTGATATCTTGTATTCGCTAGTTCTTCCGCACGAATTGGATAAAGTGGGTGGTAGTCCATCCAGTTGTCTGGAGTTTCGCCAAGCAACGAGATAATCCCAATACAAGTTTCAGCATCTGTTAAGTTAGCGCGTGCCCATTAGTTTACCAAATCGCCAACAGGATAGCAGTTCTTATGGTATTGTTGAATGTCCTGCTCTTCAAGAAGCGCTGGAACTCTTAGGCCTTCGGGTTTGCTTGATAATAGCATGGACGCATCTCCGCTGCCTTCGAAGTTAGCAATTAATGAAAGTGGCAGCCGACACCAGCGCCACCACGCCGATATATGCATACCCCAACAAACTGCAAAGCATAAAAAGTTTGAATCCAAATTTGTGAGGTTTATTGGGCATAATATATTGCTTGAGAAAATGTCCGATCTTCGTTGAACACATTTGTTCATCGATTGACAAACGTTGGTCAATGGCGACATCTGAAAACTTGGTATTCAGATGATCTATCACGGGTCGCAGTTTGTGGAGTTTGTCGTGTTCCAGGTGCGTAACAGGCAAGTGCTTATCATTGTCATTGAAGTGTATCACTCCTCTTATTTTTTCAAATTTGTCCACCGGCATCGTGTCTTTTATAGGATGCTGGGATAGTGGTAAAGGGACATAAAAGTCAAAATACCCAGGTATAGGAGGATTTCCTTTGCGTTTGCTATGACAGGTCCTTCTGGGTTCTTTTGGACTGCGTATTTGTTAGTTTCTTCTGCTATTTTTACAATGAGATCGTTGCCGAAAAAGGAACTAAAAAATTGGAATGGACTCTGCATAGTCATAAATACTCGTAATAACTCTTCATTGCCTTTAAAATTAATTTGTTCTGCACGAAAAGCAAGAGCCTGCCTTTTCCAAATTAAATTTCTACCCATATTTGTGGAACTGGGCGTACTACATTCAGCACCTCGTCGATCAAAGGTGGATCTGGAATATCCTCTGTATCTGCAAGGTTTTGGCAACCATCTCCAACTGGGTCACCCAAAATTACATCACCAATACCGCTGTCCCCAACACTGTACGAATTTTCTTCAAGAATAGACTGCAAATCCCTAGGATTTAGATAAAAATCGCTATCTTCGCCGTCAGACTCCGTCTTTTCCTCAGATAGCTTTCCATTTTCCAACATCCGAAGCATTTCCTCTATTTCTCTGGTTTATAATATTCGCTAAAGTTTTCCGAAACCTTTTTTGTAATAAAAGAACGTTGACTACCGGTATCTATTAATTTTGTTAACTTTGGGTTATTTGTTTCGAAATATGGTAAATATGATTTAACATGATTGAATTCTATGATTCTTTTATCGATTTTTCTTTTGATTGAAAATTTTCTTCATTTTCAGTAATAACCTCTGAGGATTCGTCAATAATTGTTTCCTCGCTATATTCCTCGTATTCACGAGGGTATTCGAAATATTCACCTTCCCCCATGTTTTCCTCATGGCAGAAAACTTCTTCCGCTACCATACCTTTCCCTAAATTAATTTGTCCTAGTCTAATGTGAGGTGCTGTTCGCATCGACACATTAGTCGATTCGTTTGGCAACCGATTTTGTTGGAACTTTTGAGCAAAATAATGTTGTTGTTGACCCCTGAAGTAGTCATGTTTAGGTTTAGTAAATACGTTATTTGGATTCGGTGTCCAAGAATAATTTGGTCTGTTTGATTGCATTCTTTGGTTAATCGACCGTTGTGTCGGTGGATAAACATTTCTCGGGTTTTGTTGCGGTACGTTATATGATCACGGATACTGATAGCTAGGTCCTGCTGTATTATGTATCGGATAGTTTGGTTTTATGCAATTTTGAATAACCTTTGGTACAGGCAAAATTTGCGAAATTTTTTGTTTAATTTTATCAAATCTACCTTCTGCCTCAAAATGTAATACTCGAGTTAAAAACTACAATTTGAAACAAAGTTTTGATCGTGATATGGAACTTTATTGCGTAAAGTATTTTGTGCTACATTGACATATGGTATCATCATATCTTCGAACCTATTCCTATCTCTATAACTATCAATTAACTTGCTTTTCATAAAAAATAATTTCTGTTTTAATTCAAAAATTAATTCACTAAATGATTTTTTTTTTAAATTTATTATTTCTATTATTAACGTGTTAAATTCACGGTTATCGCCACATTCACTCTTTAAGATTTCTTCTATGTTTGCCCATTTCAATTAATGGTCCATCATACTCACACATTCGGATGCTTTACTCCCTAGTTTACTTATAAGTAACATGGTATTTTCCGAGGACTCACCTCCCACGCGTATTCATTGTCCGCAAATCTTATACCGCCAAGCCATTTTTTGAGGTTAGGGTCAGAAAATAGTCACTCGGGGCTAGGTCTGGAGAGTAAAGGCCCATTTAGGCAGCCTACGCACTGGCGATACTTTTAACCTGTTACTGGATACAATAAAACCAAAAATTACTGGAACTGGTAACAACTATCGGAAATGCATTACAGCAGAAGAAAAATTAGTGATAACAATAAGGTAAGCTTTTTCTTTTTTTAAAACAGTGATGTTTTAAAAATACGTGTTTTATTTTAAAGGGTGTTTCGGAATGGAGTATTGTGTACAGGGAAAATAAAAATAATGTGATAGGGCCTTTTTTTTTACTTAAACTGCTTAATGGATTTTTTTGTAAATTTGAATTATACAAGACTCGATTCTGAATCACCACTATTTTGTTTTTCACAACAACCTGTATAATTCATTGACCATGGTTTTGCCACTTTAAATAATTTATGAACAATACTACTTTACGACTTTGAAAAGGAGAGGAAAAGGGCTTGCTTATAAGTAGACATCGGATTATATGCACTATCAAAATGATGTTCATCTTCGTTATTTTTAGAATCTATATATTCTTTTAATATCTCAGCTGTGGTTATATTTTGCAAAAAAAAATTGCAAAACGACACATTAAATATTCCTCAAAATGTGAGCTTACGAGGAATAACTGAAGAATTACCCTATGTTTTTGTTGCTGATGAAGCATTTCCACTAACGAAAAATATAATGAGACCGTACCCTGCGAATCAATTGGCAAATATAGAGAAAAGAGTTTTTAATTACAGACTAAGGGTGGGTTGCATCAACAAATTTTGACGGACACGTAACCTTTAAATATGGCGCTAACGAACGTTAGACAAAAAAAGTGTTGATTCACCATCTATGAACGCTTACGTTCGTTAAAAAGTTACGCTTACGTTAACCAGTGCTTGAACCATTGGTAATTGTCAAATTTTGGTTTGTAACTTCGTAGTTCGTACTTCCTACACGCAGCATTAATTTTAAAAAGTTATTATAAAGTTGCATAATGGAATCAATTTTATTTAATACTTTTAATGGTAGTTTTTTCGAAGAAGAAAATGAAGCTCAAGTGCTTGTGAGAAAAAAAAAGGTTTTTAAAAAGCGAATTTATAATTTTAATTTATTTGAAGAAAATGAATTTATTGATAGATTCCGGGTGGAGGTAGCAATTTCTATAACAAAATCAATTAAAAATGAAATAACAAGTAATACGGACAAGTAAGTTAATTTTTGTTTATTGTATTGTACTTATAGGTAGGTACCATCTTGGGCCTACATAATTTATTATATTTCAAATCCATCGCGTTACAAGACAGTTTTCAACATTGTTTCAGAAATCTCGCAGTAAAATTGATTACGATTGATCAGTCAGTCAATTCCAATCTTTCAGTGGATATTTGAGATGTGAGACTGGGCACATTTGACAGCCTGCATTTTTTTAGGCACTTTTAAATTCCTTGTCATCGGAGTGCGAAGAAAACAGGCTGGTGATTTTGTGTTAAAAAAAAAATAAAAAAAAAATAAAAAATACCTAATAATAAAATATTGATTTTAATCATAATAACTGTTATTGGATCATTCAAAAACACATATACATACATACCTCTTTTTGGATATTTGAAGAATCACAGTTTTCTTTCATTGTCTCTATCTAAAATCAAAATCAAAACTACATTATTGTAAGCATAGACATATACTTTTCTAGCTTATTACGATTATTATTTGACAATGAACATGACAATGAACAGTAAGTTAACATCAATGTTAATGATCTACTAGTATAAATTTATTCATACCTCTTTTTGGTCAATAACAGGTTTTTCACTTGCCATCTCTATCTTTGACTCAACCTAAAAATAAAAATAGAATAGAATAACATATAAAAGAGCAGTGTAATAAAATATTCTTACCAATTCACAATCATCATCAACTGTACTAGCCAGTCCATCCATTGAAACTGGCATCACAGTCCTCAACCAGTCAGTGTCTGCATCAGTAGGAGGTGAAGGTGGACCACCCCCCGTTTTAAAACGCTCTTGCCTTTGTTTACTTGCATCCTTAAAATCAATAGGTACTTCATAGTAAAAACTTATTCATTATGTATGCTATAAAATATCTGTCAACTTGTTCTGGAAAATTGTAGAACATACTTTACGAGCATTCCGCTTTATGTTGTCAAATTTGGCTTGCAACTGTTTAATTGTTCGAGGGTTATCTGACAGGGCATTAAATTCTGCATGAATCGCACTCCATGCCCTCTTTTTATGCAAATTGTTTATATTGTCTGTCTTTTTATTAAATAATATATGGTGATATTTTTCTATTAAATTTCTAATCTGTCCTTCTCTTCTTGTGCAAAATATACCGAACGTTCTCTGAAAGTCAATGAGTCACGTAAATAAATACACTTCTAACTATATCTCTCAATATAATATATATACTTTGCGCATATACAATTCATGCAATATAATAATAAAATAATAGCTTTATACTTACTGTGGCGAAAAGGTTTCCATTATTTATATTAAAATTAAACACTTTTTAAAATTAGCCTTTCGTAATTCGTACAATTCGATGTCAAACTTGACAGAATGTTTCAAATGACATTGTTTTTATCAATGTTGTTATTACTAAAAAAAAATCCCATAAAACATTAGGTCAAAATAGCGTTACGCAAACAGGCAACCCCATTAACAATGACGAACTCATTTTTTAACAATGAAGCAACGCTAACAAGTTAACAGACGTTAAAGTTCATACGTGTCTGTCAAATTTTAACGAACGTAAGTTACGATAGCAAATGGTTTGAAACAACCGGCCCTAAGCTGAGCAAGGCGTATCGTGGAGAGTGCTTTTGGCATTCTTCAATCAAGGTTTGAAATATTTCAGAGGAGAATGCAAGCAAAATATATATAGGTCTACCAGGATCTGATGGCAAAAAGGGAAAAAAGAAATTGACGCTAGCAATACTGGGGAAATTGGAGTAAAACGTTTTGATACTTTTTTTTCCTTATAGCGGCTGATTCTGTGTGTGATACATGCAAAATATATACAAATTTATATAATGATAATTTTTGAAAATGTGACGAATGTGGGGTTTGAAATTTAGATGAAAACTCCAATTACTCTGTTCATGAGTTTATTAATTAATTAAGAACTTCAACGTAGTATGTATAATAAACCTTTCCTCCTGCATCTCAATTAACCGATCTTGTTCTATGAACTGATTTTCAATTTTTATTACATGTCCACAAGATTTTCGCTATTCATCCCTATTTGAGAGAAAGAAACAGTGTAAAACTCATTTATCTTGTTTCTGATCAATTCTAAATCAAAACTATCCAAGTTTATTTGTAGTATAAGAAACCCCTGAAATAAACCAAAGTTTAGTATAAGTACATAATATAATACACACGAAAAATCCCATAAACCAAAGTATCAAGACGTGTCATTCCTACTAACCAGTCAACGCTTGCACATGGCTCAATATCGATGATTGTGTATGTTGATCAAGTATTCTTTGATAAACATTGAAAACAATATGTCTTGCTTGCGATCGAAGAGGTTTCTTCGACATTTTCATCACTTTTTAAAGGAAATTTGAAGCCAAACCAAAAACAATTCCTCGAAATTTCAGTTGACACATGAAATTTTTCTTTTATTGCCATATGAAAATCGCTAATTTAAAAAAAAAAATTTGCCATCAGATTCTGGTAGACCTATAGATAACATCATTTTAGCCTGCTGTTCTTTACATAATTATATCATTACCAATGCAACGACGGAACTTCCAAACCCACTACAGGAAAGCGATATTTTAGAAGGTTCCGTGGATAAAAATGTAGTAGGCGATAACGATATTATCATGTGCGAGGGTCGTTAGAGATCAATTCAAACAATATTTTAACTCTGAACATGGGTCAGTTAGTTGGCAGAATAATATTGTCAATAGATCATAAAATACTAACGATCTATAAGTTAATCATTATCATATTGATGGTACTTATTATAACTCAATAAAAATAAAATGTTTAAGATGCTTACTTACGTGTTTTATTGAGTTCTTTGGCGATTTGCTCCCACGCATTATGTTTCATGTGTTGGTCACTGTAGTGACGCGATTTTATATTGTATAAACACTCATGTAGACGAACTAAATTAATAAGCTTTTCTTCCGCCATGACATTCGATGTGACAGCAAACAACCGGTACACACAGCGATTACTCCGATTGTTGCCTCGGCGTCGGCGGCGTACCGAAGCATTCTCAAGGCTGCCGATACACCAGCCTTAAGCATACCGAAGCGCTATTATTGTTATTACGACCACATATCACGGTAGTTTCTACTTTATTGCCATTATGTTATAGTATATTGCTATTTGCCACCTAAAATCCTCAGTCGTACCGATGCCGATAATGGGCGCCGGGCCTTACAGGGAAAAGATGAGAAAATAGGGTAAAGAAAACCATTACAATTTTTTTTTCAATTTTAGGGAAACTTACAGCTAAAAAAGGTTCAATATTTTATAATTATGTAATATGATGGAGGCCAATTATCAGTTTCTACATTTAGGTATTATTACATTTTTACATACTAATGCTCAAAAAACTATCAAGGCAGCTATATTAAAATCTAAATCATTAAAAGTATTGATTACATAGGGCTTTCTTCATTCTAGTAACACTAGAGCAGAATAAATCCAAATCAACCATTACCAATTAAAAGAACAACATGTTCGCAATAGGTATGAATTTTGTCTATATATACGTATATAGTTGTTGCTATAGGGACGTACAACAAATTTGGCATGCGCAGAAACAATGATTATTGAATAATTGTGATCAGCGGCCATAGAAACATCACTGTCTGAAGAGTGGATGGAAACAGAATCAGATTCTTTTTCAGTATCACTAGCCGTAGATATAATTTTTCGGTCCATCTATTCGTCCATAAGGCCGTCATTTTTCAAATACTTCTCCTCTAAATGTTCGACATGCGTACACGTGAGCTGTCCAATCTTCCGCCGTAATAGACTCAAAGGCCTCTTCAGTTAATTTCACAATTTCTTTTGGATCTTGTGCCACGTTCTTATCCGCCACCTTTCTTTTTACAAGGCTCCAAATTTTCTCAATCGGGTTGAGGTCGCAATGGTAAGGCGGTAACCATAATATTTCGTTTTAAGATAATATTTCGTCTACAGAATCAGGAAATTTGAAGTCACCATGATTACTTTCAGATAAGGCTCTGACTGGGATCATTAGATCTGATGCAGTATTTTTTATATCCCACACATGAATTTGCACATTAGTGCAATGATCTGGGGACTCTGAAAGCTGAAGATCTCTATCACACGTAACCTCGATGATTTCATCATCCAGACTCACCTAAGTTAGTGCGTTACCAGCTCTTGTTATCTTATACCCTATTTCTGATTCATCATTGACAACAAAGTACTCGTCTATGTGTTCCAAGAATGAAGATGGCCGAAAACAGTACACTTCAGACCAGGTATCAGAAGAACAGTGAATGAACTCCGTAATTAAATTGACACTATTATTGCCAGTTATATTGAGGTCCCCTAGTGAGTGTGCTACGGTATAATGCGAGTAAATGTTGGGATAGCAAAACCAACCCTGCTGCTGACTTCTCCACGAAATACATGAGCTCAATTGTCGTCGTCACTTTCGGAGGGTTGCAAGCCCTTCCACCCATTTTATGGTCTGCCGGCTTTCAAGCCGCTGAGCAGACCGCGCAATGCAGCTCTTTCGAGCTGCACTCATAGGCCTTGTGGCCCACAACCCCACATCGAAAACACGCCTCCGCCAAGTCCGAGTCACAGGTGGCACGCACGTGTCCCAACTTCTGACATTTGAAACACCTCAGAGGGCGGTCCGGGTAGAAATCCGGTTATAAATCCGGCAGGACAGAACAGGCTGCACCCAATGAGTAGCTTCCCATTCCTCACCTTCTCGGCGGCGGCGACCGGACACAGAAGGAACATCTCCCCTATACCCCGCCCCCCGCGCCTCATAATCTTCCCCGGCTTGATCGCTTCGACCGGGCACCCACCCATGAAAGCCACCGCCACTGCAACGTCCTTTCGGTGACGCTGTCGTCGAGGTCCCGAATAAGGAGGTCCGCACACTTGACGGGCTTCCCCACCAAAACCTCCTCCGACAGCACAATACGAAGCTTCCCCGCCAGGGCGTCAGCCTTTTCCTCCCTGTCTACCCCCGGCACCTCCAATTCTTCGATACTTCCTGCTCTCTATCCAAACTATATCTGTCTAGCCAAGGGGGAGCGTATAGCACTGCACCCATAGCAGAACAAGGGTAACCTATTACACCTCTGGGGGAATATACCTGACGTAGGAACTCACCTATTGGTCCCGATATAGTTTTTAGAAGGTTGATGTTAAACCCTGTCTCTGCGTAACTGTCGAAGAGTTGCTCCTGTGTAAGCCCATATAAAGGAGAGGCTAAGATGATGTCATCACCCATGCCAACGGCACGAGCTCCAGGGATGTTATTCTTCTGTATAATGTACCGACCTATAGCCATAGATACCATAGTACCCACCAAAGATGTGATCCGCCATCCGGACAACAATCCGCCTTTATAGGGCCACTCCTTCCCATTCCATGAGATGATTAATCTGTCTATTGAATTTAGTTCTGCTTGTGCTACCCATCTTGTCTCGTCGTCTATTTCACCCATTTTACGTACTACATATTAAACCATGTCTTTACTGACAGAATGGTCAAATCGTTCTGCGTCGGCACAGCCATACCAAGAGTACCGCGTAGATTGGAACTGCCCCAACCACTCTGGGTTTGATATCGGGGAATCCCCTGGCAACCTGTTCCATCGGTAAGCCAGGTAGGATTGTCTGAGATATGATGCCATGGGGGTAGTAATAATCTCTCGTGTTTTCTTCTCCTCTTCCTTCAACGCCACCACACATACCTCGGGCTCACGTATAGCTTGGTCGTACAGGTCGTATTGGTCCGGGTTCTTGAATGATCCGTCTTTGTTCATCATTCTGCAGAAGGCCCACGCCCACTTTGAGCGGTACACTTCTCCGCCAATGGTTGCTTTCTTTGCCCCTCCACTTGTCCCCCATCGCAACGGGTCATTACAAAACTGTTTGAAAGAGAGGAAGTTGGCGGCATTGGTGTCAAATCCCCACTGCTGGAATATCTGGTCCAGGTATGGTGACAATAGATCCTGATTAGCCCCAGATGTCCACTTGGTGATGTCAGCTTCAACCATGTCCTTTGTCCACGGTGACTTGGACCCTAACATGTCCATATGCATTAGAAAGCAGTAGGCAGGGCCGCGAGAAAAGACGAGGGGAAAGGCCCACTTAGATATTAATTTGAGATGTTTTCTGATGTAATCGTCGTAGACTGAACGGTTGACCAGAGAAGGAGATTGACTGAACAACCACTTAAATCTACGCTCCAGAAAACTGAAGATGCTCAGCAGTGTGTTAGCGATGGCTGTTTGTCCACTAGCGAGTGGAAGCTTGTAGTGTAAGTATAATCCCGAAGTATAAGAGGATCTTCTTATAGGAAAGAAAGCAGGTGTCTTGATAGAAAAGCGAACCAACATGTCTAAGTTCTCGACGTTTTGTAGGAAATCCAACTTCATGTCTTCAAACATTGAGTAAAAACCATCGTCTAGTTCCAGAGTATATAGAGTCGCTCCCCTATCGTATAACAATCCATTCAGGCATCGGTTATGGTCACGCCGTGCCCCACTTCGATTGGTAGACCACGTACCGTTAGGTATCTTAGAGTTAGATGTGGGATGTTCTGGAACGTGCACGTCAAGATGATCAGAGGTGCAGTCCCATGTGTGACCGAGCCATTTGTTCGTGGGAGCATCTGGTCTCCCGGGCTCGTCTGTCGTCTGGTTATCTATTTGGCTGTTGATGTAGGCTCCTCTTGAGCCTCTGTTCCCTTTATTGAAGAGGGGGGAAGTATCTTGTTTCCATCTTTCTGGTTTTCTTGGCCCTGCGAAGTGGCTGAGCCCTGCTTCACTAAAAAAACTCATGTTTGGAGGGTCCGGATAGTGTAATTCGGTCACAGACCAGGAGGTGATCTTAGCCCTCATGGCGTTTCTATTAATTATAAGTGCAGCGCCTGGACTGGCCACATGTCTGTAGTGATGTTTGAGCGAATTAGAAATCAGATTTGAAGTAAGTCCCATTGGTACCGTGTATGTGTGTGAGTTTCCGGCCGAATGAGTTTGCCAGTCTTCAGCAGATAGGTGCAGCATGTAGGGGACTGTACGTGCATAGTCCATATACACTGCAGGCAAGTATGCACGTGTGTCCAAGGTGGTAGCTAACCATGAGATAGATACATTACTAGAGTGTTCGACCAGCAGGTGGGGACTTTCGAATGCTGCCGTTATGACACCTTCCGTGGCTTCATATGACCCAGTCATATCAATATTAAACTTAGATCCCCATTGCAAGAAACAAGGGTAGGGCATGTTAATAGATTGGCCCCATGTGTTACTGTTAGGTGATATTCCATAGTAGGTCTCAATTTCTGTACCAATATTAAAGTTTCCATTTATGTTGACAGCCATGTGCGCGTCTGTGTTGGTTGGAAGCACCATCCCCTGTGTCATCTCAGAAACCCAGGCCCGTATCGGTGTTTGAGACACTGGGGCCTCGTTCACTCCTAGCCCAGACCAAGATTTCCTTGCGACGTCGCTCTTGTTTAGCGCGACCCCAAGTGAAAGGGTTAAAGCGACCCCTTGCATGGTCAGGACGTTAGAGATACCATCCGGTGTCCTAAACCCATAAACATAGTCGTTCTTTGTGATCATCCCCATCCCTGCCAAAATTCGGTATATTGAGTTTGATATGTTACATTGATACTGGGGATGTGTAAATTCAGGGGTTTGTGCATGCCAGTATGTGGCAGTTCCAACGTAGTTCCCGTTTGTCACCACGTCTACTTCGTCCAATGTGTTGTAGCTTAGGGCATGTTGTTGCATCGGGGATGTAGACGCAAATGCGTAACCGTGGAGCAGTCTTCGGATCCTGGTACGCACATTTTCTTCGGTGCCCTCATCTATGTTTGAACAAGTATGCCTGGGGCGTCTTGTGTTCATGTCATGGGCACCTATAGTCCATCCACCAGATAATTCGTTTACGTATGTTCCTTCCTCGTCCGCGTGCAACATTGGCGACTCTGGCAGGATGGAAGAGAGTTCTGCGGCCAGGGTAACAGCGAGTTGGAAAGCCATAGATGTACATAGGTTGTTTTCAACAAATTGTAGGCAACGAGTCATATTTTGACAGGACGTTGGATAAGCTTCCTCAGTTATTAGCCCGTACAAATGTTCCTCTATGTTGTTCCAAAAACCATTGAATGGGTTTTCCCCTGCAGCTATCCTCGCTCCTCTATATACATGAATGTTGCCTATTGCGGGCAGTCGGATTGTAGTAGCCTGTGCGTACGTATTCTCGTCCAACAACACCAACAAAATTTTCTTTGGACCAGGTATGTGTACTTGGTGGGCAGCGGGCATTCCTGTGGATCGTATTGTAGCATCGTGGTTGTTGGTTGCGTGGTCGGCATGAGATAGTATACACAGTTTGCCAGCCCAAATTTCTGTGGTGGTGTGGATCAGTAGGTATTCCAATAGCCATGGACATCCCAACATATCAGAACTAATGGGCACGGCGACCCAGTCAGTATCCATTCCTGACATACTAACACCATTTACACCCGGTGCTGCCATTCCCTCATCCAGGTTCTTGAGATGAGACGCAAAAGCAGGCAAAGTCACAGCCGCAACTCGGATAGCTATCCTGTCTGCAGCTGGCGTTTGTCTTATAAATATTCTGTCTTTCGTTCTTGTACTGCGTGTCTGCCTACGCAGAAAACGAGCATCATAGGAATCAACATTTCAAACATCTTCAGAAAATGGGTATGCGTACAACAGTCCCCGCAGAGCGGGTCCCGTGTCAACATGCGACACATTGTAAGGCGCAGCATAAGCTATTAGTTCCTGGATCGATGGGATATCGCGAGCTAAAACTCCTCGCGTTGCGCTTATATATGGCTGCGTAGCTGCTCGGTCACTGCCTGTTGCGTACGACTCTATGGCAACCATGGCCGAACTCTTTGGAGGTTCTGATTTCATGTATCCTTTGAAAGCCATAGCCACGGTTCGGACTGTCCGCAATGGAATCACTAATGCAGACTTAGATTTGGCAGGGGGGGTAGCAGCAGCCAATCTTCCTTCTGAAGGTGCAACTGAAGGTATGGTAGAAGTGGGTAACATGTCACCTATGTCCGAATCTCCGCGCATGTCCAGTGGTGGTTCAGTTGTTAGTCTACCTTCATCGTACGCTCGAGCGATAGACACCGCAACAGATTCAGCATAAGCACTGCTCCGTGCAGAATATTGTTTGGGGAGTTCGTGAAAGACTTGCGCTACGGATCCAACAGCCCGCATCACCTCCCCCATAAGGCTCTCCCTCACTCCATCAAGGAGCCCCTCTATCAATTGCCGAAGGGCTTCCGGAGTTAAACTCGGGGTGCCCTCCGCCGTGCTTGGATCCTGTACCCCTCTTTCAGACTGCGCAAAGCGCGCATTCATATCCACCATCTCCCTTCTAAGGGCCCCAATCTCCTGTCCCAAGTCTGAGACCTGGGCCCTCAGACGGGTATTATCCCTCTGAAGGCGCCTCCCCTCTTCCCCTCCCAGGCATCTCTCAGCGAGATCCTCCACGAGCTCGTTCACCTCCTTAGCCACAATCTTCAGGTCGCGGACAAACTCACTCTTAAGGTTGCCCGACTTCGCCGCAATTTCAAAAATGCGACGAACCCGCACAGCCGTCCGATCCTTTATCTCGGGAATGCCAAGGAGGACAACATCGTCCAACTCTTCCTCCCCGGGTGACCTCACTAACCTATTATCCACACTGGTGAGGGCCCCATAATCGGAGAGATTCCCCGCACTCACTCCTAGCCTCTCTACAAGGCGAGAGCGGGCGTTCTGACGCCGTAACTCTCCCTCCGCCCCCTCCAATCCTACCACAAACCAAATTTTTTGTATTTCATAGCATAGTGGAAAATCGGAAATTCGGAAAACCGAATGATCAACAATCATTCGGTTTTTAAACAGTTGGAGTTTGATCTGGGTTGGGGAAATTTATTTCATTTTATCTTTTGATTTTTCTTTGTGTTAAATTTCAAATGGACCTAAATGTTGCTATTCCATTATTTTGTTTTTTGAAATGGTTTCGCGAAAGATACCGACATTCACACCTGGTCTCACCTAGTGCCTGGGTATCGGATCTTTCGCGCGTCAAGTGTTCTTTCGACGCGTTTCAGGAAACTGGGGGTTCACGGTACGGAGTTGTGAAACCAAAGTTTCCTGGAAAAAAAATTAAATTTTAAGCTTAAACGCAATTACAAGTAATTAAATATAAATAAATCGAGTAAAACAAAAAAAACCTACAATAACTAATTCACCGGTACATCAAGAATTCCCACTTATCATAACATCACTCTAAATGAACAAATAAATCTCACAACAATGTGTTTGTGTTACATCATACTAATTTTAAGTTACTCACCGTCTCATTTCTTTACAACGTTAAATCACAGTTAATAATTATAAATATATGTATAAGACAATAGTTTGTATTTCAATTGCAAGAGGCTAAATAAAACTTCTATTTGTTTCTCTGTAAGTAAAGAATGCAATTTTATTTATCGAGTAGGTTACACACTGATACAATCCTTACAAGACTAACACAATCTCACCTGTAAGTAAAGAAACGACAATAAAAGTTTATTGTTATCACCTCTCGATGCATATAGCTTAACTAAGTATGAAATTAATTAACAAATAAGATTAAAATACAATTCAACGATCTCAGCATATTTGTCCTTTACATCTTTGACAATGGCAGCTAGCTTGACGTGACACGACGCGGCTCACTCACGAACTAGCAGTGCGCGCGAATATTCAAATTAAAGAGATCAGTCTCTTTACATATATATCTTTTACAAATAGGCAGAGCGATTCTTGGTATACCAAGAAAAAGGTTGAAGAAAATCATTTTCTAAATAATAAACAGAGTATGTATTAATACAGAGGAGTTTGATCTATTGTGTTCAAACCTGGAAAGCAAACTTCGAAGAAATGATGACAAACGGACTTGCGATAACCGTGTGAGAAAAGATACTTTTGACATTACGGTTCTTAGCGACAGGTGATTCTTATACCAGTTTGCATTTCCAATCTATTTCGAACAGTGTTCCTGAAGTTTGTGATGCCATCATCGAACATTTAAAGGATTATGTAAAAGTAAGTAAAAAAATAACAATATCTTGTCAAGATAGAAAGAAACGTGAAATTTCACCTGCGACTGTTTAAAAATAATTATTTTGAAACAGTCGATCGCAATATGTTTTAGTATAATTAAGAGGCAGGTCCGAATGAATGTCTGATAGATTGCGAAAAGTCATCGTATAATAGCCATATTATTGATAAGCTCCAGTGTCGGCTTGAAATATTATTCCGCATATTTTTTTTTTACGTGCGCCAGAGTTGCTGGATCATATTTTCTCAATTCGTTGGCTATATGTATTGTCCAAATGCCGAGTATGAGTCACAAGGCGGCGGAGTTGGCTGTGCACTGCTGGAGAATCCAGAATACCTGATAAATCGTCTGTGTCTTTCGCAGGCCTTCTTTTGCTTCGTTTTCCAACGAAGCGCCATCGCATGGGGGGAAGGTTGAAAAGCTCAAAAAGGAAGATGTTGTCGTCCTGATTGACGACAACATCTTCCTTTTTGAGCGTTTTCTTCTGCTCACGCCACTTAGTCCAGTGCTGCATCTCGCTTAAATACTCTTTATGGAGCCGGTTCCAGAAGTGCCGTTTAATCTGTTCCCATCATTGATATCTGTTTGGACAATTGTAACAAGACGTGGTTCAGGTAACGTAACGTAACGGGTCTGACGTTAAAGGAGTTAACGGACGGGAATTGAGTATCGCTTCGATCTAAGTGAATGGCGTCGTCAGCTCCTCGAACGTAAGATTCGCGTTTCGTTCTTTTTGTCGATTGGTGGAGAATTTTGGCCGTTTCATGGAGTATTGTGATTGATTCTCCAGGCTTCTCTTCCTAGACGAATAATTGTTGATGAGACCACGGGCTATACACAACCTAAAATGCAGTTGTGAAAGTGGATTGTTCACCCTCTTGTTGCTGGAGTAGAGTAAAAATTAATTTTTGATGGCCAAATGAACACATGCGCTTTGTATAGTGTAGTACGGTTGATGGACATTGAATAGCCTTTTTAGAACTATCTTTCTTAGGTTCACTCATAAGAAAAATAGTAGGTAATAGGTAGGTCGGAACTATTGCTTTTGACTGTAGATGTGGCCATTACTAAAAAGATATTGCATAATCCATAGGATGCGAAAAAAAATTCAAACGTGAAATGGAACCCGTCATCTATTAAAAGTGTACAAGTAATATGTATAAAAGATAATATTATTACAGGAATTAAATATAGCCTAATGAAAAAATGAAGTACAGTAAAACCTGGTTAAGTGAGACATCAAGGGACTGCAATGTCGTTTCACTTATAGAGATATTCCACTTACCCAGTGTCACAGATATACAGGTAAAAATAAATATCTGTCTCATTTACGGAGGGTTTCATTAATAGAGGTGAGAATACAGGTTATTTCAGTTATAGAGGTGCGATCATTAAATAAAATAACGTGTTATGTATGTAAATGAGTTTAAATAAAAAAAAAATTTGTACATACGTAAAGGTAATCATACAAATGTAATTAACAAAAATATTCAAGCACGTTTTTACACGAAATATGTACGAATATGGAAATAGAATGTATAAATTATAAAAATCTCTCGTTTTAGTTTGTCGTTTGGAAGTATCAGCCATCAGATGTTTTTCGATGTTATAAATTTTATCAAATATGCTTTGGTCACCAATTGATGACATTTCAAAATAACTGTGCAAAGTTTCTAGTGCATTTACTGCTTCGCGTTTAGAAATTTTTACTAAATTTACTTCCGCGCTCATTTCATCGTCTTCTTCTTCATTTTCCAATGAAGAAGACGAGAAGGCATGAACAATGTCGCTTTCATTAAGTTCTCCTGAAACTATTAAACCGTCATCGACGTTTATAAAATCTTGGAATGTTGGCTGTTGATTATTGTCGTTGCTGATGGCTAAGTTCCAATCTTCAAGATCAGTTTCTAAATTTTCGTCCTCCTCTTGTAAGCTTTCAGCTACAGTTACTTCAGATTTAAATCCAGATTTTTTAAAGCAGTTTGCTATAGTAGTTTTGGTCAAAGAAAAGCTTTCCTAGCAAACCTCATCGCCTGAAGAACATCGATTTGTGGGCACTGATTGTCTTAAACAGCACATTCGGGTTTATTATCTATAACCATCAGGGTATTGTTAGTACTCCCACGAGCCCCACGCTGTCCGTTTGCGGATGATTGATGAAAAATCATGCACGTGTGTATCCGCAAACATACCTGAAGCACTACAGTACACCGGGATTAGAATCCCGGAGGGAGGGGAGGAGGGGTATAGAATCAAAGGCAGCTATATCCACCTAGGTACTTTTTTCGTAAAACAGAAAAAACATTTTGTTTTATTTTTACTGTGGCAACACAATGAAAAAAAACGAAAAAAAGTATTTGGTATGGTGGTACCACTGAACACACACATCAGTCAATCCAATGAGTAAATTACTTTTAGCGGTAATTTTAAAATCACTTAGCTGCATTTGATACCAACCAAAGGATTTAGCTGTTTTTGATTCTGATTGTATTGGATGTAGCTGTTTTTGTTTGCATTTTTTTGGTGATGACGTCACAAGACTAGTGATGTATATTTTAACTTTGTCTAACGATTTTGTCATATTCAAAATACGTGCATTTTGAAGCGTTTTGAAGTCCCACATGTAAATAAAATAATATTTATGAAAAGTATTATTTTTAATTAAATCTTATTATTTTTAAATTGTTATACTCTTAAATTCTCTTCTTCTTGAACCTCACAAAAATCTCGTACAGTATCGTTTTCATCTTCAACTCCTCTTTCTTCTAATAGCCAAAGCTCATCTTCGTCTAGAGTATTCAACACGGCGTGGAAATATCTTAAATGTGCAAGAACTTTCCAAGATTCACCATAGTGTTTTTGAAGAAGGTTTCTGACATCTCGCAACTTTAGTGGATTCACTTCTATGCCAGAAGGAATTATTGTTGGCCGTATAGCCTCAGCTTTTTTGCCTGCTTTACACAAACTTTTGAGGTCTCCCTTGTCAGAATTGTAATACAATTGTGAAAGTGGAAGAGTTATTTAGAAAAGAAGCAGAATCTATTACTCTTAATATGTTTAGTGCCGTTTGGAAAAAGACGCGAGAACATGAAGAAAAATATGTTCAACTAGAACCAAAAGTGGATAATTTCACTGACTCACTTATAATAAAACAGGGAAATTCTGACAGCGAAACATCAAGTTCTTCAAGCGATGAAAGTATGAGGGCGGTAGATGAATTAATAAATGATTCTGATTAATATACACAAATATAATATCGCGATTTGCTACTATGGTTGAAAGCTGGGTTCACCACCATACTCCTGAATCAAAGCAACAGTCTAAACAATGGAAAATATCTGGATCACCTACTCCGAAAACGGCTAAGGTCATTTTGTCGACCAACAAAGTCATGGCTAGATGGAGCGTATGTCGAAAAATGAAAAATTATTTACACGAACTACTCTTTCACGTTCTTGGTCTGGCTTAGAACTTTTGGATCCACCCTCGTATGCACCTAATATTTATATGTATTTGACACATTTTTATTTATTTACAACCCACCCAACCTTACTAAAACCAGAGTGGACTAAAATGTATAGCATGGCAAAATAATCATATTTTGAAACATACTGTATGTGAAATAGCATTAGTGTGAGTACTGTGAACCCGCCAGCTTTCGATAACCGACCTATATGTACAGGTTATTCTTATATGCTTTACCTGTAGCAAAATTCTGGTAAAATAAACGAATATTGTGAACCCACTTTAATGGCTTTTTCTACTAAAGAAGACATAGGTCATCTACCAAAAATAAAACTTAAATACATAACATTTTTATTAATTTCTTACTTAAACAAATTTTTCAAGTGTTTTTGATTATTTCTAATCAGTTCAATGACCCCAGAGTATTTATCTGCAAAATTGTTCGCAAGGTAGCCTACGCCGTTGATAAAGACCGCGACGCTGTCTGGAGTGCTCGGTAAAATGCTGTGTCAGTAAAAGTTGATAGTTGTATTGTAACTCAATTGTTGTGTAGTCGTGATTCATTTGTAGTAAAATCATATGTCTCTGATAAGTTGCATCTTTGTTATGGGGACGAAACGATTGGCTGGCGCACATCTCAGTAATATTATACTCCGATCTAGAAGTAGGCATAATGCTCATGAATGAAGGAAGCCCTATCGCCATTGATATAAAGTCGAACTTCTTCTTAACATGTCCGCATGGTCGTCTTCTTTCCGGCTGATGATCGACCTTTACATGATTCATTCGTTTGCTTGCTTGATGCTTTTTTCCTGTTTTGTTCTTGCTCGTTTTCAGATGCCGTGTCGGCGAGAGGTAATCCTGACAATTTGATGATCAGTCTCCTTAATACACCATTTTTTGTCTTTAGGGTAACAACTGTTATCAGTCCATCTGAACCCGGGTGAAGCTGGACGACGCGGCCCATCGCCCACTTCCCTGGCGGTAAATTAGCGTCATGTATGAGAACGATTTCTCCAACTTCAATGTATTATACCTGTTATTTAGGATTACCCAGTATATAGTGTAGTTTTCGGAACTGATGTAGGTGATGAATCAAATTTTCGGCTTTACCTTTTACCTTGCTCTTCAGGAACTGCATTCTTTGTACGTTTGATAAGGACGGGTTGCGGTCGATTGTTTCTAGAAAAAGGTCCTTTAATGAGGTCTAGTGCTGGTAGTTACCCGTAAAAACTGGAATATCCATTTTGGGCGTAGAATACTCGCGATGTGCAACGGACCATAATTTGTTGTTGATTGATTTGATGTACTCGTTGTATATTGGTTCATGCTTAGAAAATACGTTTTGATATACCTCATCCTCACATTCTTGGTACATGTCGACCTCCCAGTGAAGAGAGTCAATAGCTGACCAGCGCTGCTGTAATGATTTTAGGGTGTATTCAAACTCCAATTTTTCGGACATGCTACTTAAATCTATGTTGCTGGCCGTTCTCTCGAATGCTTTAAAGTTTGATATCTGCTTTCTCAGGAGCTCCCGAAGTTTTACCGTTGGATTTCGGGGGTTCTGCTTGCTGTGCTGATTCATGTGACATTAGACGATGTTTGGTGTTGACTAGGCTAATTACCTTCATTATGCTGTGCTGCTGCGTCTGGAGTCACGATGGTTGCTGTTGGCTTATTAGCTGACAGTGGAGAGGCTGCCCGATCCCTTACACCAGAAATAGATGCCTTTACTAATATAGGATGTTGGACAGAACCTCTTGCTGTTATCTGCTTGATTAATGCCTTTGTAGATTCATACAAAGTTGTTGCCAATTGATATTCGGAATTGATAATGTATGTATGATTTCTTCGTAGGCACACATCTGTATGTGATTTCGTTGAAAGTCAGAGCACAGGTCTTCCAGATTAGCAAACTAACGCCTAGCATAGTCCGGTAGCGACTTTCTTTCCGCGGGGTCTTTTTTGATATTTCTTTGTAACGACTCGAGAGCCTCATAGGTTGTTATTTGATTTTCAATAAGGTTATCGAGATCCATGCTGGATTAAGCAGTAATATGGAAAGATCTCACTTGATATGCTGCTACTGTTACTTGTACTGTCCAACCCGCGCGGTGCTGTCGATGCTATTGCTGCTGCTGTATGCTGCTGCGTAGCAATCCTGCCTTGCTCGCCCACAGGAAGTGATGCCGTTATGTGGGTAGCCTGCCTGGCCATCTTACGAATGCTGATGCTGCTCAACCTGGTAGCATGCCTGCTGGCTTGCCGAACCAGAACTGATGGATGCTGTGTGGGAGCTGGAGCAGCTCACCGCACTTGATGATTTCATCCAATTGTGCTAGCACTTACACACGAAACTTTCACGAAAACTTGCGTTTCAGGTCCAACCTGTACGGCGCCTGTGGCTCGAAGGACCAAAAATGTTCGGGCAGCTGCCAAACACTTCAATGATAGTTAAATAAAAGATTGCTTTGCACTGCGGTGAAGGTTGATGACACACTGATGTATATAGAAAAGCGTCGCGCCCGCAAAAAACGTAGTTACACTATGTGTAACGTACCCGGTGCAAGAAAAAAGCCCAGACAATTCTATCATGGCTATAAGTTCAATGACGTACAGGTATGTCGCGATATGTTTTTGAAAACTTTTTAACGATTCAAAAAGTCACAGTGTCATTAAAAAAACGTAGAAGTGGCGAAACTATTGTGGATGGTAAGGGAATACATAGAGGTGACATAAATAAGTTGACAGATAAAGATCATAAATTCATTGTTGATATGATTAATAATCTTCCGAAATACGAGTCACATTATCGAAGAAATAATAACAGTGGCACTTTATATTTACGACCCGGTATGACAATAAATAAAATTTATGATATACACACGCAGAACAGAGCAGATATGAACACGCAGAAATGTATGGTATCGATCACAAATGCGCCTCCTTTGCGACATTGAAAAAGATTTTCTATGCTGATTTTAATTTAAAATGTAAAAAAATAAAAAAAAAGATACTTGCAATAAGTGTGACCAATTATTCAATCAAATCTCTAATGCCAAAACTGAACAGGAACAAGAAGATGTTATAACTGAGAAGCAACATTTAGAAAGAGCAGAAATGTTAAGAAATCAGATGAATCAGGATATTATAGACCCAAGAAACATACCGGATGTTGAGTGTTTAACCTTAGACTTGGAAAAGAGATTGCCACTACCGCGGATACCAACAAATGTTGCCTTTTATAAAAGGCAACTGTGGCTTTACAATAGTGGTATCCACTCTGCATCTGATGACGTAGGACACTGCTATGTTTGGGTCGAAGGTGAACCGGGTAGAGGGGCGCAGGAGGTAGGATCATGTTTAGTGAAATATATTAAAACAAAAATACAGCCGTCTGTTAAGAATCTTATACTCTGGAGCGATTGCTGCGGAGGGCAAAATAGGAACATTAAAATAGTTCTCTTACTAAAAATCATTGGGATGAATCACAGCAAGAGGTTCTACTGAAGTAGGGTCTGCAGTTTATAACTATTTAAAAGGATTGACCCTTGATGAGGAGATTCACCATCTGAGACTTTTCTGCGACGGGTGTGGTGGGCAGGACAAAAACAGCCACAGCATACACATGCTGCTTTTCTACCTTTTAAATGACTCCCCACCACATCTTTTAGACATAACACTATTTTTCCTATGAGGGGACATAGTTTTCTCCCAGCTTAGTGTTTAGTGTTAGACCAAGGCACAATACTTACGTACTTGGCCCTTACATAAGATCAGCCAAGATCATATAGAAATTTTTTTTTCCAATGTTCGTAGCCATGGTATAATGATAATCCCACAGCGCGACAACTCGAAGCAATATATAAGAAACTATTGGTACACACAGAGCTAAACCGAAATGAACGAGGTACAAATTGTATTCCTTTAGAAAAAATATCAATTTTAGATTGTTCTTCAGGGATAAAAAAAATCAACGACACATCTTTGTCATTCTGTATTAATTTAGAGGCAGATAAACAATTTTCCATCACAGAGGAACAGATACTTACAGATATAGATAGCTACACATACTTATCTCCTTTCGGCGAGGAAGTAGTGAAATACATAGCGGGCTACGTGGTTTTTTCTATCATTAAAAAAATCAAATGCAGTATCTGCGTCAAGGCTCTTTTAGGCGTGCAGTGTAAAGAAAGCTTGATTTATCAAAAAAGTAGAGGTGGCTTAATGTATGCCTCAGAAGAGGTAATATCCTTATGTCGCTTTTGTGAATTCGAGATTAGAGCCACACTTACGTCGGATAAAAAAGTTGATCCTAAATACAACACTAAACGAATTGTTATTCAAACTTTAAAAAAACTTGTAGGGAAAACACTCTTTCATTCTATTGAGGAACATTATTTTGACAACGATTATGTGACGCATAACATAGAACTGGCAAAGGTTGTTATGGAAAAATATGTAAACACGAGAATCACTTACCTTTCTAAGAAAAAGGATCCAAAAAAATGTATCCGTCATATATTCACAAAACTCATTCACTTCAAAAATCAATAAAAAGTTTTGCTGGATTAGCAGATTTAAATAAAACATCAAAGTCCGCTATTTTGTAAGTAAAAATAGTGTTCTTATTATTTCATACATAAAACTAGTACCTAGTATAAAATAAAATTGTGTTTTCTTATGTCGTTTCAAATTTTTAAATTTAAAATCATCATGGGATTTCAATTACGCTATTTAAAAAAGTAGTAGCAATAAAAATATTTTTTTTTAATGTCAAATGATTATACAGTTACATGATGTTTTCATATAAATAAATACTTTGATTGACAATGTGTTTGGAAACCCCCTGTTGTACTTTTTAACCTCTTTGTAATAAATATTTTTTCTTAAGTAAGTTGTTTTAATTGCCTATTTTATTACATTTAGGATGGAGCGTCATTGAGGAGACCAGCGCATAACTTCTTCTAAATATTAGCCGTATAGTAATGTATTGCAAATTTTCTCTAAAATATTTTAGAAATGCTATAAACATTTTAGAAATCATCGCTAACATACTCTCCTAAGGTGCAACTGCCGCAAAAACAGAAAACAGAAAGAAAAGAAGAAGAAAGAAAAGTCCAATGTACATTCAGTTGTTTGTTTAAATAAAATAAATAAAAACATGGAGCGCTAGTGTCCTTCTTGATGCACTACTTCACCTTAGTGAAAGTTAATGAAGCCATGAGGGACGGTACCCCAACCAAAGTCCGTTATTAGCTTGAGTCACGCAAGAACTTGACACTCCTTATCCTTTACACACTGAAACTGACCAATTCATAGAGTTTGGGTACAGTCGCTTGTGGCGTCATTAGTTCACAATTTGCCACCCCTTGTGTGAAAAAAATTTTTTTTAGAATATTTCTGCTATTGCAGAATAGAATGAACAACTGAATGATTGAATGAATAAATTTTATCGACATTCCTTATCGACATGGTGGTAGCTCTAATTATCTCGGGATTGTTGCGTATGTGTGCTGTTCATGTAACGTGTAAAGATACGATTTCTTTAAATGTGTGCGTTGCGGTTACTCTTGTGTAAGCAAATTAGGTTTGTGTGCGTGTGTACAAACATTGTGCAATTTGTTTCTGTAGTAAAATTTTGTCTGTGTGAGTGCCTCGTCCCCCGCCGATGTTTTGACAGAAAAACTAATTAGCATCGTTCGAGTGATGGCGTCTCCTTTCTGGCTTAATACTCAAAGGCGTATTGTTATTCCTAGCGCAATTATACTATCGATTACGTGGAGAAACGACTATGGATTTACTCGAGATTAAAATCATGGAATAGATTATTCTTGGTATAGTTACTCGTGTATAAATTGAAGTTTGGTCGAATCGACCCTAAATGACAAAGAAATAAAAATAGAAAAAATAAATTATACTCAATATTTATGAGAACTTCGTTTGAGGAAGAGTTTAAGGAGTTGCTTATTGACAAAAAGAATAGAGAAATAAAGAAAGATGATTTAATTCTTTTGAGGCTTAATGGAAAACCGATCGCACCAGCTAAGTTGGCCGGCCGATTCAAAGTCGAATCAATGTACCTGTTTATACCTGAGGACTGTGTCCACTTTTATAAAAATTTAAAAAGTTCGGATGAGTTTATCGATGATTTTGATGGGTTTGGCGGGTAGCCTGACTTCAAGATAATTGATGAATAAATCATCACCTTTTTTTAACAATGTTTTTTATATTTGTTGAAAACTTATTGTGTGCTCAAGTTATTTTCTAAAATATTTTTGTTTCATTTTATTGCTACCTTCGTTCATTGCAAAAGTTGATGATTTAAATTTTTTTTTCTTGTTAGTCTTAAGTTTTTCACAATAAATCCTTCTTATTTCGTAACAAGTCGTATTTATTTAAAATTGAAAACTGTGGAACGATTTTACAAAATATAAACGGTCTTACTAATAAAAAATCACTATGCATGAGTTATAACAAGGTGATAGTTATTCAGTGAATAGAGCTTGTACAGGGCATAAACACCTCTTTGACCAATAATCGATGTGTATTGGTTGAATAACTAAACGACCCTTATTTATTGTTACCCTGGCAACCCGCCGTGTTTGATTGACGTTTGACTTAATAATTCTGATAGAAGTCATAATTCTAATGTAAGTTGTATTTATTTTAGCAACCAAAACAATTATATTCAGACAAAGAGGACTAGAATTTTACATAAAAAGCCACGTTCTGCAGTACAAAAGTTGGGAGAGGTTAGTATCAATGTGATAGAGAAAAGGACTATTTCATTCAAAAGCCCTCAACGATCATACTTAAATTTTTTAGGCATCTCAAATAGTGGAAAGTGCCAAACTCCGCAACACGGCAGTGTTCCAGTGTTTGCAGGAAGAGCATGAAACCAAACTAAGGCAAATGGCTGAAACACATGAGCTCAAACAGAAGCAACTTGCCGAAGCTCACAAATGGTCTAGACAGGAGCATCTTCTAAGGCTCAAACTATTACAGCAGCAATTAAATGAATAATTATATACTTATAAAAAAATAAAACCCCTGTTTTAAATGAAATATAACTTTTTATTTATTTCACGTCTAACTATCCACACCTATGTAAATAAAACAGCCTTAAAAATATGTTTCAATAAAAGCAGCTCTAGCAGCTTGTCCAGCCTGATTGCTTGGGGGCGTCTAGGTTGGCCTTGGTTCTTCTGGAGCATTCTCAGTGTCATCATACGTAACATCCAGGTCTTCTTTCATATCAATAGCAATATTGTGGAGGATTGCCAGTGCTACTATATATAATTTGGCATTTTCTAAAGACACTGAGAAGCCATGAAGAAGACACCTAAATCGAAAACCATCCACCTCTATTACTCTTTTCGACATCAGCTCGCACTGTCACAGATCTTCATAACATACTTCTTTGAAAAGCGGTATTTTGTTTTGAAATCGCCATCCGAAAGTAATAACGGATTGCACCGAGTTTGGTATGTTTTGACTTTCCTTGGAGGCGGCAAATCTTCAATCGTATGTATTAGCTGCATATCAATATTATCTAAATCTTCCATTTGATCTATAAAATCTATTTTCAACAAACACAAATACCTACTAACTTAAATCTTTCCTTGAACTAAACAGTCAAAAAATGCTGTCAAACGCGAAATCAGATCAAATAACGCAATTTATGTCCTATACACCCGTTAAACTAGGCCTCGGCGTTGTATAAGCATTGTACAAGTCTTCATACAAACCAGACACTTGTTATAACAGCCGTATACATCAAACGTGTCAATTCAGGAATTATTAGTAACATTTTTCTTATAACAGGCTTATACGATGTGCATAATTCTTTATTAGTAAGACCGACTGAGTGCTACTTCATACAAAAAATATTGTTCAAAAACGTTCCAAAATACCTATATTTCAAAAAGCTATTTCGAAATAATATATATACTTATACTTACTTGAATAAAACCTACAGTATTGAATTATCCTAGTTCAAACAAACCAACTTTTTCCAAATGGCCTTTAAAGTTTGATGACCGTTTTGGCGACGGTGCTTCGGCTTAGAGAGTATGACTGAGCCAGATGTTTAAAAGTCATCCCAACGGAGAGAAATCTGAAACATAAAATTGAAGTAAGGCATAAGGCAGTAAATGTAAAATTAGAAGCATTAATATTTATTTCTTTAATGACGAATCACAAGTGTACATTGTGTTACCTACGTGAATAAATGATTTTTGAATTTGAATTTGAATATACTGGAAGCATGTAAATTTATTCGCAAATATCCTAATATGTATAAAAAAAGGGAAGATACAAAAACCCTTTACTCATTAAGACCTTCTCGTAAAAACCAACTGATTCTACCTACATCCAGACTAAAGTTACATCAATCAGGACCATTGACCTCCTCCATAAAAATATATAACAAACTACCAGAAAATTTGAAGAATGAAACAAATAACCTGAGGTTTACCAAATTTCTAAAGGAATGATTATATAAGAAATGTTATTACACTGTTACAGAGTATCTGACTGATAGATTTTAATTTCTTTATAAAAGTTAAGTTTATAAATAATGTTAAGTGCCTTTTCGCAATGTGAAACCAAAGTAAATATACCAAATAATTAATGTATCTTATAGGAATAGGAATGTATAAGAATATAATGAATTAAAATAAAGCATGCCCTCTCATAACATTGCTGTGCCTAGCCAAGGTCCTTATTCATTATTGTAATAAATTATGTACATAAGGAATGCAATAAAGACTTGAGTTTAAATTTGACAATCATAAAGGCAACCGACCAAATCACCCTTCCGGTTAGGTTTAATAAATTCATAAATAAAAACAATCCGTTAGTAGAAAAAACTTCTGTTCTGGATAGCTTTAATATACCAAGTAGTCCTTACGAAAGAAAGGAAACAACATATGCAAATTCGGAAGTAGGTTGTGATAAGACTTCGCTTTCAGAATTTTTAAAGACAAAATATGACGGCAAATCTTGCGTACGCGCTTTTATTATACGTTTAGAGGAGCTCAAGTTAGCACGAAATATTCCGGATGAGCGAATGTTACGTTTAGCGCCAGAAATTTTCACCGGGGAAGCTTTGCATGGGCTTAGAAGCGTAAGAGATAGAATAGGTTCGTGGCATGAACTGCTATCTTTGCTAAGGACGGACTTCGACACTTTTGACTTTGATTACAAAATGATGAACCAGATCCGTTCGCGGAGCCAGGGCGAAGAGGAAAGCATAACTATTTATCTAGCGATTATACACGGTATGTTTTCACGACTCTTCACGACTGCACGGTCAGAGGCGGATAAATTAGAAATAATTCTTCTCAATATTAGGCCGTGTTACGCGGGAGTTTTGGCTACAAATCCGAATAATGCCAGCATTTCTGAATTACGAGAAGTTTGCAGGAACTATGAAAGAATTAACGCTCGATATTCCGATTCCTTCGTGTAACCCTGGTAACATTAGCACCAGAGTTTAATTATTTTTCTATAAAACCAAACAAAAATAAAAATATTATAAATAAGCTTCGTTAAATTTAAATAAAATATATTGTTTTAAATGTGGTCTTCGCAACTACACTACTTTTACTTGCCCTAGGTGTAATTCCAAGGAAAAATCGTTCGTGAGTCCTTTCCGGTGTTATAAAATAAAAAATATGTTTATTATGGAACATAAGATACATGTATCACTTATACCACGTCATTAAATTTGAATTTGTAGGCATCCCTACTCATCGGCAAAGAAGACAGAGGGTGTAGGCCGAGAGAAAAAGCCGGCGTAAAAAAACTCTCGGTACTCTTTTAAAATAGCAAATCAACTCAGTATAGATGCGGCGAACGCGGTTATAAGGTTACAGATTGTCCCAAATGTAAGGATAAATATAGCCCGCCTTCTAAAGTCCTTCAGACAAATACCAACGGTAATAATAATAAAAATGATATTAATTAAAAAAACTAGATAAGGGAAGTTGCAATCAGTTTAATTTCGATCAGGAAGACTGGGCCAACTGGTTGACAACTATAAATATGATTACCCTCAATCAGTTTGACAAATAAGAAAAGAGCTACAAGAGCAAGTCAAAGCTGTATGGGACAAAGGAAACAAAGCATTAAGGTACGAACAGACGTGACCAATTACTAGCACGAAAGCATGCTTTTATTGAGCAAGTGCTCATTAGTAGCACGTGTGTAATGTAATGAGCATGCTACCTGAGGCGCGGGTAGGTGGGGGGCGTGCTCCGAGCACGTCTGAACATGTTTGCTTATTAGCATGCTATTATCCATTTTGTCTCGATCTGCGGCGGACTACTGTTTTATGCAATTAATTGATGTAATTAATTAAAATTAAACCCGCAATATGTCGCGTTGGAAAGAAGAAAAAACTTTGCTTTTTGTATCACATTATAGAAGTTACGAATGTCTGTGGAAAACACATTCTCATTTATATAAAAATAATATTGCTCGTAATAATGCTTATGAGGCTTTATTAAAGGACATTAATGATTCAAGTTTAACAATGAAAATAATTAAAACTAAAATTAAAAACCTAAGATCTGTGTATCATGCCGAAGTAAGAAAAATCAACAATTCGAAGCGGTCCGGAGCTAGTGCAGCAGACGTTTATAAACCAGCCATGTCATGGTTTACGGAAATGAATTCATTTATGGCAGACACGGACGATTATCGTGAAACTGTTGAATCCGACTTGGTGGTCGGATCCAAATAAATCAAGCTTGCTTATTTCTGGAAAATGTGAACAGTTTGCAGAGCATGCTAATTTTAAGCAAGCTTATTAGCATGCTTTTTTTGAGCACGTCTGTCAGTACCGATAATCAAATGCGACAAGATTGTTGTACTAAAGAATAAGCCTACAAAGAGTAACAACAACAAAAGAACCCTCCTGAATTCGCCAGAAAATGCAACAAACACCATAGATGGAAATAGATCAAATGCAAACAAAAAGAATAAAACCCTAGCAACCCAGTCCGAATATGGTTGCCATATCTGTAGATACAGAAATAAGAAAACTCAACCTAGTCTCGGTATACTTCGAACCGCATCCGAACCTAGTCCGCACCTCCAGACACTGAAACAAGTCATCGAGAAATTAGGACGGAGAAATATAGTGGGAGGGGACGTAAACGCCAGAAACGTCTGGTGGGAGTGGAAATTATAGTACGAAATATAGTCAGTAATAGAGTAAAAGAGTAGGAGAGTAAACGCGTATTAAAGTATGAACACACTAGAAGTGCAAATGAGTCTCCGTAGAATACATCCCAGCCTCCAGAGCAACATATATCCTTCTAATCGATTGCCGATGTATGCTCAGGTGCCAGCTCTTATCATATGCAATCTTGACCCTGATTCACAGCCGGGGTCTCATTGGGTGGCTATTCATATAAACGTCGAAAAAGTTGGGGAATACTTTGATTCGTTTGGACGTAAACCTATTGAAGCAATAGAAGGATTTTTAAGGAGGAATTGTTGCATGTGGAGGTACAAATGCCTTACGGTTCAGGATAATATATCGGCGGTGTGCGGAGAGTACTGTTTGGTATACGTATATAACAAGTTCAGGACGATGAGATTAGAAGACTTCCTTAGAACTTTTACATGTGACTCAGAGAACAATGATACGGTGCTAGTAAATTTGTATAGAAATATAATGGACATATAAATAAAAGAATAATACCTGGAATAAAAATGTTTTATTTAAATATGTAACCCTTACATCTAATTTTATTATAGATAATGGTGTTAATGTAGGTTAGGTATATTTATTGTTGTTTGCTTAGACCCGTAGGTTAGGTTGGGTTAGATATAGTTTTTTCTATTTTTCTTTTAGAGCCATAGATTGGGTTAGTGAATGTAGGAAAGTAGATAACGATGCATTCGTACTGAGTCAGTTATAAGATAATGAGTGGGAATTTCGTGCAAGAAATTTTGCAGGGGAACTTTGAAAGGAGGCAGTTGCCGGGAATCCATACTACTGCAACTTCTCGCCGTTTTGGCAGTGTCAAAACTGTCTAAACTTCGGTCACACTAAAAGCCGTTGCCTTGCTAACACACCCACATGCGCTAAGTGCTCTGCACACCACCTTACCGCAGAGTGCAAGGCGCAAACACACAAACTTGTGCCAATTGCCACGAACACAACGCACAATTTAAAAGCAGCACCGACACATAACACCGCAACGACTCAGAGAGTTGCCCCAAAGTTAGTGCTATGCGTGCCCGCGTTGAGGCCAAGATCAATTACATTTAAACATGTACAAAAACATCAAATCTTGACCGGTCTCGCATCGCCACACAAGAACTCAAACACCACTTCATCACAAATAAACTCGACATAGCCATTATATCCGAACCGTACACAAACAAAAACACAGTCAAAAATATCGCAGGCCTCCGCGTGTTTCAGTGCGATTCGGCGGACACAACGAAAGCCTGCATTATAACCAGTTCACATATAAACGCACACATCATTTCACAATTCACTACAGGAAATATAGTGGTTATCGCGATACCTACAAAAACAAAAACACTCTCCCGGTCTACATTGAACCGAAGACCGACACTAACAACACTTTAGACACACTAGACACATTTATAAAATAAAAAAATAAAAAATAAAATATGTTTATTATGGAACATAAGATACATGTATCACTTATTCCTCGTCATTAAATTTGAAGGCATCCCTACTCATCGGCAAAGAAGACAGAGCGGCGTAAAAAACTCTCGGTACTCTTTTAAAACAGCAAATCATCAAACAACACTTATTTAAAACAAATATCGCAAATTGATTAGAAGTAGCCTGTCTAGCACTAGTCCCAGGCCCTTTTATCAACTAGATAATCGTTGACTTTATAGTAAGCCTTTTTACACAGCTTTTCTTTAATACATTTCTTAAATTTATTGAAAGGCAGTGATAAAAGAGCCTCTGGGATTTTATTAAAGAAGAGTATCCCTTTCCCCAAAAAAGAATTACTAACTTTAGATAGTCTAGTACGGGGAAATTGCAGCCTGCATTTGTTCCGTGTATTAACATTGTGCGTATGTTCTATTCTAGTAAACTTATCACTATTTTTGTATACATACATAATATTTTCATAAATATATTGCGAGGGAAAGGTAAGTATATTAATTTCCTTGAATTTATCTCTAAGAGATTCCCTACATTTTAAATTATAGATTGCACGAATAGCCCTCTTCTGCAGGATGAAAATAGTTTCGACATCAGCAGCATGACCCCATAATAATAAGCCATAAGTCATTAAGCTATGAAAGTAACTAAAATAAACAAGTCTAGCTGTATCGACATCAGTTAGTGAGCGAATTTTTTTAACCGCGTAGGCTGCAGAACTAAGTCTCTTCGCCAATCCGTTAATATGAGGGGACCACTGAAGTTTTGAATCCATGGTGATTCCACACATTACACATATAAAGACACACTCAGACATTTTAATTGGCGGCGACTACAACGCGTGGCACCAACTCTGGGGTAGCCCTCGAAGGAACACTCGGGGTTAGCACGTAACAGACATCATTAATTCAAACAATTTATTAATCAACAATAACCGCAACACACCTACATTCCAAATCCACACGGAGCGGAGAGGTCATCTATCATCGACCTCACGCTCTCATCCATACACACATATCACCAAATACACAAATGGGAAGTCAAACAGCGCCTGTGCCCATCCACACAACACAATTCAATAGGATTCTTATTGGATTGCCATACGGATCCTAAACCACACGCCACGAACAATAGCACATTTAACAAACACACAGGCAAATTGACACATCTTCAAAGAAACACTCCACACACTTTAATAATTAAACAACACACGCTCGAAACAAACATATCGACTCCATCGCCACAACAACTAGACGACTAGAAAACAGGCCTGAGAAAGCCCCAAGAAATTAAAAGAATTAAAAACACAATGCATCCGACTACATCATAGAATATTATAGAATACACACACACACTCAAAAACAGACACCCGCTGCAGATCTCATCAACAAATATCACGAAACACACAATCAGGAAAACATCTACAGACCATTACAGACTATTTTGTGAATCACAAGGCGCAGAAGACGTCTGGTCTGTAACGGACAGACTACTTAAAACCAACAATAATATACCTCGCACCCTTAAGGTCAACAATAGATTCAACCAGCAATGATAAAGAAACATCACAAGCACTACTCACACATTAATTCCAGAACAAATTGTACCTCTCATTGATAGGGATAAACCTGAGTCCAGACAAAACATTTTTCTTCATAGAGAGGTTTGGCGAGTACACCTCATGGTATAAGTCCGAAGGGTTTGTGAGTCAATTTGGAACAGAGATTCCAAGTATTAGGCCACAGGGGAAGAACCCTAATGATGATCTTTATTTCTGCGCGAAGAGCACAGCTGTCACTACAAACATTCATGTTATTGCTCTGCCAACGCCACATAACCCTTAAGAGCCAAATTTATTTTCTTTAACTATTGCTAGTAATAAGTATATAGCAATGACCACTGATAAATCCCAATACTGCGTAATCAATAACTTGGAAGTTGTAAAATGGTGAATCCTGGAAACTTTATTTGTCACTACGAAAATGTATATTCCACGGAAGCAAAATCTATTTGTAGAAGTGAACTATTAGTTAAGGTAACCCCTAATGAATAACAAATGGTTGTTTATACAGTCCGATCCACAAAAGATATCCATACACTTGTTCAGGATCCAAATTATTTGAAACAAATTTTAGGTACTGGAACACTCCATATACCAAAAGCGTGTGTAGGATATTACAAAAGTACTACTAGTCTTGTACCGAAGTATATCATTTTAAATATTTCCTCACCCATTAATCACTTCCCTGATTTTAATCTTATAAATGATACGTGTTGTGATTTAGTGAAGCTTAGTGATAAGGCTGATAATGTATCTCCTGTTCACTTAAACAGTATAGATCTAGACGATTTGAATTCAGAAAATAAGTTAAAATTAAACTCAATCCTTACCGACTTAGGTAAGTTAGAATCTTCTAAACTACCTCATATTGTGGAATATGGGACACATTACTCGGCGACAATAATTATAACTTTTGTTTCAATAGTTTCATTTTTATTGTATTTAGCTATTTATTAATTTTGTAAATCTTTTTCAATATACAGTAAATCCTAATAAGACCCATAATAACAATGCTAGTTTTTCATAAATAACTGCGACTTAAATTTAAATGATTGTTCAGTCATAAAGTAGATTCAATCCGAAGCAGACGTTTCATTGCACTAAAATTATATTTAATAATTAACTAGTCAAAAAGCAACCTTATCGCCCCAATGATGTAAAAAAAAATTCATATTTTGGCTCAAAATATTAAAATAGTTAACAGGAATTCCCTTTACCTTTTAGGTTCTCCAATTTTTGATGAATCTATTTCTGATTATATTAATACTTCAATTGCTAAATTTCAAAGTTCTGCTGACCGTCTCCTTGAAATTAGTCCGCATTATGCACTTTGCATCTTAAAATTCTGTCTTTTCCTCCCAACATTTACGTATGTGCTCAGTTGCTGCTCGTTTTGGAATCATCCAGATCTTTTGACACCAGTAGACGACTTAAAAATCACTTCTTAATATGCAGCTGAACGAGCAATCTTGGACCCAAGCTTCCCTACCCAGCCGTTATGGTGGTTTAGGGATTCACAAAATTTTCAGTGTCGCTTTACCAGCCTTTCTATCTTCTGTCCATAGTTCAGCAAATCTCATAAAGAAAATTTTAAGGGCATCCCCTTCAAACTTTGAGATTGCTGGCTTGGAAGAAGCTAGAAACGCTTACTTAATTGCATGCCCAGGTCGAAATTTTCCATTATCTCTAAATTCACAGAGGAGCGGGGATGATATAAACTGCAAATTGACTTTTGACGATCTTTTGGGTTGTAGTTCAGGTTCGGCACGTGCTAGGCTTTAGGCCGTGGGTACGCATGAGGCCAGCTACTGGCTTCACGCTTACCCTTCGTCAAATACAGGAACTTTCTTTCAGGCTTCGAATCGCAACCTGTCTACGGCTTGGGATTCCGGTCTGCGCTCCTCATATATGTCCCTGTGGCATTGATGTCGACAAGTTAGGACATCACGGCCTGTCATGCCAAAAAAGTGCAGGCCGCTTTTCGAGACATGCCGCACTTAACGATATCATACGCCGGTCACTTGCCACCATCAACGTTTCAAGTCTACTTGAGCCGAGTGGTATTGCAAGAGACGATGGCAAAAGACCGGACGGTATGAGTTTGATTCCATGGAAGATGGGCCGGGTACTGGTATGAGATGCAACCTGTTCAGACACGCTGGCCCCTTCCCATCTACATGGAACCAACTACAGAGCTGGTGCGGCTTGTGAAGCGGCTGAAAAAACTAAAGCATGCAAATACAGGGGTCTAGGCTCAGAATATGATTTTGTCCCATTCGGTGTCGAGACCCTTGGTCCGTGGGGTCCTAGCGCTTTAAGGCTTTTTAAAGAAATTTCAATAAGGTTAGTCGACATCACAGGAGACTGAAGATCTGGCAGCTACCTCGGACAAATAATTAGTTTAGCGATTCAAAGGGGGAACGCTGCCAGTATCATCGGAACCTTGCCTAAAGGGACTCCTTTTAATAATATATTTTAGTTTATGTTAAGGTTAGTTATTTATTTCAATGTATATTGTATAGAATTTATTATTTGTTTTATATTATTTAGTTTCCTTGTTTCATACATGTTGTTATAAGTTTATAACTTATATAATACGTATATGTAATTATAATTTTTTTTTTCCGTATCTAGTATTTTTCAACAGACCATAATTGAACCTCCTACTAAGGATATAGAAATTACAGAAAAGGAAATTCCCGAAATGGAAATTGTTCATCAAAGTGCTTCAATCAGGACTAGAATATAAAAGAGCCTTTGAATTTCTCACCAAAGGCTCTATCTAAAAGGGGGAGATGTTACATCCCTAGATTGCTAGCCATAATGCTAACTCATCATCAATGCATACTGTTAGAGGATTACGTCTGCGTGTATCATTCTTAGAGAGCGGTTGTCTAATTTTTGTGTTTTAACTACTATTCTAATTAAATCCTTTTTTTCTAAAAGGCATTTTAATTCCACGGCCTAACAGTTCAATAACAACGAAAACAGACAACACGCGCTCTCACATCTAAAAAAGACAGGCTCACTCAATGCAGAAGAGGAGCGTCGATTTGACCCTATGATTCAAATAAAGGGCATCAGTCAAAATACCCCCGCCGAAGAAATAGTAACTATAATAAAAGCTCAAAACCCTTCACTCAAACCGGAAAAATTCGAAGTAAAATTTAAACGCAATAAGAGAAACGAAAATCTTTACAACCTCGTTCTAAACACTCTTGCCTGTCGTAAGTTCTTGGAACTCGAGAGTTTGTCAATTACGTACCAGAGAATCCAATGCGAGAATTTCTCGCCTTTCCTACAGTGCAGGAACTGCCTAGGTTGCACACCAAAAACCGCTGCCCAGCCACCGTCCCAACTTCAATAAATGCGCAAAAACGCATACAACGGGTGAATGCAGCAAGGCGGCTTCAAAGAAGCCTTGTTGCATTAACTGCAGGGAACAAAACCACCAATTCAAGACTCAGAACGACGTCAGCCATCGCGCTGACAGCGAGAACTGCCCCCAAGTCAAAGCCATGCGTACCCGCGTCGAGGCCAAAATCAATTATAACTAAATATGCTCACTATACTGTTATGTTTGTGGTGAATACATGCTGAAAGATCAGGGTGAAACGATTAAAAACACTGTGATTCGTTTGTGCTTATTTCGGTATAAAAATAAAAAATAAAACAGTGGCACTACAACCTCTTTCAAGTCTTGGCCTCAGATTTCTGAATCTGTTATTTCGGTATACAGTGTGTACTTGTGTTGTGCTTATTTCGGTATACTCGGTATACGCTTCATAATGTGTGCAAAATATGCTTCGAACATCTACGACAGTGGGAGAAAGGCACACGTAACTCTTTAAGTTTGGAATACTCGGACCTATGATATGGCGAAAACAAAACAATCATTATGACTTTTTTGTAACTTTTGTATGACAAATGTAATGGGCATCAACAAAAACAAAATCGCCATAAATACTGGATTGAGTGACTCGAATGAAAATAATATAATGATTGAAAGAAGTAAAACGCTACAGAAAGGTGTAAAGCAAGGAGAAAGGGAAAGACGTGAGGGTGATGACACTTCTGATGATGCTTTACCTTTCACTCAGCTAGCGACGTCGCTAAATAATATAAAGTGTGTAAACTTAAAACCAGGAATCTATGTTATTATTAAATATGAAGGGGAATACTTTCCTGGAAGAATTGAAAACAAGGATGGCGACCTTTTCGAAATTAGCACAATGGTGTTATCTACAAACAATACTTTCAGATGGCCGGAAAGACCAGATAGAATCTGGTATAGACTTAACGATATCGTTGAAATTATTACTTCACCTATCAAACATAATAACAGAGGCTTCTTTAAAGTCACTGAAATGGAAAAGTTTTTGCCTAATATATATACATAAAATCTCTAGAACCTTGCGATAATAATAATTGTTTAATTTTGAAATTAATTGTGTTTTATTCTTGGTGGCCATAAACGGTACATACCATGGCCATAAATGGGGGAAATGTGGCCGGAAACGGCACAAAATCACTTTATATTTCATTTTTTAAAAATAATTATCTATCAGACATTATATAAAAAAAAAATTTTGTGATGCTTAGTTAATGTTATGTTTGATAATATTTTAATAAAATAAATTATGCAACTGTAAATATTATAAATTTGGAACGCATCGAAACTGAAAATGTTCTTAAAATGGCCACAACCGGGACATCTGCCCTATGCTCTTGTCGCCTGAAATGTGCTGCCATCTAGAATATGGAACTTGCACGAAACAGGAGTCACCATTGTATTAAAACCAAATAAAACAGTAGCTGCTGCAGACGATATACCACCTGTTTGTTTTTCCTCGCCTTAAGTATAAAGACCTATTTATTCATGATGGACTCAGAAAGTAGTGGTGCGGGAAATAGCTCGGGATCGATGACGGTTAAAGAATTCCTCATCTTTATGGTATTTTTTTTTTATTTGCCCATTTGTATGGAAAGTAAAAATAAATGTATCCTGAATGAACCTCCATGAACCGTAAGTTTCCGCAACCTAAAACTTTGCAAAACGCTTTATTTTAGTGAGTACTATCTACAAAAAAAATATGGTAATTTTTTTTATTTGCCCATTTGTATGGAAAGTAAAAATAAATGTATCTCATGAACCGTAAGTTTCCGCAACTTAAAACTTTGCAAAACGCTTTCTTTTAGTGAGTACTATCTAAAAAAAAATATGGTCAATTTTTTTTATTTGCCCATTTGTATGGAAAGTAAAAATAAATGTATCTCATGACCCGTAAGTTTCCGCAACTTAAAACTTTGCAAAACGCTTTCTTTTAGTGAGTACTATCTACAAAAAAAATATGGGCATTCAAATCAATGGTCCATATTGGAAAGTTTAGCCAAAACACCAAAAAGCCCACTCCCGAGGACCCGGTATTGTTATTACTGGATCAATCACACGTTGACATTAATGTTGTTGAAAAGGCAAAGGCATAATATAATAGTCTTTCCCCCGACATTGTACCCGTCACTTGCAAACGTCTAGCACGTGGGCATTACTGGCCCGTTTAAAACATATTGTGCCAAAGCTCAAGAAAACTGGCAACATAATAATCCAGGCAAGACAATATCAATTTATGAGATACCTGAAAATGAAAAACATGCATGGCCGCCTTTAGCAGCGACGCTTAATAACTTTATGAACGCTTTTAAAAAGGCAGGCATAAATAAGTCTTTCGTTACAGACCGACCTATGCCTGATACTAATATTTCAAATATGGAATCACAACTTCAAGAAATAGCTGGCCCTGAAGAGATTCAGGTGGATCATAAATATGGAACCCATCCTAGATAGCGAACCACTTCCAGCAGCAACAGAATCATTCAAGCCACAACTAGCACATGTTAAAACCTTAACCTAAAGCATCACAGAGATCAACTGTACCGAATAAGCGACGAAAAATAAAAACAGCAATACTACTGACAGATACGCCTAAAAATATTGCTGAAGAAAAGACCGCTGCGTGAAAGAACAATAGTAAAATAAAGGAGAAGGAAATTGAAAATAGTGGGAAAAAATTATAACTTAAGTAACCTTTAATTAGATGTTATTGGTCTCAGAAAAGTGAATTGTATGTGACTGAATAAAGAAAATAGTTCTAAATGTTAAAATTTGTAGATTTTTTTTTTTGTTTTACTTAAAATAAATAATTTTCTTTTATTGACAAACAAGCGATGCAGCTTCATAACTTGATCAGAGAGGTAGACATCAGAATCGCCCTCACAAAATGACCATGACGATGATAAATGTATTAAAAACATATTTCAAGTTTTCCTGCTGAACAATCACATTACTCACGAAACAAAAATATGAGCAAACTATATTTGTCACCGCTACTGAATGTGACCAAAATGCAGTTTATGCCTAGGAATGTGTCATAATGAGGACCAAATTTTTGTCACACAATCCAACCTGTTTTTTGGATACCCAGAGTGATACGTGCGCTCTTGCGATGCTCAATACTCAAATGACGAACATAAGTCAAATTATTATGCTGCAGTTGAAGCTATTTAAGTTGACCGAAAAAAACCACCCCGCTATTTACACCAAACCATGCCTTTACCAAAACTTCAAAAGCGTTCTACTTGCGTTAACTGTGGTTTTACAGCCTGGATATTCATGTTTGTGATGGAAGCAAAGAAAAAGCCGTATGTTGCACCTGGACTGAAGATGTTGCGGATCTCAAAAGTGGGGAAGTCGCAAGCCCACTTCTAAGATTTGTGGAAGTAGATCCTTGGCCAAAACAAAGATCGCATATTGATTTGGTCAGACTCATGTACCGGCCAAAACAACAATTTCACCATGATTACACTTAATCAATATCTTATTCTTAATGGATATTTCAAATCATCGTACACAAGTTTCCTGAAGTTGGCCATTCTTAAGACCCATTTAGGTGGAGAGAGATTCTCGCACCGTGATTTTGGCAGAATAGAAAAAGTCCTAAGAAAGTATGACACAGTTTATGTCCCTGAATATGACCGAACATTTCAGACACATTAGTGGGCTACAAGAGAATCTCAATTTGACAAATAGGAAAAAATATGTAAGCAATGGAAAAATCTATTTTAGGGGTGTTGTTTAGCTGAGTTATACCTAGGTAACACTGAAAATGTTTAGAAAATGAAAAACGGCTTAACACGATGACGGACAGTACCGCCCATAGGCGTCACGGACTAAAAAGCAATATGACGGTCGATTTCTCCTACTATCATAAGGCACGGCATGTCATACCGTCACCAAAGGTACAAATAAGATCGTCGTACTGGCACAATACATTATGATAGGCTCACCCAAAGAAAGACGTCGCCATTGTATACGATGAGTCATCATCATCATCGAATATTTAGCTACATATTATCTGGACGCAGGTATGAACAAATTTTGCGCTGTATCTGAGCATCGGAATTAGATTCGTGAAAATAAGATCGTGAAGTTCATTGATATGTTGACAGTAATTTTTCGTAAAATTTACAACGCTGGTGCAGAGCTGTCTCTAGATGAGTAGCTCCTTCTATTTCGGGGTCGTTTACACGTCCGTCAATATATCAAGTCGAAAAAAGCCCGCTATGGGATTAAATTCTTTGAACTCACGACTTCTGATGGCTATGTATTAAATGTAAAAATGTACTCTGGAAAAGAAACCACAGAACAGGATATGGGTGAGTCTAAATCTAAGACAGAAAAAGTTGTCATGAGACTGATGCGTTCATATTTACGACGCGGGCTCTATCTATTCATGGACAATTATAACAACTCAAAGGAAATCCTATAGACATAATAAAGAAGTGGTTTTTTTCTGGGTTCAGCAGTATTGGTTCTCGAAATACTCTGAGTTTTGAGGCTAGTATTCCAAATACATTCTCGACTACGCCACGTCCAGATGAAAGTTTCTTATTAAATATACGTTTCGGCGTTCCTTCATTATGATTTCCTGGATACGGCTTCATCATATGTGTTGTCAATGCAAATGCTCCATATCTCCCAGAAAAACATACGGAACTTCTTTTGTACTGCCTGGTACTGGTTGTGGCTTTGGAATATTTAAATAATTCGAGCAAATTCTTCCGCAGTAGGCTAATTTGAAAGACACCACCATCACTAATTCTTCCCTGACTTCAAATCTCAGCATAAATAAAATTATAATTGCTATCGACTAAAGCAAGAAGTACAATGCTAAAATTCTTTTTATAATTATAGTATTCTGAACCACTATGTACTGGCGATTGCATAACTATGTGTTTCCCATCTATTGCTCCTATACACCTTGGAAATTTTTTGAAACCTTTTTGTGGTCGTAACCAGGACCGAGGATCCTGAAGCATCTGTGAAAAATATTTTTTTTTCAGAATCCAGCTACACCAGAAAATGTGGTTCAGACTGAACAGACAGAAAATGCAGTGCACAATAATTGTTCAGCACCTTCGACATCCTCATCATTGTCAACAATACCATGACGCCGAAACAATACCGAAGCCGAAAAAACAATGAAAGAAGTTATGAGTACATTAAATACAGTTTTGAAGAAGCCGCAAGACGATTTCGATCGTTATGGCAAGATTCTTGCCAATAAACTCCGTAAGCTATCTGAAATTGATAGATTAAAAACGATGTATGAAATAGATGGGTTGTTTGTTAGACGTGTCATAAACAATGTGCGGCCCTCATCGACATGTTCTTTGTATTCTGAACCAACATTAACAATTGAAAACCCACGTACGAGTACATCACATGCACGGCCTGCATCGTCAAGTACTTCCTATTCAGATTCAGGAGTTCAGATTCACATGCCGTATTCATACCCAGATAACAATAATAGAATCCACATTGTATCTAATGAAGTGAGCTCCCCAATGTCAGTCGATATCCTCAGTAGAAACCGCCTCAGGGGCTGCTTCAGAGGCTGAAGGGGGCAAACATCGACGATTTGATCTTCAAAGAGGTCCCTGAATTGAGGAACTGGAGGGTTGCTCATCGTGGAGATTGCGACCAAGTCAAGTAACCTTAAAGGGAACTTTATCTTAGACCTCAAGACCATTGTCCCGAAGAAAATCTTGTCGAGCGATGTTAGGAGGTTGATAAATATCCGGCTGAGGGCACGATTGTCTGACCTGGAGTCGGAAGTAGATGCTCTTAGGAGGGAATATACAGAGCCGCAAAATGAAGGTTTAAAAAGGTGAGGTCACGAAAGATTGTAACCGGAGAAAAGGAAAATAAAACATTGGATGACAATCCAAAGCACAACCTGGTCTGGAAAAGCGAGGTCTTGGGGGTGGGAAGTATGAATACTAGTACATATGAAACCAGTATTAACAACAATTTTGGAAAACAAACACATCATATTTACTATGACGGACTAACGTCGCAATACCGGAACCGTACAAATGTTACACTTTGGATATAAACATTGATTAATGATTTCCGACAAATAAAAAAATCTACTTGGACTTTTAGCGAGCCTAGGCATGGTAAGGATCCCATGGATGGTGTAGGAGATTACATAAAAAGAACAGCTAAAACACATGTGTTGATGGTTACAGACGTTAGAACAGCCTTAGAATTCGCCGATTTGTTCAAAAAATCTACAATATAAATAAAGTTAATAAGGATGACGTCATTGAGGCAAAAAATAGCGTACAAAGTTTTTGGATGCAATTCCAGGCGTTATGTAATTCTTTTATGGGGCAAAGCAGCAGATATACAATCTATTTTTATCTTACAAAAACGTGCTATTAGGTCAATTTATTGCTTGAAACCTGGTACTTCACTTGGAAATTTGTTCAAGGAAATCGATATTTTGACGGTTCCCAATATATCTACGTATACAACCGTATCGTTTTTGTGCGTAGTAACATTAGTTCTCTTTTAAAGAACAGTGACATTCACAATAGGAATACCAGGAATAAGGAAAAACTTTTCCAGCCATTCAGAAAATAAATACTTCATTTAGGCCTAAGCAAACGCTACTATAACATGATTCCTAGTGAAATATTAGAACTGCCTTTAAACAGATTCAAGACACAAATTAAAAAAAAAATGTGTAAAGGTTAATGCTTGTTTGGCCAACAGACCATATATGTTATGCTCAAACAATGCAGTAATGTTACGGTAGTTTCCAAAAATATTGTACATCTGGACTTGTAATATATATAAACATAAAAAAGAACTTTGGATTTTACATGCGAAAAACCGGTTACAAAATAGATATAGAGAGAGGATATTGGACAATGAAGTGAAACTATAATTATGCTATTGGATATAAACCATATGCCTTGGTATGTTAGCTAAACAGCAACCAAAGATAATTTGTGCTTGTTTGCCCTATAGCCTATTTTCACAATACAGGGGTGTGAAATTAAAACTACTACTTATTACATTCATATTATAAATTTTTAAGAATCTTTAGAAAACTAATGTTAAATCGTGTATTGCTCATTTATTTGTATAGTTACATGAGTCGTTCTTCATCTAAACTGTGTAGAATTTGGTTCTTAAGCATACTACATTCAAAGGTAATTTTCGTCAAAATTGGTCTGTTGGCCAAACAAGCACTGAGGCGACGTATTGTTATAATTTGTTTTGTTATCTTTGAAGTGGTGTGAATATGTGTGTAATGGTGAATGTGGTAAATCGCAGAACAGATTTTATTATTTTTACTTCTGTATCTTCAATGACGTTGTGGTTTATGACATTTTCCTTTGTAAATGTAAAATAGAGGGCGGGAGGTGTATGATTTGCTTAAGATTTCTTTTCACAATGATAACGTTTAATTACTTGCATGTTTATTAAGGCAGAATGCAGCGTTCTCGGGATAAAAAGTTGTTGAGCTTGGGCCTTGAAAGCGCCGACTTAATTAAAGCTTTTTCCCTAAACAGAAGTAAGATAATTATTTATTTATAATAGTATATAACTGTCCCTTGTTTATGTCCTAAGTTTTAGTGAGAAAAAAAAATAAAGATTATATTTCAAAAAAAAAAGGTAGTAATACAATGGGCATATCTCTCGAAAGACGTATAACTATTGTGGAAAAAGAATGTAATTAGATTAAATAATCGAAATAATTATAATTAATCAATTTATTTATTGATCTTTTTAAATTGGTTTTAACTTTCTTTTTAATCATTTATTACTTTGTAGCTTAAGAAAATTGTAAATACAAATTATTCGTATGTAGTACTCATTTATTTGTAAAAATATTGTAAATACTGCATAGTTTAATACTAAAAGATTGATCAGATGAGAACTCCGGATTTTTCGTATTTTCTCACCAAAGGAAAATCCCAGCGAATATTTTATAAATGATCCACATCATGAAATCTCTTTAAGAAATAATTTTAGACGAAAAACAGGGCAAATGACTACATTTCAAGACGACGATATTTCTTCGTCTGAGCTAGGTTTCACAGCCAGCAGTAAATCTGATTTCATTCCCGAAGACTATGTAAACTCACCATCGTCCGATACAGAAACATATTTAAAAAAATTAAACGAGTTTTCGGGAGAAGTCGCTATAGAAAGAGCACGTAAAGTTCAAGGAAATGCGGCCAATTGATACAAGGTTAATTGAGACAATGGAGTCAACAAAGTCATGTGGTCTATCCACATCCACTTGTCATAGATACACTCAAAATATACACATTATGTTCTGTATTATTTTATCTTTAAGAATTTATGTATGTGGCAACATTTTTTTAATTTAATATGTCAAGGGCATTCTATTGTGCTTTGTTTGTTGGTAACAATGTAGTTGTGTTTTGAGGAATTTTCTTTGGCTCAACAAAACTAAACCTGTTGAAATATGTAGAAGTAAAATATATGCATAATTAAAATACATAGTTTAAAAATGTACAACAAGTTGGATCTTGTAAAAATAAGGCAACTGCATTTGAACGAGCTCCAGAAGAATTTGATGCCATCGAAGTTCGGCGTTTAGAAATTGATAATCAGCGGGTTTTAAACGAAGCTGACCGATTTAAGATTGAAACAGATAAAACAAAGGAGGTGAGAATTGTTGAAATAAGGGAGCTTAATAAAAACCTTAAAATTCTGATAGAAAAATTGAGCACAGAAATGGCAAGGTATTTATTTACTTTATCGGTTAATCACTGATTATATTTTTTGTGTAAATTTTCTTTGTGATTTCTGATAAAGATTCGTTTTTCTATTTAACATTCAGACAACCTGTTAAATACCTTAGTATTTAAGAGTCTAAATTTATACAGGCTGTTTATTTGGTTGTGAACTATCTGAATTTATATTTGAGCTCTCTTGTATTTTATAAATATTTAATTAGAGTGCTATTGATTTGTGAAGTTTTGTATTTTAATAAACGTTTATATTATGCATAAATCGTTAAATATTTTGAAGAGTTAATGTCATGTTAGAACTATAGATGAAACGGATAGCAGTTTGGCCGCATACCAGATATTCGGCCAACCATGTGGCCGAATAGCCGAATATCCGGCGGAACTTAGCCGCAAAATCGTCGATCTATCTCCATCTGCAATGCCTGGCTACATAGATTCAGCCTTAACTAAACTGGACAATATTGAGACACGAGCGAGACTGGAAAAAGAATGACGATTTGGGAGGAAAATATGTGGCGTCTTCATTGCGCACAATAAACACCAAAAATAGCATACATGCACAAGGGAAATACAAGGAATATTATCAAAATAAAAAAGAATTAAAAAAAAAATTGCTCCTAAAGAATGTCAACATTCCTGAGAGTGTGAAGAAGAAATTATTACTTATCGGAGAAGCATTATTTCTTAAAAACACTTAATAGTGCAGAACACTTTCATGCATAGATTGCGAACAAGATTGTGCCCACTATCATTTGGGATATTTTCAACAACACAAAAAGAATCGATTTACTAAGAGGCGCAACAAATCCCCTGAAAAGTCAATGCAATTGGATAAAATGAAGGATAATCTTAAAACAACTGCTTTACCGGCGTCTTCGCGCATTCAAGATCATACCGGAATGTTAAAAGAATATGATACAATTTGATTTAGGAGATGAGGAATATTAATATTTATATATTTTGTCTCAGATAGTGATATGATTACCATTGGAGATTATGTTCTGATTAAATGGGGCACTGCAAAGAATCCCGGAGAAGTTCTATCTACTTTTGAAGATGGTTTAATGGTTATGTGCATGAAGAAAGGCTTAAAGTTTTGGAGATGGCCAAATATTAAAGACGAGCAATTATATTGCTGGGCCGATGTAATACAGAAAATAAACACGCCAAAGTTAGTAAAAAAGGGCAATTACGTTATTACAGAGTTAGATCAATCAACAAGGGATGTTAACATTAAGACTTAATGATTAATTAATGCCAAAGACCAAAAAACTAATTAAAAAATTTTTTTTTTTGTAAATTTGTTTACTTTAATTCTCATACATTTTAGATGGAAGATTTTGTAAAATAATTAGTAGATTTAGTACTATGTATCATGTCGTAAACTTAATAAATAAATAAAAAAAGACTAATACAGTGTAATATTAATAAATAATGAATGCTAAACATAAATAAGAAGACCTTCTCAATTTCGGAGAAATCTTAAGTACAAAGTTTAAAAATATTAATGTTTATAGTTCCCTTTTTCTTCTCGGCCATACAATTTTTGTGGAATAGGTTCTAGCTAGTATCTAGTTTATACTTAGGTTAATAATGCTTAACATGGGATTAATAAAGGTAACACAAACCAAACAATTGTACCAAATGTCTGCGGCAATATAATATAGATTATACCTATGTAATCCTCAAATGATTTTAGATACATATATCATAATCATCAGGCAACGCACGTCCACTGCTGAACATAGGCACACACTCTCCCAAGGCATGCACAACACTATCCACGGCCTCCCTCATCCAGCCGCTAGCCAGTAAATTTTTCAGATTGTCAGTCCAGTGGGCCGCAATGCGTCCCATGATATGTTTGCTTGTTCTAGGTCACCACCCAAGAAATTGTCATTGCCACTTCAACTTACAGACACAGCTATGTTTGTATCCTTCGTTTTAGAGAAATACCGAGCGTAGCTTTCCCCTTTGCTCGCTCAACCAGTGTCAGTGATGTTTCTGCAGCATACATTATCACCAACAAGACACACTGGTTGAAGACATATTTTGTCTTCTAACTTTCAGAAGCACAACATATATGTAACTAATTGTTGATGCCAACCCCCACGACACCTCAGAGACTCAGGCCTGCACAGGATTATTACGTTTATGTGTTCGTTTGAGAACACCCGTATAGTAACCAAAGTACCTCGGCGCGGCTTTGAATACCGGTGGGGTTTGACTACGTACGTTTTGTCAAGACGGTTCGACGTATCGCTGGCACCGCCTCAACCCACGCACCCCTGCTAGTGCGTAATTGTAGATGTTGTCTTGAAATGAAAATGCGCCTTGTTCTTGTTTCTTGCTTCGCCGATTATTCGTGGGTCCCAGTTCGTTGTCGGAGGAAAGAGGATTTTACGTAAATCTCGCCGAACTTAAGTACTACAACAGTATACCGCGACGAGAGCTGCGCTTACAGACATCTGCGCCCGTATACCGCAACAAGAGCTACGCGACCCTTTTATTCGGCGAAGCATTTTAATCATTTATTTAACTATATTTTTCCCTTAAATTATGTACATATTTTTATCTAACTTATTTATATACACTTAATTTCTACTTACGAGCTGCCAAGAATATTCTTATTTAACCTATACTGCTGCTATGCTCATACTTAATACCAACACTAATAATAATTCCTTGACATTACCGATGGTGTGTGGTGATCTAAACAGCATAAGCCAATCTACAGTCTGTTTAATTATAAATAAAGTCTCCGCAGAGTTGAGTTGAGTACTTCCTAGATTTGTAATTTTCCAAGAAATATGACCACAGTCAAAAGGAAGTTTGAAGAATTAGGAAGATCTAATGCTCTGGTGGCCCAAACAATATAATCGGAGCTATTGACTGCACCCATATAAAAATTAATAGACCCAAAGGTATCGCCCACTCTGAAGCATACAAAAATAGAAAAGGGTACTTTTCTGTAAATCTGCAAGCAATAATGAAACTGCCAGGCGTAAGCAAGACAGCTAAATGGTGACCTAGAAGGAGTTTTAGTAGGTGACAGCAGTTATCCAGCACTTTACTTCAAGTTAACACCACTTTTAAATCCAATGACAAGAGCTGACAATAATTATTATTCTCAAATAAGAACTAGGAATATTGTATTGTCTTTGATTAACATAACTTTTATTCATTTAATAAAACACTATTTTGACCGGATTGAAGTTATGTATTATTATAAATTTACAACTATTTAACATAATGGACACGGTCACCGTGACCACGCACGCTGTAAAGCACGCGAAACGTCGGATAAATTTAAAATTATGTTAAATAGTTGTAAATTTATAATAATACATAACTTCAATCCGGTCAAAATAGTGTTTTATTAAACTAGGAATATTGTCGAAAGGTTATTCGGAGTGTGGAAAAGGAAACTTCCACGTTTGCAGCTAGGACTACGGTCAAAATTGACAAATACGTAATATAATTATAGCTTGTGCTGTATTGCATAATATAGGTATACAGATGAATGCTTATGACGATGGTGATATCAAGGTATTCCCATATTATTCGTTATTAATTAGATTATAGCTTTACTAACATGTAAATTAATACCTTAATGTGTTAGAGCATAATTAAATAAAGTAATAATAAGTAAATTAAGTATTCCATGGATGCTGTCAATGAAGTCCTACAATATTACGACACCTTTTTTCAGTACCAATATCCAAGAAAACGTGGTCCAATTTAAGGGAAGCTCATCGTAGGGCTATTAAGAAAAAACTACCAAAAGTGGTCAAACTGCAGTCTCTAATAAAAAATGGCATTACGAGGGTGAAATGAATTTTTTGAAACCCCATTATAAAGAAAGATCAACTATATCTTCCCTACATTGAGATAGTGATCAGGAAAGTACTGACAATAAAGATTCTCAATTGTCTGCTACGGACTGCCAATCAGATTTCTTCAATAATAGAAAATCGTTCTATATCAGCTGCCTCCTCTATAAACATATCCAAGATTCCAAATATAAAGAGGCCAAGGCGTCTTGAATAAGACGGATCTTCTGCATCGTTAATGAAATATATTTTAAAGGAAAAAGATGAAAAAAACGAGGAAAACGATATAGACAATTTTTTTCTGGTATAGCTGCAACGGTGAAGAAATTTAATGAATACAATAAAGCAATGAAATTAAAAGGGGTTAAATATAATGATCACCATAAAATGCTTTGATACCCTTAGTTCTTTTACCAAAAATATATACTTAACACCAGATAAATAACGTCTAAAATTACAATAGTACTAGCTATTTTAGTCACGACTGCACTTCAAATTGTATTCGAACACCAAATGTAGTAAATGATCACCAAATCTTAGCGAGCAAATTAATGCGCTATTTCTGCCTAAATAAACCACTATGATTGACATAAAATGTAGGCTTATTACCAAATGAAGCATTATGATGCCATATTAAGTTATGTCTGCGGCTTACGATCCTCTCCCACCACACCGCAAGCGCCGCGCACGCCCGGACACGATCGCCAATTTAGTCGCGTGCGAGCACTTGCTTTTATTGGGTGTGTTTTGGTATCTATCTTCTTTGCAATGGCGAATGAAAACTTAGCGGGACCGAGTTCGTGTGCTCCGCTGTTGAGTACTTCATCGGAATCAGATGAAGACGAATATAAAATCACAGAGCATACGAAAAAACGTCGAAGGCAAAATAAAGTTTGGGTTTTTGAAAGAAAATTTATAACTGTGCGGAGCGCTGAGGAATTTATCAAAAATGAGAAGACCTGGTCAATACAAAAAATTCATACGACTGAAGAAGGAGTAAAACGTTACTATCGTTGTAACAAAGTGAAGCTTCGGGCTGAAATTCAGTGTTCTGCCGCGATTTATCTTTTATTTGACGCATCGTGTGATGATATATTATTATTTCGTACTGAAACATGTCACGACCATGAAAATTCTGACTGTCAGTCGACTAGGGGAATAAATGAGGCAACGAAAAGGAAATAGAAAAACTATTCGAACTGCGTTTGAAACCTAAATCTATTATGAAGAACTTAAGTAAAATTAATGGACTAGTTCTGCCGACTAAGTTACAGTTAAACAATTATCTTAAAATCATACGTAAGAAAAAAATACGGGCCATCGGTAATAAGCTTGGGACAGCTTGAATTATGGTTAAAAGAAAACTCTGAAATACCTGATGACGGTCACGAAGTTTTTGTTTTGGCGTATGAAATTTCTGAAGATGATTTAGATCAGAACTTCCGGTTCATGTTAACGACGAAATATTTAATTGGTCTATCACGCCAATGTTCTGTTCTTCACGCGGATGCCACATATAAGCTCATTTGGCAAGGGTTTCCAGTACTTGTGATTGGAACTACAGACAGAGATAAACATTTTCACCCATTTGGATTAGCTGTGACAACAGCTGAACGAACGGAAGACTTCATATTTTTATTTTCCGCATTAAAAAAAGCAGTTTTCTCAATATTTTCATACACTTTAAGTTGTAAAGTTTTGGTCTGTGATGCAGCGAAGGCTATACAAACTGCCTTTGCGTGCACATTTGGAACAGATACAGTCATAAGAATGTGCTGGGCGCATGCGAAAAAGAAGATGCAAACAAGAGTAGAGCAAAGTGTGCAAAAGAAATCCCAAAAAGAGATCTTACAAGATATTGATGCTTTACAGTGTGCCTCAACTCAGGAAATATTTGATCGAGCCAGCGAAAAATTTTTGGACAAGTGGAAAGCCGAAAAAGATTTTGTTACATACTTTGAAAATGAATGGCTAATACTAAATCGTTTCTGGTATTTGGGCGCATCTCTGGGGACTCCTGCTACAAACAATGCTCTGGAATCTTTCAATAAAACAATAAAAGATGGTGGCACGCTTCGTGAGCGTCATCCTTTGGCGCGGTTCTTAGTAATTGCTTCTGATATAGTCAAGGACTGGTCTAATGAATACGTGATTAATAATACTGAGAGACGGTTCGCTCAACTGCCGACAGTATCTTTAAAGATGTGGACAGAAAGTTACCAATGGGCAAAACTGTCGAAGCAGGTGCCATTAAAGAATAGTACTGAGCTAGTTTGCTCATACAGAATTCCAGCTGGGTCGGATTTAGATTGCAAAAATTATGAAAAGCCATGGGAGACCTTTGACGAATACAAAGAGCAACATTTTAGAGAGTGGGAAGTTATAATGCCCCGAGAAAAGGAAAATTGGTTACACGGCACATGCAATTGCCCAAAGTTTCTCAAAGATTACATTTGCAAGCATCTCGTTGGATTGGCGATTCGGCTTAAGCACGTCCAGCCACCTTCAGAGGCCAGAGCTATTCCGATTGGCATGAAGCGCAAAAGAGGACGACCAGCCAAAGCTAAGAAAGCATTAATTGTGCAGTGAATTAATACAGAAGACTGATTCTTCTTAAGATTTTTTAAATGCTTATTATTAGTTTAGTTTTAAGATCTTTGAACTGTTTATTATTAGTTTTAAGAGGACTATCTTTTTAATGATTGTTTCAATAATTAAAAAGGGATTATTGAAATTGTAAGAGTTTTATTTTTTATTTTAGGTATAGCATTTGGTTGTAAACGAAACGCTCAAGATAATTTTTTTTGTAGTGGTTAATCAATTTGGAGACAAAAAGGTTAGGAGTAAATTTACTTTACTGTGTTTGGCAAAATATTTTTTTTGCCGAGGGTAATTTACTTTAATCGGATAACGAGATTTTATTTTTTTGCATTTCATTTTAAATTAAAATATGGTTAATAATTTGGTTTTCATTAACTATTTTTGGGCTAACAATGAGTTTTTTGGAGCCAGTTTGCTTAAATAGGATAGCAAGATGTAAAAACTTTGGTTATAATTTTACATTAAAATGCTGTTTTAATTTTGGCGATCATTTACTACTTTTGGGTTAACAATGATTTATTTGGAGTCATTTTGCTTAAATAGGATAGCGAGATGTTAAAACTTAGGTTGTAATTTTACATTAAAATGCGGGTTTAATTTTGGTAATCATTTACTATTTTTGTCTGTTATATGTTACTATACCTGGTGGTAAGTTAAACATAAGCCAAATTAAAATAGTTTCACAAGTGGAACTGCGAGAACTCAATGAAAAAGGAAATAATTACTACGGCAGTATTAATTATGGAAATTATTCAATTCCAGAACCTTCTGGATACAGTACTACAACGAACTATGATACAGAAAGGAATGCCACACAGCTGGACACACAAGAATTGCAAAGCACCAGCACTGAAAGAGATTTCCCAATTTAAAAGTATCGATACTCCTGAGTTTTGAAATGCCTCTCTATTTTTTTAAGAAACTGAATAATGATCTACTAAATGAATGGCAATATCATGTCGAAACAAAAAATAAAGGTTGATTTAGTGTGCTTCCATTTTCATTTTTACATACATACAGATACATTAATTATAAACGTTCAAAGTCAAGTCAAGTCAAAAACATAACCGTTCTTTTCTTTCGCCGGAGTAGGGTAAAAAGAGGGCTTTTCGACAATAATACCCAGATTCGGTCGTATTTACAAACCAAGAACAGGCCAATAATGCTAAAACTGACAACTCGAAAAAACAATGTGATTTTATAGCAAAATATACAGGACCTATATTTTTGAAGGGCGATGAAAACGAAAAATCAGACACGGCTACAGCTATCACTTCACTTCAGATAAATAAGAACCAACTGAAACACCCTTTCATAGAAGAAACCTGTGGAGAGAAGTGCACAAGAAATTGTAAGCAGTTTACAATAGAAGAACGAAAGAGCTTGTGGGTTGCCTATTGGAATATGACTTATGTAATGAGAAGAAACTTTTTGAACAAGAATACCAGCATTGAATCAATAAAAAGACGAAAAGCACAAATGCCTAATCCTGACCTAATACACTGCAAAAATGAAAGCAGGTTCTATAGCTTCCCGAAAATGATGAAACTTCTTCTATGTTCTTTTTGAACACCCTTGGGCACAAAAATGATACTGTTATAACAGAACGTAGCAAAGCCATAAAGCGGAAACAACTGTAAGGGGATGTTAAAGAAAACCGAGGAGGCAAAAAACTAAGGCTAAATAGAGAACCTGTGACGGAGCACATTTTGAGCTATAACCCTGTTGTTAGCCATTACAGGCGAAATAATGCTCTTTTGGCCAGATATCTGATAGACGATAATTGAATATTCTTTCAATAGATCCTCTTTCTGGATTACCCGAAAAGGGTTTCATGGTATATTCACTGAGGGCAAATGCTTTATCACACAGGATTATATACGGTACCTTCACATTGTAAGGAGTTTGTAATATTTCAAAATTCGGTAAATTTAGGCTTTTGTTTTCAAGGTCAGCTAAGTTCAACCTTTTCAAGAATTATTTCAAATCTTGCAAACTCATTCTCACAAAATTTTTGTCCCCACTTTCTTCATAATTTATATCTTCAATTAGCCTATTTCCACACTGTTATCTTTCACGATACAATTTTTTCATCCACCATCTAGGTTTCCGTTTGTTTCTACATTTTTATTTAAAATGTGTTGAATAATGACTAACGCCGCAGCAGTGGTGGTGCACGCAACCGCTAACTTTGTCGGAGTCATGGCGAATGACTGGGACTCGCGGAGCGCTCTGGATCGATTGACCTCGCGTACAGGTTCGCGGCGGTCCGTACAGGAGCTGTACGCGTGGACAGTGATTCCCAACTACGCGTAACACAGGAACGCGCTATCCGTACGCACCTTTAAGTAACAACTCGTCGTTCACCCGGAGTTGAAAACGAACGACCAGGCGTCGCTGGTCGGCTGCCGGGTGGCTCTAATGAGCTATGACCTTAAAAAAAAATTATTGACGTCACTAATTGGATCACCTGTATAACTGTGGTAATGTTCTACACATGGTTGGCCAAAAGCTTAAACATGCAAATTGAACAAATATTTCCAATAAGAGGCCACTCTTATAACCAATGTGACAGGAACTTCGGAAGGTATGGCATATTACTGAACAATATTTGAAAGTGGCTTACCTTATTGAAGATTGGAATAAAGGTTTACAGGTATTTTTGCCCAAGACCCACCCACAGAGCCACAGAAAAAAACAAAGCTCGGTTTGCTATACAGCAATATGTTAAACTAGACTTTAGTCCTTTGTGGCCAGTTTTTATAAAATTTCAAAGTTTCCAGTGTCGTTGGTGCAATTGACTGCAGTCATATTCGCATCCTCAGTCACGGTAATAAAATTCTCATGCATTAATTTATTTGTATAACCACACATCCTACAATTCATTAAATGTTGTTGTTTTGTTTCAGGGGGTGATACTGCAGAGATCAATAGAAATAGAAAGAAAAAACAAAAACATGGAAAAAGATCATATCTATAGAAAAAACAAAAACTTGGAATTTTTTTCAGAAATCGATCTTAATGGCCTCGATTTTTTCGTGGATCGATTTCATTAGGTTACGATTCGAATCGATTTAAACATCGATGTTTTTCGGAAAGAATCGCCATCCCCATGGGATACCACGGATATGCTGTAAAAAAATATCTGTTAACACCACTGGCTGATCCCCAAACTGCAGCTACAATGAAAGCCAAATACGAACAAGAAATGTGGTGGAAAGAGCATTTGGAGGGTGGAAAAGGTCTCCCTGCATAGGCTCGCAATTAAGGGTGGCTTTAAAAAATATACAGCATATCATTGTTAGCACTGCAATATTGCATAATATATGCCTAGAAAAGAGGGAATATCTGCCAAAAGACGAAGGAAACTACACACTTCACCTTCCGATAGAAGAGCAGATCTTTCCCGGAGACTGCCAATGAACAAGAGTACAGACTGCAGCTCATACAAACCTATTTTGCTTCATTACCAGCTACAGAACCGCAGCAGTATATAATTAAGTATATAAATAAATAATATTAACTCCTAATTCATTATGTATTTTATTCTGAGCGGTTAAACAATATGGCGGATGTTTAGCCAGTCCTGTCCTGTCAGCCTGTTCCTGTCAGCTGATATTGCAAATTAATTTCGTTGTAGTTATAAATTTCAAATCTAATATGGATTTGAACGTGGCAAGACACTTTGACGAGTCAGAAAGTTCGTCAGATGAAGATGTTGTTAGAAAATCCCTCTACCCCAGTGGTTCCTAACCTGGGGGTAATTACCCCCGCGGGGGTAAAACGGAGATTCTAGAGGGGTAACACGGGCTGGCACGAAATAGTATTAAAATAGCAATAAACAAAATAATAGTACGGTAAACGGTAGAACGGCGCTGTCAGCGCGTGGCTGACGGTGATGGCGGTGATGGCGGCGGGTGAGCGGCGGTGTGGGAGGGGCGAAGCACCGCATTACTAGCGGCGGCGGCGACATTCATTTTGTTTACCTAAGTCCTAAGCTTAGGAAGAACACGCATTTTATTTGTTCCCCCGCGCATTGCAGAAATCGGATTTTTGAATTGATTAAAATTTAAACTTTTTTATTTGAACTTTAAATTCAAAGGTAAGCAGCGTTTGTTAATATTGTCACGAGTGATTTGTTTATGTAGGTATGAATTAGTTGACTTTTGTTTTAGGTGCCTACAGTGGCCCGATTCTCGAAGCTACAAGTTACCATTTTACAGGTATTTTTGACATGGCTTCTACTTCATCTGGCAAAGAGCGCACTTATAAAGAAGCAATTCTACAATGGGGTTTCACAAGCATCGTAGACAAAAATATAGAAAAGCCCCAGTGTGTTTTGTGTAATAAAGTGCTTAATCCAGAAAGCATGAAACAGAGAAATTAAAAGAACATTTTGATAAAGTTCGCAGATAAAAATATATTTTTTTTTAAGAAAAAAGAGAAGATTCTGGTCTTCGCGCATGGATTCTACTGGCAATATACAGAAAGCAAATGAATCATGCCTTCAAGCTTCATACAAAATTGCTTATCGCATTGCACTTAATAAAAAACCACACACTATAGAAGAGGATCTCATCAAACCTTGCTTGTTAGATGCAGTAACAATTGTTATTGGTGAGCTTAGCTACATGTTGTAGCTATGATTAAACAAATCTCACTCACAAACACTACTAATCAAAGTAGCATTTGTGAAATGAGTGCCGATATTCCAGCAACCGTTATTTCTGAAATAAAGGAAAGTCCTATGTTTGCGCTGCAGTTGGACGAGTCCACAGATGTTGCTTCGTATTCACAATTATTGGTGTTTACACGATACATTAAAGATGATAATGTAAAGGAGGAATATTTGTTCTGCAAGTCTTTGCCCACTACTACTCGCGGCACAGACGTATTTCAAACGCTAAAAGAGTTTATTGAGGAAAATGGCTGGACTGGTTAAAGCTGGTTGGTACTTGTACAGACAGGGCGGGGCGCCTTCCATGATGGGCATCCGTTCTGGTTTTCATGCACTCGTGAAACAAGTTGCTCCTCAAGTTTTCGGCTATCATTGCTTGATACACCGTTACGCTTTGGCTGTGAAAAAGCTTCCACCAGATTTGCTAAACACGTTGAGTGACATAGTAAAAATTGTTTATCATATTCGAGGCAGCGCTACTAATTCAAGATTATTCAAAGTTTTGTGCGATGTTCGTGCTACATTTAATGCTATTTTGTACCATACAGACGTACGTTGGTTATCAAGAAGCAAAGTTCTAAGTTTTAAATTACGAGAAGAAATTGGATTGTTTTTTTTTTTGAAAATCAGAGGACACAAAAAGAACAAGAATCTATCTTATATGCTAGGTAATCAAAAGGAAGGTATATAAGCATCCAAGCACCAAGCGGGCGCAGAGTTAGTCGATTGTCAATGTCCATTAAGGTTACACCTCTGTTTTTTTTTATTACTACATATTTCTAAATAAATCATTTTGTTTTTTTAAAAAGATTATTTTAAGTATCCGTATAATATTAAATGCTGGCAGCGGTGGGATACGAAAACCCCTAAACCTGAATACGACTCCGAAGATCCGTATGATATTATCTCGTGTGTGTTTTGAGTTATGAATTGAACACATAATTTAGGCCTCCTACGCACTGGCGACCATGGTCGCCGCGACCTAGCCGCGGCGGCCAGTGAATTCTGGACTTTATATGGCAATCGCTATAGCCCCTACGCACTTAGCGGCCAGCGACCAGCGGCCACCGTTGGCCGCGGCGTCCAATTTGATGCCACGCGACCAGCGACCAATCGTGGCCGTCGAGAACATCACTTCTGTATTAAAATTCATCAGTGCTACCGCATCGGCCGCGGCGACCAGACGTGTAGCTAGCTACAGAGTGATTATTTTACAATGGCCAATTTCGACACGGAAAGGTTCATAATTGAAGTTGAAAATAGAAGAGGTTTATGGGATTTAGCATCAAATGATTACTCCAATAAAGATGTTAAGCGGCAGTTGTGGCTTGAAGTGGTCGATATATTTGGCGGTGAATCCATGGAAGATAAAGAAAAGGCAGAACTTGGTTAGTATTTTATTTTATTATGCCTAAGTAAATTAATAATGCGATGAACTACAATAAACGCAGCAGGTGCTGTAGTAGCATTCGACACGTATATGTGACATGAGTGATTTTTTTTAAAGTTGTTCCGTTCATTCAAAATCTAAGAAATTTTAGCAAATAGGTAATTGTCAAAAGTATAACTATTTTATTTCTACTATTTTTCGCTTTGCACATGAGTTTTGACAATTATTTGCTAAAATTTCCCAGGTTTTCGTAATGATTGGAATAACTTTTTAAAAAGATTACTCATACCGCATGTGCGTTCGACGCCATTTTGTTTACGGCGCGCAATGGCGGCTCGCGGCGAGCACCCATATATTTACAAATTGTGCCAGGGCAAGCGACCATCGGTACTGAAGTAGTTTGCGAATATATCTCGATATTCGGTTGATGTTCTATTTGCTCTATTAGGTAAACATGCAGGTATTTCTAATAAAGCCTCTGGTACAGTTAACGTGTCCTTGAAATCATATCCGTCTCTTTCTCGCACAAAATTATGAAGCACACATAGAGCTTTTATAATCACAACTGCAAATTCTTTCTTGACGTTTAGGGGTCGGTGAAGAATCTGCCATTTATTGGCTAATATTCCAAATGTACATTCAATATAGCGGCGGGCACGGGATAGTCGATAATTAAAATTAGTCTTTACATTATTCAAGTTTCTCCCAGCATACGGTCGCATCATATGTTCCGATAGTGAAAACGCCTCATCACCCACTAAAACGAACGGCATTGATTGGCCATTTTCTTTGATGGGGTTATTGCTCGGAATATCGAGATCATTATTTAAAAGCCTATGATAAAATACAGAGTCTTTGTAAATTGACGAATCACTGCATTTGCCGTATGCTCCAATATCTAAGTAAAGAAATTTATAATTTACATCACATATTGCAAGTAACACGATTGAAAAATAATTCTTGTAATTGTAATAAAGAGATCCCGAATGTTGTGGTTTGATAACTCTAATGTGCTTGCCGTCGATGGCTCCGATGCAATTAGGAAATTGGGCGTATTTTTGAAAACCTTCAGCCGTTTGAATCCACTTATCTCTGGTCAATTGTGGCATCACAATTGGTTTTAATATCTCCCATATTGCTTCACAAACATCAAATACTATTTCCGATACTGTAGGAAGCCCTATACGGTATTCATGACTTATATGAGATAAAGAACACCCAGTAGCCAAATACCTGAAAATAAAATTCACATTAATAAACATAATATTAGTTTTGTAATATGTACTACATTTATTTATTGATTTACAGGCATTACTCTCCAAAAAAGATGGAAAAACCTTAGAGACTGTTTCACAAGAGAGCTGCGCCGTCTTAAAGATGTCAAAAGTGGTTCTGCTGCAAAACGTAAATCACAATACACCTATTTCAACCAATTACTGTTTTTGAAATCAGTGCTGGACACAAACGCAACAGAAAATAGTCTCGAAGAGGCAAGTCAAGAAAATGAAAGTGCAAGATCTTCTGATCTTGAGACTCAACAGTCTGCATCAAAGTCGCTTAGAACAAAAAGGAAGAAAAAAATACCAAACGAAGAATCCGATACAGACCCTCTAATTTCAGTTCTGCATAAGACCATAGCGACTACACAGAATGATTCAAATTGTGACAGACTGTTTCTTTTATCCCTCCTCGAAAGATTTCAAACAATCCCTGCTGCAATGAAGACCAAAGCGAAAATGGAAATCATGGAAATTATAGAAAAATACCAACCGAACTGTACACCTACAAATCGACCGAGTTATTCAGGTTATTCTACTACCAACAGGATATCAGATGATTCAAATTACAGCGATACTCATACTCATTATTCTGATATTTCTCAAAATTCAGAAATGATAGACCTATTTCCCAATTTGAATGATTAATTGTTCACAATTGCCATTTTTAAGTTATGAAAATACAAATAATTTGATTATCTACTTCAGTTTTTTAATATTTAAAAACATGTTATAAGCAAGCCCTTTTCCTCTCCTTTTCAAAGTCGTAAAGTAGAATACTACTGAACAATAGTTCATAAATTTTTTAAAGTGGCAAAACCTTGGTCAATGAATTATACAGGTTGTTGTGAAAAACGCAACAGTGGTGGTTTAGGGTGATTCAGAATCAAGTCTTGTATAATTCAAATTTACAAAAAAATCCGTTTAGCAGTTTAAGTAAAAAAAAGGCCCTATCACATTATTTTTATTTTTCCTGTACACAATACTCCATTCCGAAACATCCTTTAAAATATATCACGTATTTTTTAAACATTCTGTATTTAAAAAAGAAAAAGCTTACCTTATTGTTATTACTAATTTTTCTTCTGCTGGAATGCATTTCCGATAGTTGTTACCAGTTCCAGTAATTTTTGGTTTTATTGTATCCAGTAACAGGTTAAAAGTATTCGTTGACATTCTCATGTAATTAAAGAATCTCTTCTCATACATTTTTAAATCCAAAAAATAAGTATAATATAATCCTTTAGTCTTTCTCTCGCAAAGTAATGGATGCACCCAAAACTGTCTTTTACGTGAAATCTTCCGTTTTCGTTTTCGTAGTAAATACACAAGCACAGTTAGCGTGATTATCTTCTGCACGTCCATCTTGACACATCCTTGGAAGTCGACTGCAAATTTTTCGGCCGTCCACATGTCGCGCTTGCCTACGCACCGGCGACCATGGCCGCGGCGGCCTGGCCGCGTCTATGGTCGCCAGTGCGTAGGCAGCCTTAATTGGCCTGCTCTTCAAGGTCACTGCGATCATCGTTGCGCTGTAACTCCCAAACATATATCAGAGCTCAGAGTTAGGTAGTCAAAGAGTTAGTGACAGTGTATTCTTTTCATATTTATTATTGAGACTCGTTCATTTCTAAAGTACGGACGCGGAGCACGAAGAATTTCGTACACAGACCCCTCATCTTATGTCTTTGTCGCTCGCGCATAAACATATTGCCGTTGCGCTCACACAGATGCAGTGACCGCCGTATTCAGAGATTGTAAACTGTCATAACCATAAAGACTTGTGGTGGTGCACATGTACTTTTGTTTGTTTTGTTATAAGTAGTAGTTATTTTTTTAACCCTGAAATAAAAGAACATTCCGTGCTGGGATACGCTCGTGTGTAGTTTCGTTTTTGAGTTTAAGTTTGTTGTGAGTGATGTTTGTGTGTTTGGTCGTTGAATTTATTTGCTGTTATTATTAATTATAACGGTAAGAAGTAAAATGGAACCAACCCCTTCTACGTCCCGTCCTTTCAAGGAACACAAAAAAAGTTATGATAATTAACGTATTAAAGTACGTAAAGGAAACGTGGCCTTCTGATAAATATGCTTCAAAAGAAGAAATGAAGGATAGAACCTCCGATATTTTAGGTATATCGAAATCGGCGGTATACAGAGTATTAAAAGAATATACTAAAACCGACACGGTCAAGCCGGTGGCGAAAAAATATGACATTCAACAGTGGCTATCTTCAAAGGACATTTCTTTTGAGGACAATGACACAAAAGCTTAATTATTAGAAAAATTAAAAATGTTAAAAACTCAATATCAGTCCTACGTGATTGACGAAATGGCGAAGGCAGCTGGTGTGGAGGTATTAAGATTACCTCCTTACCACTGCGAGTTAAATCCTATAGAGTTGGTTTGGGCAGATGTCAAAGGGTATGTAGCAAGAAACAATACCACATTTAAGATGGTCGACGTGAAAAAAATACTTCAAGAAGGATTAAATAGTATCACTATTGAAAAATGGCAAAACTGCATAAGCCACGTCATAAAAGAAGAATTAAAATTTGGAGGACTGGATAGTCAAATAGATAAAACGGTTGACTCTTTCATAATCAACGTATCTGGCGAAACATCTGACAGCTACATATCCAGTGTACATTATTTATAAATATTATTTTATAAACTTACCCCAACAATCAACATACATATAGATTGTCCTATGTTAGAATATTTTCACATAAAACAAGTTTTAACTTCGCTAAAAATGGCTACCTCACTGGTAAATCACGATTTCAGCGAGGGAAGAGCAACTTTTAATTTGACGTAAAGAATCTACATTTAAATGAGATGAGATGTCAAATGGTATGTATCAGAATACCAAATACCAACAATTTTGGAGCGTAAGTGTAGCAGTGCCAAATTTTAGTTCCAAATGTGAACAATCTCATTTGAGCGGCGCTTTTGTCGCGGTTATTGTTTATCAGAATACCAAATTGTAACATGACACCGAAACGAACGATTTGACAGCAAAAATCAGCGCTGAGAGTGTGTGAAGCGAGTTACAGAATCGCAGGGCTGATAGTGAAGATTTTGTTAAAATATGTTTTTACAATATCAAAATAGTCTACTTCATACTAATCTGTGTACTACATCTTGTCTGTGTACTATACTAATAAAGTGTCTATTCTCAACCTTGAACCTGCAAGTCATTCGTGTTTTATTAGGTTATGGGCCCAGTAAAAAACTAATTAAATAATCTTACAGTAAATTCATATCGTGTGTCAGAAAATAAGTTATAATGTCGTCGTCAGACAGTTATTTCATAAATGTGCCGAAGTTGAAGGGACGCGAGAACTTTGATGACTGGGCGTTCGCGGCAAGAAATTTTCTCATCTTGGAAGGTATAGACATCGACGCCATTCTTGAGGATTTAAGTGATGCAGAAGACAGAAAAGCGAAAGCAAAACTTATCATGACGATTGATCCCAAGTTGTATGTTCATATAAAAAATGAAACTAAAGTCAAGGATTTGTGGCAGAAACTACGGATATTATTTGATGACAGCGGATTCACCAGAAGAATCAGTCTACTAAGAACATTAATATCCATTCGACTTGATAATTATTGTGAGTCCATGACAAGTTGTGAGTCAAATTGTGGAAACTGCACATGGACTGAAAGGCACAGGATTCGAGATTAATGAGGAATGGATCGGATCATTATTGTTGGCGGGGCTACCAGAAATGTTTGCCCCGATGATCATGGCAATAGAACATTCCAGCATAGCCATAAACTCTGACGTCATCAAAACGAAATTGCTTGATATGAGTTCTGAGGTCGGTGACCATGACTCGGAAGTTGCATTATTGTCGCTGCATAAAAGTAACTTTGGTCAAAATTTGAATAGAAAAGGCGCGAAACAAACATCTAATCATACGTCAAATGTCAAGAAGGTTATAAAATGCTATAAGTGCAAGAACTTTAAAATTTGTAAATAACTAAATAACACTATTCTAACCTCAAAACTTTAACCATGAATATCTCCATAACCATGGGGTTCCGCATGTTGGGGATGGTACAGGGGGGTGGGTACCAGTAGACCCCCCTCTTCCCCCACCCCTAAAACCCCATAAATCCTGCGGCTGGCTTATAATTATTTCCCCACACTTTAAAGAATGTACATTTGATTTTTTATTATTCCTTTCCTTGACACTTTAACAGGTGGTACATGTTATACCGACTCGACAGACAAACATTTTTAGTTCATTGTAATAAAAACGAAAATCACCTGACACAGGCACCTATTACTACCTACCTATGCTTATTATTTAATTAATTAGATACAAATTACCTACATAATATTAAGTTACTATCTTTAGAAGGATTATTGTTTCTACAGGCTCAGTTGATGTTGTATCGAGTATACATTTTAAAAGTTATTCTCTCTAATATTATGATAAAATGGGGTCGTAGGTACCATGTGACACAATTTTTTTTACAGACAATATTAATGAAGATTACAGTAGTATTGTATGTGAAGAACAAAATGGAATTCAAATTGAAAAGCAGGCGGATTCTTCTTCATCAGTTAAGAATTAAATATTTTGACAGTATTTTTTTAAAGATAAATAATTGCCCATAGTACCTATTTTAAGGTAAATAACCAGCATCGATTTTTTTTAAATAATTATCTTGGTATTATTTATTTGCAATTTAGATGAAATTAGGAGAAGAGGCTTTTAAAAATGAATTCTTTTTTAAAAAGGTGTTGTGTTAATTCTTACTCTTTATAGATGTAAGTGAATAGTTATTGAAATCGTAGTATTGTAGTCATTTTAATAATTAATAATTTGTTTCAGAAACTTTCACATATCTTTCGCGAAGTTCTTTCCCCTATTGATGGCATATCAGACCTTATTGAAGTCAACTCAGAATCTGATGGTTTTATTTCGCCGGCTCCATTGATAGCAGCAAGTGTATTGCCACGCGATAATAATACATCACCACCAAATGGATCAACAAGTGATATTTTAGATATGTCTCATAATGTTATTGAACCATTACTACCTGAGATGGAATGCTCTGCGCAATTGCAAACTACGAATGATAATGATGATTTACAGACTACTGATAGTTTGATGATAATGACTCCATCAATCCTACAAAAAATAGATTTTATAGCCAAGCCGACTTTTTTATACATTAATAAGGATTACGATCTAAGAAGTATTTCCGATTCAGATGGTGTTTTACATAGTATTGAAACACAAAATATATCACAGGATGTTGTAACTACAGAATCGGAGGAAAGACCCGATACTCCCATTGAACAGCTTACGAAAAAGAGAAAAATAGATCCTAAATTTTATAGTTAAAAAGCACTACCTATAAAGTACATTCAAGTACATCAAGTTTTTACTGACACTCTCGGTGAACTTCAGTACAGAGACCTCAGTTGTTTCTGTTTTTGCATGAATCCTCTTTTGCAAATGGAGGCTTTACCAGCATTAGTGGATAGCGTGAGGGCGATACAGACAAAGCTGGTGGAATTGAGAACTATTAGAGAGGAATTTTCGGACATGAAAGCGTGAGTTTCGGACGTGATGACCCAGACAAGCAAAAACAGGATGCGTATATTTTAAAACATTGCACACCTTGCAAGGTACCTATCGCGTCGCCATCCTAATACATCAAAATATGCAAATAAAATTTTCAAACAAAATTTATATTTTTCCAATGCTTAAAAATATCGTTGACACACAACGATAATTTTTAACAGTATTACAAATCACAAAGTATGAATTTTATCAACATACCTTTTAGAGGAAACACTAGAAGGTTGTATTTGCCGTCAGAATTATCAATAATCTAATTCTATCTATTGGTCTATTGTCCCCGTTTTTATCTTCTTGTTTTAAGAATATAGAAGAAAGTCTTCTTTATTTATTATAAATTCTTAGTAGAAAGGACCATGGTCCTGAATAATTTGGGCATTAATGACAATTTGTATATGCCTCCTGTTTCTTTGGACACAATATTCCCATCTAGTTGGTTGAAAGAAGAAATGGGGAAATGGGAGGAAGATCTTCTTAAAGACCAACACAACACATACTCCGAGGCGCAACTATACACAAAAGAGAGCCCACCTAACACAATAACACCTAGTGATTTCTTGAAAAACTTGAAGACAGTAGTAGAAAGTGACAACCCTAGTGAGTGCATCAAATGGAAAGGTAAGATGCTACCAGAGCCTTTTTGTCTGAACATTCAAACAGGGGAGAGTATGGATAGAGATATTGTCACTTTGCTGTTAGCCAACGTACAAGAGGAATTGGACAAAGGATTTGGAATTATTGAAATAAACATGAAAGAGAATAGTGTTCTCACTTCGGACCTTCTTCCTGAGATACTAGACATCTGGAGAGAATCGGACAAAAACACATTTTCTTTTATGGAGAGAGCAAACCAGGTAAAGTGCGCTCCTATAAAAGCTGCCTTGGGGATAGGGAAGAAAATGGATGAATTGAGGATTGGTCCATACAAAATACTGAAGAGGATTTCCAATTCAATATTTGAAGTTGATACCGGACGCAAAAAAGCGGAATCAAATTACTACCACATTACAAAGTTATCCCCTGTAATTGTCGATGAGTAACAGTTACATGTAATTGTTACTCTCTGTAGGGGGGGGGAGATGTAAGGAAAACATATTTTCCTATACAAACTCTTTTTATAATTTATTTTTCTTCTTTGCCGTCTGATCGACGATGTTTAATTTGTCACTTGACATAATAGATGTAAGATGTTTTAATTTTTTTCATTACATTATTTTATTTTATAAAACCTAAAATAGAGGCTTTAAATGTTGTTTCTTTTGTATTCACAGGTGAGTGAATAATTTGTAAATATATATTTTTCATTAAATGTAAATTAATAGATATTTCTTTAGTAAATAAATCTTTTGTATTCACAGAGAAACGCAGTTGCGCCTTATTTATCCCCAGTACTCGTATAAGCGATCGATACCATTATATATATATAACTATATAGTTACAGATATTGTAGAACAAACAAATTTTTACTTGTTCCAAGAAGTCCATCAAACTTACTGAAAATGAATTTAACGATTTTTTAGCCATCCACTATATGGGTTTATTTTCACCTGGACTCATGGTCACAAAAGTTCAGGTAGGATAATGTGGCAGAAATAATTCCGTTAAATAGGTATCAGACAATTCGTCGCTACATTTTGTAGGCAATAATCACGGTAATGGTGGCAGGAATTATAAAATAAGACAACCTATTCTCGAAAAAGTAAGGCAGAATTATTTGAAGCTACAAGGACGAGAAAATAGATTCAGTATGGATGAAATGATGATTGCATACCAATGGCGTAAGGCCTGAAATCGTAAACAATATATGAACTAAATTTAAACTCTTATTTCTAAAAGAGAGATATGAGCTCCGTGTGTGGATAAATGCAGATAAAGAAGCAAAAACCTCCCATTGGTGTTTTTGGAGATGGGATTCTAAAATTACCTTGCCGCAATTTTTTCCCATGTTTGAATTACGAAATATAGCTGGATCTGAATTCTTACCATAAGCACCAATATCTACAGCGATGAATTTCTTATTTGCATCTACTAATGCCAATAATACGAGGCTGAAGTGTTTGTTGTAGCAAAAGTAGTTTGAACCACTATGCGGTGGTGATTCGATTAGTACATGTTTTCCGTCAAGAGCTGCTATAGCATTAGGGAAATTCCATCTTTGACAAAAACTTTTTCTGATCTCATCCACAATTCTTCATCAGGTTTCGGCATTACTATTGGTTGCAGTATATTCCAAACAGCTTTACTAGTTGTTTGAACAATTTCTCTTACTGTACGTTCACCTATGCGGTAATTTTCAGGCAAAGAACGATATGAGTTTCCCGTAGCAAAATATCTGTAACATGAACTCTAATGTAATTATGAATTTTTGCAGGTACTACTTGTAAAGGACGATGGGCGAGACTAAGGGATAACTACCGAAAATCGTTAAATTTAAGAAAAACCAAGAGCGGTCAAGCTGCTTGTAAAATTAAGGCACCGAAATTCAACAAGGAATTACGTTTTCTTATCCCGTACTTAAATGACGAAGAGAATCGGGTATCAAATATATCGGGCAGTGACACGGAAGATGACAATATTCTTTCAGCGATACGAGACAACGTTAGAAACATTAACGAACCTTCTCCATCTCCTCCAATACCCAACAAATGTTACACACCTGTTTATTCACCAGACAACAACACGCAGACCACCAGTTCAGATCGCAGTACTAGTCGAGGTACATCGTCGTATAAAAAACGTTCTACCAACTACGAAACTGCTGCTTCAGTCCTCAAACAATATGTCATTGAGAGAAAGACAAAACACAACTACGAGCTTTACAGTATGCCAGAATTCCGACCAGGATCCGCTTACAGATTTCTTTTTGACAATGGCCAAAACTGTCAAAACATTTCCGATTCAAGAGCAAGTCAAAATAAAATCTGAAATTTTTCAAATTGTCCACAGAGTAGAGATGAAATTAGCAATGTCCACAAGTTTGAATGTTGTCAATACACCTTCATATACAATACATCCTCCGACCAATGTAAACTCTAAGCCATGTCCCTCTCTAAATATTTTAACTGAAAACTCCGATTCCCGAAAAATAATAATAACAAGTGATATAACTTTACCTAAAATGGTAAATCCTAGCCTAGCGGAATTAAATAAACTTGATAGTTATGGTAATGAGTATGAAGTTGCTTTGCTGCGCATAAGAAGTCTTGAAAAACAGCTATTGGAGGCTCAACAATATATTAATAACCTGGAGGCAGTATCACAAAGTGTAAAAGATACACACACAAACATTTTATATAATACATTAATTCATGATTCAGGTTCTACACCAACTCATAATGTAAAAAGTTTAGGTAAAAACAAAATAAGAAAATATATTAAAATTAATAAATACATTAAAAAGACACAGAAGCTAGTAAAACAATATAGAAATGTAAACAGTGTGGATTTAAAAGTTCAAAACACACAACTTCAAAATGAACTTGACTTGCATTTAATTGAAACTGAAAATGCTAAATTAAAATATGAATCTGACACATTAGATTTAAAAACAGAAATTTTAAAATTACAAGAACTTACAAACAGTCTCACTTCTAAATTTGAAGAATCACAATGTATGGTAGAAAAATATTCTTCTGCAATGGAAGATCTGCTTCAAATTTCTAATTACACCGCAGAATGTTATGAGCAATTACAGAATAAAACTTATGGTTGCAATTATAAAAGCCTCCAATTACCACAGACATCACAACACACTCACAGCCTCACCTACACCACAACAAACACTCAGTTAAAGGAAAAAATTAAGGCAAAAGAAAGGAATTTAATGTATTCCGATGAAATGGGTAAGGACATGGGTACTATTGTACAATTAAATGACGGCCAAACATTTATAAACAGCTGCTATCCCAATGCCACTTTTAAAAACATTGTGAAAAATCATATAATCAAAAACAATGATAAATGTAATAATTTAATAATTCTTATAGGGAACAGGGGAAATGTAAATAAACATGATCTTTTAGTATTATATGAAAAACTTTGTTGTTTAGACTCTAAGAGGATTGTTATGTTTACATTTCCATATAGCCAAAGCTTTCCTAAGGAAGAAAATGACACAAGATATATTCTTAATCAAACATTGCATACATTGGCAATGTATAATGATAAATTTTGTGTCATAGATACCAATAGGTATACGAAAAAGTTTTTTATTACAAAGGGTAGATATTATTACCTACCTGCTTTCTTAAAAGACAGATAGCTGTTTCGCTATCATATTTTATAGAGATGACAGCCAAGAATTTGGCTAGACCCCTTGCTTCTATTGAGCAAGCATTAGATTATAAGACCTTGGAAGAAATTCCAAATAATATTTATTTAAATTAGATAATAGGACAACAGAGCACCACTCTTGCAATAATAAGGTAAGTATATTATGTGATAAAATTCATTCCCAAAAAATTATTGTGGTTCATCAAAATATACAGGGGATGAAAAATAAAGAATTAGAAATTGAACTATTCTTGAATAGTCAAAAAATAGACTTTTTGTGCATAACAGAGCACTGGTTAAAAAAATATGAAGTTTTGTTTAATTTTTGTAACCACAGGGTTGGTAGTGTGTTTTGCAGAGAAAATGCAATTCATGGTGGCTCATTAATCCTAATAAGTAAAAAACTTAAATGCAAAGAAAGAAAGGATATTATCAGCCTCTCTGTAGAACTAACTATTGAAATCTCCTGTGTGGAACTGGAGCAATTCATTGTTGTATGTCTATATTGTCCTCCATCAGCTGTCTATAATAATGTTGAAAATGTATTAGAGGAGATATTGTGTAAATTAGTAAAGTGTAAGGCTGCCAGTCCACCAGAGCGGAGCGAGGCAGCGGAGCCGAGAAACGGAGAAATATTAACCAATAGGATTGCACAAAATCTCCGCTCCTCTTAAGTGGACAGGGACTTGCGAGCTAGTTTAAAATTTCATATAAAACCGGTATGCGGAGCGGGGAAACGGAGCGGGGATGCGGAGCGGGGAAGCGAGTGCGGGCGCGGGCGCACTTTGCGCCGGCAGTGTGCCGCCGTATTCCGACCAGTGCGTATGTGACCGAAGATAATGGATGAAAAACTTATTGAAAGTGTGAAAAAGTTTCCGTGCATTTGGAACACATCTTCAGAATTTTACAAATGCAACGAAACAAAAGATGCTGCGTGGGACCAAATTATCATTGAAACAAACATATCGGATGGTAAATAATATGTATCTTTATTCTATAATACCTTCTAGTAGGTACATATTGATATCTTTTTTTTTATTTAACAAAATAGCCTATATAATGTAATAGCCTAAATAGTTAAATAATGTCCGCAGCTGGCCAAATTATCTATATCTGTCTCACATCACTGACTATTATAGATTCTTTTCAAAATTCGAGTATCTTGCCATGGTACCTTCCCCTGATTATTAAAGTATGAACAATACATTTCACGAACTTGATAACCATCGTTACTAGAATGTTGTGTTTCTATAATATCACCAACTGATAATAATGATTGCTCCATGTTATTTTCAATATTGTTTATATAATTAGGTTGTCTTTGAATTAAATAATTGTGCAAAACACATGTTGCTTTTATTACCTTGTCAACTGTTTCTATTTTGCATTCAAAATCTTTATGATACACGTACCACTTTCTCGTCAATACACCGAAAGTTGCCTCAACAATACGACGTGCTCTTGATAATCGGTAATTAAAAATTTTTTTTCTGCGTTAAGTCCATCACGTGGGTAAGGCCTCATAAAATTTTCCATTAATGGAAAAGCTTCGTCTCCTATAAATACGAACGGCATTTTTGCTCCACCTTGATAAAATGGTACCGGCTGAGGTAAATTCAATCTCTTTTCTTTTAGACTCTTTCCGAAAATGCTGTTATCAAAAATTCCTGCATCAGAAAATCTTCCCATAGATCCCACATCAGCCATTATGATTTTCCTTTTGGCATCAGCTAAACACATCAATACTACAGAAAATCTCTTTTTGTAGTTGAAAAACGAGGACCCGGTTTTCGAGGGAGCCTTGATATATACGTGCTTGCCATCAAGAGCACCTATACAATTTTTAAATTGCCATAGTTCATCAAAATCTTTTGCGATTTCTTTCCAGTCGTTTTCTGTTGGTTGTGACATGACAAGAGGTTGCAATATATTCCATAAAGCATCACAAACCTCCTCAACAATTCTTGATACACTTTTCAATCCAATTCTAAAATTCTCTCCCATCGTTGTAAATGACTGGCCGGTTGCTAAATACCTAAAAAAAACGTATTTAATTGTACTTCGCGTAAGTGATGTAATATTTTTGTCATAAATAGACCATGTAATACATTTTTGTGTTTGTTGATTGTTTCAGTTACAACTGCCAAGTCGCGATGGAAACAACTGAGAGATAACCATCGGGATGCCTTAAAAAGACAAAATGCAACAAGGAGTGGACAGGCTAGAAAACAACGAAAAGAATGGAAATATCAAAAGCCATGTCATTTTTATTGCCTTACATGAGTAACAGAGACCGGTCAACAAATTTTACGCCCCTGGACCACTCAGTAAGCGAAACTTCAAATCCGCCAAATACCATTGAAGAGAGTTCACGGGAATCATGCAATTTTTTGCCATCAAATTCAAATAATCTTCCTTCTGCCGATGATCCTAAGAATCCAACAGCTTCGGAATCTCTTCCATCAACATCCAAAAAAAGAAAGAACGATGAAATTCTAGATTATTTAAAAAAAAATCAAGAACGCCGCGAAGTGTTGGAACGAGAACGGATAGAACTTAAAAACATGATGTCAGCCAGTGATAAATACGATGAAATAGACTTATTTTTTTTAAATTTGGCTGCATCGACAAAAAAGCTGCCGTATTATTTTCAACTTCAAATTAAAAAAACCTGCTTTAATGCGGTAATGTCAGCTGAAGAAAGTAATCTTCAACATAGTTGGTATTCACCGAATAATTATGGTTATTCTACAGGCTCAACACCTACATCAGATAACATCAACACTAGTATCGATACTCCTAGTGCTTCAGATAATATCAACACTAGTATCAATATTCCTAGTGCTTCAGATAATATCAACACTAGTCTTAATATTCCTAGTGCTTCAGATAATACCAACACTAGTGTCAATATTCCTAGTGCTTCAGATAATATTAACACTAGTATCATTAATCCTAGCGCTTTACAAATTCCAACAACCCAGGATATTGAAACATCTGCAGCAGAGCCAACAGAACCCAATGAAAATGCGGTCAATTTTGAGACAGATTACGATTTTTAAATTAATATAACATGGCTTCTATAACTGTATGCAAAAATAAAAGTTACTTTGATTTAAAATGTGTACTTACTTTAAACACACCGCTAATCTTTCACGGCTACTAATTGAATTTCTGTAATTTGTGTCTTGTTTCCGAATATATGGTTCAATCAGGGAGTGAAGTTCATAAAAAGTACATCTTGAAACTCTATAAGAATTTTCGAAAGTTTCTTCATCAGCTGTTTGGAAAAAAGTAAAATATTCACTGTGTTCTGAACGATGTTTGATATGATTTCTTAACCAAAATCTATGTTTCCTCATAGAATTGTTCAAATGGTATATGGTAAGTATTTCGGCTTCTTCTGACTCCAACTCTTCTTCCTCAAGCAATGTAAGGTAATAATGTATCAACTTTTTCGATGGCATGTCTGCTATCACTGACATTTCGCGTAGAATTAAACCAATCGCCCCACGCCGGGAGCTCGAAATCACTCGTCGCGTACTTGCTGCCTAGCTCCGCATATTGAAAAACACAGCAACTCCGCTCCGCATTACTTCCTCACTCCGCTCCGCAGCCTCGCTCCGCTCCGGTGGACAGTCACAGTACGCAAC